GGGTTCAGGGAAGCAAACTCAGACCTCTGGAAGAAATGCTCTTAACTGCTGAGCCATTTAAAAAGTTGACTGTAGCACATGTATTGAAAGATGAAAAGCTAATGTCCACATATAACAAAAACACACAACGCTTGTCTTTCTGGTTCTGGGTTACCTCGCTTGGGATGATTTTTTTTTTAATAGCTCCATCCACTTCCTTACAAATTTCATTTTTCTTAACAGGTGAATGATATTCCATTGTGTAAGTAGAAATTTGATCATCAGTTAGCTGATGGATATGTAGACTGTTTCTGATTTCTGGGACTTATGAATGGAGCAGCAGTGAACATGGATGAGCAAGTGTATCTGCAGTAGGATGTAGAATCCTTTGGGTGTACCTCAAGAGTGGTATAGGTGGATCTTGTGAGATCTATTTCTAGTTCCCTGAGGAACTGCCACACCAATTCCCATAGTGGCTGTACAAGTTTGCACTGCCACAAGCAATAGATGAGTGTTCCCCTTACTCTATCTACATCTAGCATGAGCTGTCACTTGTGTTTTTTTTTTTTTTTTTTTTTTGATCGTGGCCATTCTGACAAGTTTAAGATGAAATCTCAAAGCAGTTTGAGTTTACATTTCTGGTGGGTAAGAATGTTGAACATTGCCGGGCGTTGGTGGCACACGCCTTTAATCCCAGCACTCGGGAGGCAGAGGCAGGTGGATCTCTGTGAGTTCGAGGCCAGCCTGGTCTACAAAGTGAGTTCCAGGACAGCCTCCAAAGCCACAGAGAAACCCTGTCTCGAAAAAACCAAAAAAAAAAAAAAAAAGAATGTTGAACATTTCTTTAACTCTCAACTATTTGTTTCAACTTTTGAAAACTCTCTGCTTAGTTCTGCATGCCATTTTTAACTCGGTTATTTACTTGTTCAGTTTTCTTAGTTCTTTATATTCTCTAGAATTCCATTCCATCAGGTATATAATCAGTAAAGACCTTTTTCCCCACTCTAAGATTGTGTGTTGCTTTATTGAAAATGGCTGTGGTGAGACATCTCCCTAGGAAGGAAAATTGAATACAGTGCTATGGAGAGATAAAGAGGGAAACTAGCCTAGGTGGATTATATAGGAAGGGGGATAGGAGAGAATAGTAAAGGAGGGAATACAGAGGGAAAGCCAACACTACAGACGTTTGGAAAAATCATATGTAAATCTACTACCGCAAAAGTTTCCTAAGTACATATACAAAAGGAAGTTAAATGGAGTTAACCATATAATAGGGAGACAATGACCCAACTAGAAATCTTACGTTATCAATTAAAACCTCCAGTGCCAGGGAATGGTTACAGCTTGTTACATACTTGGCTAAAGAGGTCCCATGACTCTCAAAAATCAGAGGCCATTGCCAAGGAAGTGGACTGCTCTTCACAATCTTATAGAAAGGCCCTATTGAGGAAGACAGCACACCACTGAACACAGAGAAGTTGAGCTGGTGACCAGCTAGAAGGTTCACCCCGACTGACTAGCCTTCGTGGTTCTGGAAGGTACTGCGCACACTGCCGCAGGAGAGAGATAATCAGTCATCACTATCACACAGCTACAAACCTGGTGGCCTACAACAGTGACCTGCCTACAAGGTGGACTGGTGCAATAGGGGCACAGATGCTGTGGGAATAGCTTTTTGGCTGAATTTAAGGCCCACTCCATAAAATGGAGTCCATACCTGACACTGCTAAAAGTGGCCAAGAACCTGAGACGATATAGGTCATGGGCCAAGGAGAAAACCTACTATTATTCTGCTACCAGAATACAGCAAAAAGCTACTCCTAAAGACACACTGCTATAGTCGTGGCTCAGTGCTCTCTGTCCTCACCAGAGAAGCTTCTTTTGGTCATTGGAATTTAACAGAGACGCACAACTGGATAGTGTGCACAGTGAGAGACTTGGGAGCACTTAGTCCTACGTAGGATATCTTCACCAAACCCTTCCCCTCAAGGCTCAGGGATCTATGCTAAAGAGAAGGCAGAAACACTGTATGAGCCAGGGGTGGGGGGTGACTCCATGGAAAACTATTCTCCAGACATATATAGGACACACACAAACACACACACACACACACACACACACACACACGGAGAACAAATAAGACCTCAACAGTTTCAAGCCAGATGGGGTTCCGGCACTGAGAGAGGGAAGTAGATACAGGGTACCACCCCCAACCAAGAAGCTATCCACCATTAGTACCTGCTGGCAAAGGGACAATCTGTTGTCTCCAATGGAGTGTCATTGGGTGTGTCAACCACACTCCTAGGCAGGCCCAATGCCCACAAGTAGTTGGCAAAAAAATGAATTCAATTGTATTTTTATGATGTTTTTGTTTCATTTTGCTTTATTTTGACATTTTTCGCATTGTTGGTCTTTTGTTTGATTTTTGTGTGAGAAGGTGCTTCTTAGGGATTTTTGCTTTATTGAGAGAAAAGACTGTGCAAAAGGGGGAGCATAAAGTTGGGTGGGTAGGGATGTGGGGGGATCTGGAAGGAGTTGACAGAGAGGGAAAACAATCAATATACTTAGTGTGAAAAAAAACTTTAATTAAAAATAATAGAGGGGCTGGAGAGATGGCTCAGAGGTTAAGAGCACTGACTGCTCTTCCAGAGGTCCTGAGTTCAATTCCCAGCAACCACATGGTGGCTCACAACCATATGTAATGAGACCTGGTGCCCTCTTCTGGCCTGGAAGCAGACATGCAGACAGAATACTGTATACATAATAAATAATCTTTAAAAAAAAAAAAAACGTGACCAAATACGTATAACAAAAAATACCATTTAAAAAATAAGAAAAAAAGAGTAAGAAAAATAAGAAAAAAAGAGTAAGTTAAGAAACTATGCCATGTAAACAAGCCATTTAAACATTTTTTTACTTTTTTTGTTTTGTTTTTTTTTTACGAGAGAGTTTCTTTGTATTGTTTTGGAGGCTGTTGGTCCAGCCTGGCCTTGAACTCACAGAGATCCGCCTGCCTCTGCCTCCCGAGTGCTGGGATTAAAGGCGTGCGCCAATTTTAGTTATTCCCTCCAAAAACTGAGTTTTTCTTTCCACCAGCAGACGCCATCTTTTGCAATAGTTCTCTTTTTGAAGAACTCTGAAATTAATGAGTAAACACTCTGAAGATACTAAGAACACCTTCCCCCAAACGAAATCTGATCTTGACAAACTATATATTGCAGATTCCTACAGATGCTTTTCTTAGAATCTAAATACAAAACAATAATTCCAACCTACAAACAATTCCCATCTATCTACCCCATAGTAAAACTGTTCTGGAAAATGGTGGATATAACTTGATATCCTCTGGAATCAGAATTACTGTTTTACCTCAAAGTTCGTTTTTCATGTGTAAAACAAACTCCAACTAGGACAATCCTTTGATCTCTCTTTACTCACAGGCATATGGAGGCAGTAAAATGCTCAGCTTTTACACCTTCTACCCCTTCCTTTCATGGAAGTGGATAGAATTGTTTAATCAAATGTATACAGGACAGTCGACCCCGTACACACCCAGGCAAACCACTTACTGGTGTGGGAAAGGGACCATGGTGACAGAAATCCTACACACTTGATCCAAACTGCATTTTCCCCCTCTTCTTTAAATAGCACATTGTAAGGCAGCTACTTGGTTTTCACATGTAGGCACAGTCATTAAGTCTACTCAGGCTAAATGAAACAGTTACAGAATTAGAGGTAGCACTACTGCAGGAAACTTGGGAATATATCAAAATGTTCTTTTCTACAAGTTTACAAAATGACTGACCTTCTTCAAGCTAATTATGCTCTTGGTCACTTAAGCCCTCTTCTCTTAGCAAGAACAAGCAGCAGCTTTTCTTAGTACGTGAAGGAGTTTAAGAACAAACTTCTTAAGCTCAGATTTGGACTAAGAAACTGATACCTAAAATACCAGCATGTTCTTACTACGTTTTCACTTCATTTATTAAATTCTATAAATGCATCCATCAATCACATTCCTTTTAAATACTCTTGGCATTCAGTTAAGACTGTTGAAGTCCACTTTATTTTGTACTTTCATGTTTGCAAATAAAAGGTTAATATTATAAAGTATGTGCGAAACTCTATCATTTAACCTATTTCCCAACAAGACTTTTATACCACAATTTTATATAAAAGGATTACTCAAATTTCCCTTAAAAGTCCAAAGGGAGAAAATAATATCCTGTTTGAAAGCCTAATGCCATTGATGACTTCTCACAATAGAAAAAAATGGGACAATATGAGGAAAATATGAGCATTTCACATTGTCTCTTACACTACAAATTTATCAACCTGTCAGTGTGACTCCCTAAGAGCCTGAAGATGATCTGGCATAAACCAGGCCTGTAAGTAGAAGTCACAGTGATATTTGTATTAACATTTATATTTCTATTTTTCCAAGAATAGAGGCAATGTTGGATCACTCCATTTATCTCAAATCTTTAATCTAAGTATAATAGACTCAGAATATATTCAAATCTGGGATGTTCAGTTAAGCAACAACAGCATTAGCTAAGTTTTGTGTTTCACAAACATTTTCACATATTATTAAATGCTTAGTGGCCACAAGTTTAACAGTTTGTATTAACTGACATTAAACATAATTACTGTGCCACAAGTCCATCTACTGTCTTTGCTTTTTTTTTATCTTTATGTATTTTTTCATATGCCAAAGAGAAAACACCTGCACCAGATTTATTTAGGGATATATTAACCTATAAGGATATAACTCCATTTTTTTTTTTTTTTTTTTGGTTTTTTCGAGACAGGGTTTCTCTGTGGCTTTGGAGGCTGTCCTGGAACTCGCTCTGTAGACCAGGCTGGCCTCGAACTCACAGAGATCCACCTGCCTCTGCCTCCCGAGTGCTGGGATTAAAGGCGTGCGCCACCAACGCCCGGCATAACTCCATTTTTAAGGTTATTATTATTGACGTACTGAAAGAGAGAGAGAGAGAGAGAGAACTAGTAACCAACTTCTTCAGTTCAGTTAAAGGCCATGTCTTTTATTATTTTAAAGTCTTTGAAAGTATTAAAACCTTAAGAGAAACAAAAGGAGGACAAACAAAAACAAAGAGGGGAAGTCTTAAGAGGTTCGGTGGGGGAATAATCAACAGCTTCTCATTTACGTGGCCACCACCAAACACAAAACAAACCCCTTGTAACCTGTTCAGCTGTCTGAGGTCTTTGTGTATCTGCATTCCATCCAGAAGAGTTCCCCGAGCACACGAGCACCAACGGCTCTGTCCTCTTGTGGTAGTTGTTCTCGTCTCAATAATCTCAAAGCCAGCTTCCTGGAGAACCTCTCTCTCACTGACGGTCTCGGTCTGGCCATGCTGTCAAACGTGCCAGATTCCCTCACAGACCTTTAGGACGTGGTTTCCTGGTCTTCAGTAAGTTGCAAGACATGCTGTGTCATGATGTAAAGTCTTCTTATTCTGCAAATGGTCTTTTGGCAGCACACCACAGCTATGCTGTGTCATTAAAACGGGCAAGTTTCCTTAGTTTGCCAACTAACTAGTTTGCACATCTTTGTTCAATTTGCGGTAAGCTGACTGGAAGGCAAACTGGTTCGATTTCTCCAACAGTGTAACGCTGTGTGGTATCTCGATTCTCAGTTTGATCGGGTCATCTTCCAACTTTACCACCTGCTGAGGGCGTCTACTGTCACCACCAATGCAGCAATCTCGGCGCTCCCCACCCCAAGTTCAGGCCGTGCTACCCTGCTCGCCAGAGACTTCGCTGAGGGAAGGGTGCTAAGGGGGTGACAGAGGCTATGGAAGCCTAGCATTGTCCTGAGGCAGGGGACTCCTCTACCGCCGTGACGGTGCCATTGCTTCTCCACATGTGCAGACACAAACTTGTCGTCACGGACTATCCGTGGTTGCTGGATTACGTCACTGTCGCTTTAAAATTAGATTCTCTTTTCTCTTTCACATCATTACTCCATTATTTGTTACTGTTTTTGTTTTTCGAGACAGGGTTTCTCTGTGTAGCCCTGGCTGTTTCTGGAACTCACTTGGTAGACCAGGCTGGCCTTGAACTCACAGAGATTCCTCTGCCTCTGCCACTTGAGTGCTGGGGTTAAGGGTCAAGGGTTAAGGCATCACCACTGCCCAGCTATTAACTCTGTTATTTATACGGGCCCTGGACAAAGCCTCTGTGCTTACTCTTCTGTAATCGCCAGTACAGGAAAAGGCCTGTGCCTATCCCATAGACCTGCAGAGGGAAAACAGGCGACTGGGCATGTGCATCCATTGCACAACAGTCTTAGGACGTGACAATCGTTTCTGTGTGGCAGCCCACTCCTAGCACGCTTCCTCAATTCACTTCCATTCTGGCAGGTGTCTCTGAGCCTGACTTCTGCTCTGTCCCTGATTGTGTATGGCACACAAACAAGAAGTCTTCTCCGATCTGATAATGACCTTAATTGATGGGAGGAGGCTCCTGCCTTTGGAGGAGGGCTGCTGGGTTCAGACACAGAAGCCGAGCACCACACAGGTGCAATGGAGTAAGCAGACACTTCATACCAACATATTTGCGTATTTATTACAACTGTACAACAGCTGGCAGTAAATTGTCTTGGCAAAGTGACTTCTTTTCATCATTTGAACAAAGGTCCTGTATGGGCTAACGGTAGCCCTGCTGAAAGGCCAGAGAGAAATCTGTTCCAGCGAAATTTTCATAGCAAATAATAAATAATAGGTAAGTCAGATGCCAACAAAGTCAAAAGCTGACCAAGGCCACAGTTCCCATTCGCATTGCCAGGCTTTCTGGAGCAGAGTGCCAGCTGCTTGCCAGGCTTTCTCCCACTCATCTTTACCACTCTCCTCCTCTGCCAGCTGGCTAAAGGCACGGTGTGTACGGAAGAGCACCAGTACTGTACTGGCCTTCATCTTTGGGTAGCTACAGACTCAGGCCTCCAGGCTTAGTCTGACAAAAGAAGAAAAAGCAAGAAAGATATACACACATCTCACTCCCAGTGTCTGTCTTTCTATTTCTACACACCCAGAGACGGGGTTTTGTCATGAATTCAGAAATTCCCCCAAAGTTCTCATTGATGATTCATACAGGCACCTGAAACAAAAAGAGAGACACACATTCAGTTCCCCCAGATGAGCAGTGTAGAAATGGTTTGAGGGCAGACACACTTGAAAACAGCCTGTGATCTATGAGCCTCTGACCTACTGCAGAGCCCAGACTCTGGGGCCCTGGTAATAGCATCCTTGATAAGAAGCCAGGAAAAAAATTATACAGCACTCTTCTAGGAACCCAAGGTCAAGATGCCCCAGCTGACCAAGTTATCCCGGGTCTGTTAAACTGCTTGTTTGTGCAGGACCTCCTCCTGAAGCTGTGGAGGAAGATACCAGGACATGGGCTTTGCCTTTGAAAACCTTTTAGTCTATACACTTGGTGCTACACTGGGGTCCCAAAAAACTGAGTGTATTCCCAGCCTGCTAGAATAAAGACTTTCAACTGGCTATAGACTGAGTCTGAGTGGTCTTCTCTGGTGGGCACCCAACAATATCACCAAGGGCTTGGAATGAATCGGACACCCCAAGACAGACCTGCATTTATACCTGGGAAATACCTATGGCTTTCAGATAAAGCAAATTACCCAAAACAATGTCTCATTTGAAAATTGTGAATTGGGGTAAATGTTCTTTCTTTTCTATAGCAAAATTTCACACATGATGGTTTTCTTTTGTTTCCGAAAAGCATTTGTATTTCAAACAGAAACGTCTGTTTTAATCACTGTTCTATTGAGCCAACCAAACACCATAACCAAGGCAACTTATAAAAGAAAGAGTTTAATTTGGGGGTCACAGCTCCGGAGGATTAGAGTCCACAACAGGGACCATGGCAGCAGGCATGGCACTGGAGCAGCTGAGAGCTTACATATGAGGAGGCTAACTGGAAACGGTTTGGAACCACAAAGCCTGCCCCCAGTGACACACCTCCTTCAAGAAGGCCACACCTCCTAATCCTTCCCACACAGCTCCACCAGCTGGGGATCAAGCATTCAAACACATGAACTATGGGGGCCATGCCCATTCAAATGACGGTAGTCTCCATCCTTCCACTGCTGGCCTCGCTCTCATCAAGTGAATCAAGGAGCAGTCCCAAGCACACCCAGCTGTGTGTCGGCTGGAGCCCATCCCACATCTTTACCTTTCGAGGCTATCCTCTTCCAAAGTGATCTCCATAAACGTCTTCAGCTTCCTGTTCACGGTCTCTGCAACCTCCTTCAGCCGTGCATTTCTGTGTTTACCTGTAAGAAGATGGAGTCTGTTCTGTGTTGTGTTATTTTTCCCAAGGTAACCCTGGCTGACGGCAGGACAATTATCCCTTCCAAGGAGATGCTGTGAGAGCACACAAGATAATGCAATCACCAGACAGGCGTTACAACCAGCACAAATCGATTCGTGCACTGCTTACGTTACTGGCAGATACTCAGCACCCACATCCCTGCCCACATCCCAGTGAGGCATGCCCCTTGCTCTGCAGAGCACGGGTGCTCTGTGCCTCTAAGTCAGGGGGAGTCACTCAGACAAGCCTTTACAGTGCCCACACTGAGCCTAACAACCTTTTAAAGACATCACAGACTGAGCACCCTCACACAGAAATCTGTCATTTGCAACATTCGAAAATTCACAACTTCTGTGTTTCAGATTTTGAAGTATTTCAAATTTTAAGTTTTCCATTCAGGGATTCTGGATCAATGTGTTTCATGTAAATAATGTAAAACCTATGAGCTCTCAAATCTGAAAGAATTCTTGTCCTGAACCTATGGGTGAGAGACACCATTACCGCCTGGCTATGTCACTAGGACTTAACCAAAAATGTGGACACTTGAATATAGTCAGTCTACAAGGATGCCACTACACTTCACACTGAGCTGAGACCCTGCTAGTATCGTCAATTATCTTCCAGAGCCACTTTCAAAGGTTAAGCACTCCAGAGGCATGAAGCCAGCATGCCCACTGTCTAAAAACATCAATTTTAGAATTATTTGTGATACTGAATCTCGATAGTGTTGACCAAACTCCTCAGTCTGAGTGAGAACTACTCTTGCCTGAGCTCCCTGAGCAGCCGGGCCTACAAGGCCTGTGCTATGGGGTTCACCCAGATTTTTAAACATAAGTAACTCAGGGGAAATCAATAGAAATTCACTTCTGAGGTGGGCCTAGTGTTCTAGATCTGTAACCCCAGCAACTACCAAGGTCAAGGCAGGAAAACCCCAAGTTCAAGGCCCAACTGGGTTGCAGAGTGAGTTCAAGGCCAGCCTAGGTAAGTTAGTCAGACCCTGTCTCAAAATTGAAAAAGGAACTGGTGACATAGTTCAGTGATAGATCACTTATCTAGCCTGTACAAGGTGGGTGGGTGGGCGGGAGGGAGGGAGGGAAGGAGGAAGGGAGCTAGCAACCCAGTTCTCAAGTACAGACAGTGACATTTACATGCACCCCACAGTGAAAGTGAAAGTTGGAACAGAGCTATGATGCAGAGCAGGTAAGCTCATGCAAAGATGACCTGCACGGTGTTCAGAGGACACTGGGGAATAAGGGTGAAAAGGCTATGGAAAGCCTTTCCCGTCCTGGCAGAGAGGGTGAAACAGCCCAAATTCCCAAACATCTCTAACACTAGCAGCAAACAAGGACATGATCAGTAATGCACCAGATGAAGGAGAGAAAATGTAACCAACCTTTGTTAATAACCAAAATAATATGCAGAACAGCTGTGAGGCACACGATGCCTTCAATATCACCGGAGGTTACACATGCCTTTAGTTCATCCAAAAATGACCTGCGAAATCAGCAAACATCTGAAATTACTCCACATCCCTATACTTACAAAAAAATAAGCATAGGCAAGGTTTACCCACAATCAATGGAGACTCAACATATTGGGGATGCCAGGACCTTGGGACAGCCACACAGGATTGCAGGAGGTATTGCACTGAGCCAGCCTGCACCTACTAGACAAACTGTATGTGGGGTTATCCAAGTCCTTTGGAGCCCAGTGGATCTTAAATGAATTTGGTTGCATCAGATACTGAGCTACAAGATCTGGAGCTACACTGACCGATTTTGGTTCTACTTAAGTGTTATTGTTTTTATGCCTTGCCTCTTTCCTCTTGTAATAACAAAAGGACATAACTTATTTTTTGTTTTGTTTTGTTTTTCAGGAGCCCACATTTAAAGAAATATATTCTTTTTAAAGAAAGAAACAGGACTTTCAAAGTGTTGAAAATTTTAAGGACCACAGGACTTTTGATGTTACAATGGGACTTTTACAGTTATACTATGTTTCATGTTGTGATATTAACATGATATCTTGGGAGCCAGGCGGTGGTGGCGCACGCCTTTAATCTCAGCACTTGGGAGGCAGAGGCAGGCGGATCTCTGTGAGTTCGAGGCCGGGCTGGACCGATAGCCTCCAAAACAATACAGAGAAACCCTGTCTCGTAAAAAAAAAAAAACATGATATCTTGGGGATCAACAACAAAGGAAAGGCCATGATTTAATAGTGATATGTGTGTATGTCAAGCTGACAACGGGTCAATTTTGCTACTGAGTTTTTGTCAACACACACACTGGAGTCATCTGGGAAGACAGGACCTTAACTGAGAAAATACCTCCATCAGACTGACCGGTGAGCTTGTGTACAGTATGCTTTCTTGATTAAGATTGAGGTTGGAGGGCTAAGTCAATGTGAGTGGTACCACCCTTGGGCAGGAGGTCCTGAGTTGTATAAGAAAGCAAGCTGAGCAAGTCACAGAGAACAAATCAGAAAGCAGTGTTTCTGAATGGGCTCTGCTTCCCACCCTGCCTTGGCCTTTCTCCATGATCGAATATATGTAAAAACCAAGTGAACCCTTTCCTCCTCAAGTTGATTTTGGTTAGTGTCTTATCAAAGCAACCGAGAAGAAAACTGGAACACACAGTCAGAAGTATTTTTGTACACACAAATTTTTCCCCCGTCTAGCAGAATTTAGTTGTGATAAACATAGCTGAAAAACTGTTTAAATGGATATGACAGTTTATAGAAAGTAATGGTTCTTTATGAAAGTCTAATGTAAGCACTTTCCATCACTCATAAAACATAGAAAAACTCTATGGAATGTTTTTCTTAAGGAGTAAAAATACCTTTGAAAACCTGAGAGTAGTAGATCATAAGGCACTGACTGAGGAAAAAAAAATACAGATCAGGTTGTACCAAGATCAGAGAGAGAAGGCAATTACCTGACCACATCCAAAGACTTCATTATTATTCCCAGTAAACACCTTGAAAATGGAGGAAGGTCAGCGAGACACTGTGGTGTGGTCAGCTCTTCTGTGTCAGACACCTAGGAAAGTTTCATCAGTACATTATAAATAGTCCACACTGACAGCTTGGTTCACATGGATCTGGGTTCTCTTCTATCTGGCCAAAACATTCCAGAAATTCAAAGGAACAAGCCTGATTCACTACAGTTAATTACGAATGTGGCATTATTTTGCACAGGAACATTTTACTCAGTGAAACATAATGAAGGACATTATCACCTAGCAAGCCTTTTATCAAAGGGCCTTTATTTAGCTTGATAACATCTATAAATCATACACTTTTATGGTAAGCCAATTTAATCAGTTCTCAGCCAAGATTAGACTCTCAGTCTTAGAATACTGGTCTAAAGCAGCAGTTCTCTCTATCCCTTTGGGGATTCAAGCAACCCTTTCAGAGGGGTCACCTAAGACCACTGGAAAAACACATTTGCATTATAACTTATAACAGCAGCTAAACTGCAGTTATGAACTACTAGTGAAAATAATTTCATGGTTGGGGGACACCATACCATGAGGAACTATATTAAAGAGTCACTCCCTGTTAAGAAGGTTGAGAACCACTGCTCTAGAGAAACCAGGTGGACCACAGAAAAAGATGAAACAGAACAGTAAAATCCAGGCATGGTGGGTGGTTCATGTGTGTGATCTCAGCACTGTGGAGGCTGAGGTAGGGGCTTGTCATGAGTTCCAAGCCAGGATGAGCTTTGAGTCCCCGTCTCAAGACCAAGCACATCAGTAGCTTCAACATCAGATGAACTATAAGCACTCCCCAAAAGAGGAAGACACCGTCACACTGGAGGGACCCGTGTGACACACTTACAACACCTTAGCTGTAAAGACAGGTCAGCAGAAAAAGCTCAAAGCAAAGCCACCCCCCCCACACACACACACTCGAAGCTTAAGGGAGGCAGGCTGGCTGAAAAGCTAACAATGTAGGCGTCGTGAAGCATTATGGAAAACAGGTATTCCTAACAGGACGCTCAGAAATAAGACCTCAAAAGGAGACAGTAATCTTAAATGTGTATGCGACCAACGAAGGGAGAGCCGACAGGAAGCATGGACAAAGAACAATTTGCAGTGAAGAACACAGACTGGGAGAAGACGGGTCAGGCGCCAGCACGCTTTTGCAGAGTCAGAGCAACACAACAGAAAGGGACACACAGGGCCTCAGCTCAGTCACACTGCTCCGCTTACTGCGAGGCACAGGGTAGGACAGGGCACACGAGCAAAATGTGCTGTGACACGCACGCTTTATAACGTCAGCTAAACAGCCTTCTGAAGTTAAGGTCTAATCGATTACTAGGTTTATGCTGTATGTCACCTAGAAATTACTTTCTTTGCTTTTTGTTTTTTGTTTTTTGTTTTTTTTTTTTGGTTTTTCGAGACAGGGTTTCTCTGTGGCTTTGGAGGCTGTCCCGGAACTCACTTTGTAGACCAGGCTGGCCTCGAACTCATAGAGATCCGCCTGCCTCTGCCTCCCAAGTGCTGGGATTGAAGGCGTGCGCCACCAACGCCCGGCTAGAAATTACTTTCTTAAACCGAACAATTTCTCTTCACACTTTGAAGGACAGCCATAAATACTAATTAATATTTCAGAATTTAATAAACATATATTTGGTTCTATCTATGTATCTATCTATGTATCTATCTATCTATGTATCTATCTATCTATCTATCTATCTATGTATCTATCTATCTATCTATCTATCTATCTATCTATCTATCTATCTATCTATCTATCTATGTACCTATGTACCTATCTATGTATCTAACTATCTATTTTAATTTTCAAGACAGGGTTTTTCTGTGTAGCTTTGTAGACCGGGCTGACCTCAAACTCACAGAGATCCACCTACCTCCCTGTGCCCCCAGTTTTTTGTCATGTTATATTACAAAGTTTGTAATAATTAAAGTAGTTTCTCAGACAGCACTTGTCTTGCGGTGGACCCAGGTTCAGCTCCCAGCACCCACCTGGTAGCTCAAAATCATCTGTTAACTCCAGTTCCAGGAAATCCGGTACCCACTTTTGACCTCCACAGGCACCAGGCGCATGCACACGTGAGCACGGACGGACACACACACACACACACACACACACACACACACACACACACACACACACACACACAGGCAAACACTCATCACACAAAAACAAAGTAATAAGCACAGCTGACATTCTGGCAGCAAGGGGCAGTGTATCTGACAGCGACATGATACCCAGTGTGCCGGTGTTGGTGTCAGCATAACCAGGGTGTGGCGCAGTGAGAATTTGTGCCTTCTTCTCAGACTGCCCGTGGTTAAGCTGTACATGACACGCAAGGCAGTGACAGTCCATCTTTTTATTCTGAGTAAACCCATGGCTACTTCTCCCCTCACGTCACTACCCGTGTCCACATGGGACATCTTGGAGCTGAAGAGGAGGAAGAGCAAGCACCCTCCATGCTCTCCACCACACAGCGTCACTTTCTGTGTTGGCTTAGACGATCACTGATCAGATCAACCTTTAACCAATCAGACTGAGTCTGTGTCAATGAGAGCCTTCCATTCGTCTTTGGCTGTGACAGGAAAGAGATGACGAAACTCAAGTTTCTGGAGTTGGGGGGTGGCTCGGCTGCTAAGGGACCTTTCTACTCTGCTAAAGGACCCAGGTTCAGTTCCCAGAATCCACAAAGCTGCTGACAACAGCCCGTGAGTCCAGCTGTATTCAGCAGTAGAGAACCTAACACCCTCTTCTGGCTTCTGTGGGCACCAACCACGCATGTGGTGCACAGAAGCACGCATAAGTAAGACACTCCTATGTAATAAGTGAATCTTTAGAAACTCACGCTCAGGCATGCAGAGACATGACCCACCGTACACCAATTCAGTCTAGAAGACAGAGACATGACCCACCATACCCCAATTCAGTCTAGAAGACAGAGACATGACCCACCATACCCCAATTCAGTCTAGAAGACAAAAATATGACCCACCATACCCCAATTCAGTCTAGAAGACAGAGACATGACCCACCATACCCCAATTCAGTCTAGAAGACAGAGACATGACCCACCATACCCCAATTCAGTCTAGAAGACAGAGACATGACCCACCATACTCCAATTCAGTCTAGAAGACAAAAATATGACCCACTGTACACCAATTCAGTCTAGAAGACAGAGACATGACCCGCCATACCCCAATTCAGTCTAGAAGACAGAGACATGACCAACCATACCCTAATTCCATCTAGAGCAGCCCCGCACTGTTTGCCCAGCCATCCCTGATTTCTCCCCCAGCAAAGAATCCTGCCACTATCAGTTCACTCAAAACTCTTAGAGCCCACCAACACATCCATTTCAGTCAGGAATAGCACATCCTTAGCTTATGCTCCACAGTTGCCCCACGGCTCTAGACATGAACGGCAAAGTACTGAAACTGGCCAACGGTCCTCGCCAGACGCTGCACACACACTGTCAGCAGACACAGCGTCGGGGACAGTCGGGACCATGACAGTTTCAGAATCAACAGTCCTCACCTTCCGCAGCTGGTGACTTATCTCAACCACGGGCGCAGCGATCAGAGTAGAAAGGACACCATGGTGGACTGCAGTGTCCTTGTACCACAACTGGATGGTGCTGATAAATTCATGGAGGGGGGTCTGGACAGAATGAAAGAGCTACAAGAAATCACATTAGTCAGTCAGTGTGACTAAGATTCAGTTTTTTCATTTTTTTTTTTTTTTGCAAAATGAATTTGTTGTTTTTACTTAGTAATTAGAATTTTCAGAGATAAATATCAATAAATACAAACTGAAAAGTGAGTATTTCTGGGTACAGTGGTGGACACATGGAATCCTAACTCTCAGAAAGCTGAAGGAAGGAAAATATAGCTTTGTTTTCTATTAAATGCTTTAACATGATTATCTAAAACCAATCTATTTTAAAAATCCAGCACTTGTAATTGAGAAATAAAAGGACTCAGTTTTTAAAAAACAAGCACCAGGTGTGGTGGCTCATACCTGTGTCTAAGACTGCCCCAGGCTAAGTAAGGAGGACTGATGGTAAGTTTGAGGCCAGCCTGGGCTACATTGGTGAGTTCCAGGCCACCCTGAGTTCCAGAGTGAGTTCTTGCCTCAAGAAATTAAATAAATGAATGAATGAATGACATGACTGCTAGGCATGGAGGCACCTTGGGAGCAGAGGCAGGCCGATTTCTGTGAGTACAAGGCCAGCCTAGTCTATACAGCAGGTTCAAGGACTATCAGAGCTCCAGAATGAAGCTGTCTCAACAACAACAACAAAAATCAATGAAATAAAAACAATAGAAGTATCAATAGTAAGGAGGGGTGGAGGAAGGAAGGACAGGCAACTAACAACATTCAAGTAAAAGCATCAGCTCAGGCAGTGTTTGAGTGGCACAACTCAACCTAGGATGGAAGACATGTCAGAGAGTCTAAAACTGGGCAAAACTACATGAACGCATCACAGACACTTGAAACAACTAAAAGTTAAGCTAGGAAAAAATGGTGTCAGCAATGTTCAAGCATTTCCATCAGCTAAGTCTAGAATAAACCTGAGAATCTTTGGTATTTCATAAACAGCCTCCCATTTAAACATTTTTAAATTAAAACAGTAACAGTTCACTAATAGAAAAAATGGCCCTCTCTGCTAACACTGTAACTTATTGAGGAATGGGCTTTATACAGTTTTTAGGAACACGTCTGGTCCCTTTGACTTTTATGACCCAGTTTCTCAATCATCTCAGCCTATGAGCTTTCCAACATCTACAGAAAACCACAGTCCCTCCAAAGTGCTTCTAAATGGGGACATTAGCAAATAATAGGAGGCAGAAGATGATGGAGTTAACAGAGGATGGAGTTGACAGAGGATGGGAGTTAACAGAGGATGGAGTTGACAGAGGATGGGAGTTGACAGATGATGGAGTTGACAGAGGATGGAGTTAACAGAGGATGGAGTTGACAGAGGATGGGAGTCTGCAGATGGAATTAACAGATGATGGGAGTCTGCATTCTTCCAGGTAGTGACTGTCCCTCAGAAAATGAGCATCTTCTCAAATATATTCTTTCTGGGAGGCTCTGGAATCACAGATTGCAGAAATCAGCTCTATTTACAGCCCTGACATTTGTGGGACCTCAATCCCTGAGCTCAAGATCTGCATGCCACCAAAGAACGCAGGTATGCTTAGCTTTAGGGCTGGCGTCCAACTAACATACTCTGCCTACAGCCCAGAGCATGGTAAGACCCAGCCAGTTCAAGCACTATACCGGCAGGCTTTCTTCTGGCTGCTTCCTGAAGGTCCAGGCAACACATTCCAACATCTTCTGGAATACTTCCTGAACCGAGTCAAAGAGCACTGTGACATCTTCATCTGAATCTGTTTTCTGAATCATGGAGTTTCCGGCTATCTCCTTCAGAATGCCAAGAAGTAGTGAAATGTAAAAAAATCCCTTCACTAGAAAGAAAAGGAGAATCACAAATTACCTATGCACATAGGTCAGCTGAAATCGCTTAACGCATGTACATGACAGGACTAGAAGGACCCGTCACTACTGAGTCTGCACTGAACAGGGACATCTGATTTTTTCTCCACATAACTGTAAGACTGACTACTTCTCCAGTAACAACAGTACAACTGACTCTGTAGTAAACGAAGCACTCTGTTCACTGCATATTGACAACTGGCAGAATGACTTCTGTAACACCCAATTAGAAAACACAGACTTTCGGTCTGGAGAGATGGCTCAGCGGTTAAGAACACTGACTGTTCTTCCAGAGGTCCTGAGTTCAATTCCCGGCAACCACATGGTGGGTCACGACCACCTTGAATGAGATCTGGTGCCCTCTGCTGGCGGGCAGGCAGGCAGAGGACTGCATATACAATAAATAATAATTTTTTTTTCCCGAGACAGGGTTTCTCTGTATTGTTTTGGAGGCTATCGGTCCAGCCCAGCCTCGAACTCACAGAGATCCGCCTGCCTCTGCCTCCCGAGTGCTGGGATTAAAGGCGTGCGCCATCACCGCCCGGCAAATAATATTTTTTTAAAAAAAGGAAACACAGACTTTCTCTTATATTAATACTCAGGTTAAAAAAAAAAATCAAGGGCAAGTCCAACCTCACATCTCTCAATATCACTTAGTAACAACATCATAGATTTCAGATACTTGGTTGTAACTTATTGGTTTCCTTTGGTGGTTTTTGCTTGCTTGCTTCAATTACCTCCCTGACTAGGTACATAACCCGTCAAAATTCATTCTGTATATAAGCCTAGTAACACTGTTTCTCCATTTTTACTTCTAATCAATCTTGCCAGTAAAAACTACAAAAGTAGAGACGGTGACCTGCCCCAGCAAGCTTAAGGGCACCCCGTGTCACCCTGCCCCACTCTAACAGATGGCTCAGGGGCTGATGAAGCCCTTAACTTTTGGGTACCAGACAGAAAGTTGCCTGGCAGAACCCATGATACAAGACATTAAAATAAAACAGGCATGCAATAAAGTACAGAAATGATGCCCCTCATCCAGGTGACCACAAGGACTGGTCCAGAGAACGGGCCTGGATATGAAGGGCAAAGCCATTCAGCTACACAAGGGACTAAAGACTCAGCAAGCTCTGCCAGAGACCACAGCCAACTACACCCCAAACCTTCCTGCTAAGGGAAGACAGACTTCCCATCCCAGAGGTTCTCTATGAATCATCCTCCCTAGGTCTAAGACGCTGCCAGAATCGATAAGCAGCTCCACAAGATTGCTAAAACCACAACAGAAACTTTCAAGGAGTTACTACTCTCATTCGGAGGAGTGTGGAAGAACTCACTGTTCATACACATCTGTGGTGCAGGATGTCCACCCATGAGACGGGTGGCGAGCTCTTTAAACCCAGACACTGCTAAGGCCTGACAGGTATTCTGAGGTGGGCCACACCTCCTGCTGGCAGCCTATGTGAGGACAGAGCTTGCTCTCGCCTTGCCAGCAAGTCCATTCCTCCAGGGCAATAGAGCCTACTTCTTCGGGACTCCAGCATTTACTGAAGCCAGCTTAGATATCAAGCCTCGTCGACTGAACGACTTCTGGGTTCTTGGACCTTCCGTTGGCAGACAGCCATTGATGGATTAACTGGACCGCAGCCTGAAGGCCGTTCTAATAAATCCCCTTTTACAGATGCAGTCACTCTATAAGTTCCCGCCGTCTAGCGAACCCTGACTAATACACAGACAAACGTGGAAAGGAAAGCCACAAATTTTAATCGTAAGTTATTTCATTCACTGTATGTAACAAACTGCTATCAACAGGCCAGGACTCATAGCTCCCGCCAAAAACGGTGCTGATCTATAGTCGTCACTAAGAGTCCTCCCCAGGGCACAGCTCAAAGCCAGAAAACAAGCCATCAATCTGAAACTGAAGCAGTGCTGGCTCCATAGCTCTTCCCAGTATGCTCATCTTTAGGTTGCCAACTACCTGCCCACAAACAAACGGCTCACTATTGCAGCAAGACATGGGGGACAGCCTCACTTGTACGCTGTGGTCTGACCTCCTGCACCGTCTCCAAACTCTATGTGATAGCCTTGGTCTTTGAGATACTAGAGGCCAGCTGTCTTACATTTGCCCTCTATCAAAGGTCTTTTTCTTTCAAAGCCTTAGATTTCCTAGAGTCTTTACTTTTAAAAATTCAACCTTATTTAATTGGGCTGGTATCTTTGAGTAAGAAATCTTCTCCCACAGCCCTGGTATGTGTGATGCCTGATTGTCCACACTCTATATACTATAGTGAGAATACCAGAAGTTGGTGGCTTATGCAGTTGGCCACCCAACTGTGAGCCAGGGGACGGCTTCTTTAGAATATTCCTTTGGGCTTACAAAGAATACTCTACCTGGGCATAATTAATATTAACCTATGTGGTGGTTTGAATGAGAATGGCCCACATAGGCTTTCATCTCTGCTGTGTCTCACGTAAGCTCTCAGACACAACTCCTGCCCCATGCTTGCCCACTTGCTGCCATGCTCCCTGTCGTGAAAGTCAGGGACGTGGGAAGCTGGGAGGTGACATCTCTGCGGTACCCTTGCATCAGACATTGGCATCACTGGTTCTGGCTCCAGGTGTGCCCCATGCTGGCCACATCACTCGTGACCTTCTTCTGGGACAGATTACACAGACATCAGGAGGAAAAATCTGACCCAGGGAGCAGAACCCCAAGAGCCTGTCGGAAGCCAGACGACAGCGGGCGACAAACTGGCACCCTGACGGTGGTGCCTGGCATGAGAGGCATCTCTGAGACTGCGAGTGGTGTTAACCAATAAACAAAGGCCAGTACGTGGAAGATGTCAGTGCTTGCAAGCCAGATTCTCATTTTCGGAGGGAGAGAGTGAGGGATGGAAGGATGGACCAGCACTGCTTTCAAGCACTGCTTTAATGGAGAAATGATGCTGAGTACCTTTTTTCATTATTCCGAGACTCCGCTGTAGAAGCTGGATCTGAAACTCAGGGTCTCCAAGGCCCACCATGACAACATCTTTACACACAGCCAGGTAAGTCTGCAAGGCACACACAGGTTCAACAACAACAAAAGTCATTTAAAAAGGAATGCAGTCAAGCACAACAAAGTCTCTCCTGTGACGTACTATGAGCAGATGTTTCCAACTGCTTTACAAAGGAATTTCCATAAATCATACATTTTTGTTTTTGTGAGACCTCTATAGATATTTTATGCAATCCCACCAACCTAAACAAATACCCATCACATACAACATGTTAAACTGCATCAAAATTATGTAGAATGTGCTTTGTAGGAAAGAAATGCCATTCTTGGTGTTGTACAGCAGCTCCAGGTTCTAAAGCCACGTTACAACACAATAAATAAACGGTCTTGAGAACACAGCGCCAGCCCTGTGTCCTGGCTGCTGACCTGGATGACCTGCTGATAGACATCCCTCCGAACCTTCAGATACTCCTCTTCTTGGTCTTGAAGAAGAGGTAAAACTTTATTTTCCAACCAACATCCGGTTTCGCTCAGGATGGACAGACGGATCTTCTCTTCTGAGCAGAACTGTCCAACACACACAAAGAGGTTCGTGAGGCACGAGCAGCTTAGATACACGATGCTCTCACAACGCCAGGACCAGACAGCCTACCGTGTACTGAAGGTGGACGCTCAGCCTGCAGTACAGACCGAAGGCATGCAGGGCAGCTGCTTTGTTGAAGTTGAGGGGATTCCCGCTTGGAGACTCGAGAAGTGATTCCAGATCTGCCTATAAAATTACAAGCCGGGGACACTTTCTGAATGGCGTGTGACTCCAGCAAAGCAAAGCAAGACGGAAAGTGCCTGATCTACAGGCAAGTCAGAGGGGTAACTGTGCCCGTGACAGCTCTCTCTGCTATCCCTGCACCTGAACACTCTCAGCCGAGCGGGCTTTAGACGCACACAACATGGTCAGCAGCTGTGCAAGGCCCCAGGACCACTGCCCACAGGGACCACCGCCTGTCTCCTGGGCGGCAGCAATGAGGACTGTCTGGCTGAGAATCCTACGGGAGGAGGTCAGGGCCAGTGCAGCAGGGGAAGAACAGGATTCCAAAGGGCACTTGGGCCACAGTGAGTTCATGTCACACACACTTTCCAAGATTCCCAAAAACACAGCTGAAGCTCGGCAGTGGTGGCGCATGTCTTAAGTCCCAGCACTCGGGAGGCAGAGGCAGGTGGATCTCTGTGAGTTCGAGGCCAGCATGGTCTACAAGAGCTAGTTCAAGACAGTCTCCAAAGCCACAGAGAAACCCTGTCTCGAAAAAAAACAAAACAAAACCTGGCACTCTGACACACTAGAAACCGTAGGCTCTAAACACTGTTTGTAAGGAGACAGGTCTGCTCCCGGCCTCTCCTGTCCACCTCAGAGTCTTTGTGGGTGCTAATTCTCAGTTCCTTTCAGCTTGCAAACATCCTAGCACCAAAGAATGAAGGCTATGCGTCTAACCGCACCACTGTTACCACTGTTACCACTGTTGGAAGCCATTTTAACATCCAGGATAAGCGGTTACCTTGGATCCCTCAAGGGCTTTTAAAAGCTGGTTCAGTTTCTTCTGGGGTGCAGAGAGCAGACACTCTCGATTCTTTGGGTGGGTCAACAAATACTCCATGTACAGCAATGCTAACTCGGGTTTCACCGGGCATGCGTCACTGATTTGCAATTTACGTTTAGAGGCCAGGTTACTCTGAAGGAGAGCGGAGGAACACAGAGGCGATTAGAGTGTATGTTCCCAGACATTGCACGATTTCCAAATGCCCATCTTCTCCACATTGCAGAGAGGCATGGCTGTATACTCACCTTGGCCTGAGGTGGCCTTGTAGGCAGCCAGTCAACAATGAGCTCCAGGACGTGCCCCACTTGCCCCCAGGAACAGAGACAATCCAGCAAGGTACAGTAGCTCCTGCCTATAGTGCTCTCCTCCTGACTCCTCAGCACAGAAATCACACCACAGCTGAAAAGCCAAGTACAGAAAGCCGGGTGGGTATCCCTGCAGAAAGCCCCCACCGTCCCACGGGTGAGGAAAACCAAGGCAGTTTGACTGCACGAAGTGTACAGGGCCTCAGAGTTACACTGGTACTCACTACCCTGTGAAACCTTAACAGACTGCAGCTGCAAAAGGACACGCCCCATACCTCAACCACCTTCTGTTTCTAGTGCCAGCTGTCAGAGTCCACAGTGGTCCTAATGTAGGACACAATTATTTTCTCCTTTTCTTTTTATATTATATATATATTTCACATAATACCTATCACACTCCCCCTCCCCCAGAGCCTCCCCACCCAACTCCACCTGCTTACGTTCTCTAGAAAGCAAACAAAACCCAGAGAAACACACACAGAAAAAAAAAGCAAAAACAAAAACAAAACACCAAATTAGAAACCCAAATATCCAAACAAAAGACAAAAGTACGACATTAATTTTTGTTATGCCACAGAACATTGACTTTGGAGGCTGGCAAACTAGCTCAGCAGGTAACGGTATTTTCCATCAAGCTTGATGACTTGAGCTTGATCCCCAGAATCCAGAGAGAACTAACTCTCGAAGGCTGTACTCTGGCCTCCACACACTTGGTGGGGTGTGTGCATGTGCACAAACACACGTTTAAAAAAAATAAGTATTTTTCTTTTGAGTGTAAATAAAACCAAGTAGGTTTTACTCTTGAGCAGCAAACTCCAGAACTACACTGCCTAATTAAAAAAAAAAAAAAAAATGCAAGGGTTGGAGAGATGGCTCGGTGGTTAAAAGAATTTGCTGCTATTGTACGAGACTAAATTCAGTTCCCAGCACCCACATGGTGATTCACAATCACAATCTCCTCCAATTTCAGGGGATCCAACATCTTGACTTCCTCAGGCTCCTGCAAACACATGGTGCACACACTCAGGCATGCGTGCACGCGCGCGGGCACACACACACACACACAGTTTTTGAATTAGTACATTAATAGAAGTTCAGTGACCAAAGGCATGATAATCATATATGCATATACGCAAACATTTGTTCACCAGCCACATAAAAAAGTACATACAGTGTAAAGAGAATCAGTGAAATGGATTCCAGCAGCTCATTTTGGTCTAAGCACTTGGAGCTACATGTGGTCAGCAGTGACCCCAGGCTCTAGAGTTTGTCACTCTGGATATGAGAATAATGACCAGACATCAGGTGAAGTCGCAGATGAGTTCCTCGTGGTCTCTTTGGCAACCTCAGAGCCCACTGAAATCACATCCTGACAATCTCTCCATACAGAGGGGAAGGCAGGAGGAAGAAACACAGAGCAGGTGACAGCGAACCCCAGGGGACACTCTTGCTGTGTGGCAGCATACCTGAACACAGGGACGGCAGAGGCTGGCAAGAAGGACATCAGCATGAACAAAGGGATCTTGCAGCGCTCATCCTGCAAACACAAAAAGAAACATAAAGCTAACACAGGATTTGAAACGGGACATTTTCCCTAATAACCTGTTTCCACAGTTGCTCAAAAAGTACTCCAATAGTTACTTCAGTATCTAGAGGAAATCAAATGTAAAGGTGCCCCTCAGGTTTGAGGTTGAGATTACTTGAATGGAGCACCCTGACATCTCTACTCCACCTTCACTATGAAGCAAGTACAGCCATGGAACTGTATTTACTTGCAGAACACGTCAGGTGAAAGGGAAAAGCTGAGTAACTACTCATGCTGACCACGACTCTTAAGGGGACAAAGCGTTCTGATAATATCACACCAGACAATGTTATCTGAGGGAATGTGTGTGTGTTGCAGCTACAGAGTAAACCTCGGTCTGGTCAGATCCTACACCTAAAAGCTGGTAAAACCCAGAGGGAAGTGCCTGGGTTCAGTCGGTTTCCGCCCCTAGAATGCAGAGTGCTGGTAAAGACTCAAGGACCAGAGCCACAGGAAGCGGCAAGGTGAAGCACAAAGTGTGCTGAGTGCGATGAGCTGTAGCTTAAGTAGTCCTCACAGAGTCAGCTGAGCAGATTCCCCCTCAGAGTCCGTAAGATCACCACACATGGATGGGAGATGGTCCTGCTACTGTAACAACAGAGTCAGCTGAGCAGATTCCCCCTCAGAGTCTGTAAGAACACCACACATGGAAGGGGAGATGGCTTCAGTTAAAGTCCTTTTCACTCAAGTTTGAAGACTGGAGTAAGGATCCCCAGAACCCATGTAAATTCTGGGTGGGAGTGGCAGCCTATCTGTAATTCCAGTCCTCAGGAAGGAGAGACAAGGAATTCCCAGGTCAAGCAAGCTAGCCAAACGAGTCATATTGATGAGTTCCTCAAAACAAGCACGAAGACAGAAAGAGGAACAAAATTAAAGTGAGATGTATTATTCACCTGCGTTCAATTATTGTGACCACCTTGACTTCTAACTCCCAGTATCTATGGTAAACATGATGGCAAGAGTAAACAGCATGAAATATTCCTGAAAACCCTGAACAGAGTATAATGCATGATACATATGTGGGTAACGTACTTAGTAGCTCAATTTTAACCATCCCACAAGCTACACATACTCCAAAACATCACACTAAAAAAGCATTAAATCTTTTTTCTGCCAACTAAAAATATCTTTTTGTGCAAGTTCTACAAAAGCAAATGGAGGAGGGGGTGGATATTAAGGGTGGAAAGGGTTAGTGTGGGTGGGAGTAAGGGGAGGAGGGAGAAGAGAGAATAGGGGGAGGGTGAAGTAGAACCAGGAATTATTAAAAAGCCATATAGAAACTCACTACATGGGCTGGAGAGATGGCTCAAGGGTTAAGAGCAGTGGCTGCTCTTCCAGAGGTCTGAGTTCAATTCCCAGCACCCAAATGGTGGCTCAGTCATCTGTAATGAGAGCTGATACCCTCTTCTGGCCTACATGCATGCATGCAGATCAATTACCATGTATATAATAAATAAATATATCTTAAAAAAAAAAAAAGAAACTCACTACTTTGTAAGCTAATTGGAAATGTTTCTTTTTCACGGTGATTGAAGTGTGGGACTTTGAGTGAGTGACTAATGCTACTCCTAGAAAACAGTCTATTAAGTGAAAATCCTAGTGCCGGGCATGGGATTCCTCTTAGTTGATAAGGGAGGCTGCAGAGGAAACTAAAATTACACAGGCTATTATTGCCAGTGATCTTGGAAGGACCTAGCTGCTGAAGATACACACACTGTGACTACAGGACAGAGAGGGACAGAGCTAAACCTTCCTCCATCGGGCTGAGCTGCTGTGCAAGCTGCTGGGGAAGTCACTGACAGTCTGTCCCTGCAGCAGACCCTGGAAGAAACAGCACTGATGCGCCAGGCAAGATGTATCCACTGGTGCAATACTCTTGTGGAGATGGCGAAGCACTTCTTGTTTTTTTTTCAAGACAGGGTCTCTCTGTGTAGCTTTGTAGACCACACTGGCCTCGAACTCACAGAAAAAAAAGTGTAAGAGTCAAAGAATGTGGAAAACTGCTGTGGCACCCGTAAACTCAGAGACTGTGGTTAGCTGGGAAAGACCTATACCAGATGGATCCCATCAACATTCCAGCATGGAATGAGCTCAGGGTACCCCACTCCTAGCTGAGGAGCTATTGGCAGTTAACAGCAGCTGGGCGAGAAGTCATCTTCCTCGTCCATGACTTAGTAAGTAAGCCCACACCCATGTACAGACAAGCAAGCAACCCAATTAAACTCAGGAGGCAAAAAGTTTTAAAAAGGCTTGAGGGCATGCTGGGAAGCCAGGGCTCAAGAGAGTGAGAGGGGAATGAGAGAGGAGAATAGGAGCGCTGAATAGCATCAAAGTGTAGAAAATTATCAAAGAACACATTTTAACATATATTTCAATATATTTATGTATTTAATGAACCTATTATATATATTAAAGTTCTGTTGTATGTGTACGTGTTTTTGGTAGGCATCTTCTTCAATCACTCTTCACCTTCTTATTGAGGCAGAGCCTATTACTGAACAATTTAGCTTAGACTGGCCAGAAAGCCCCGATCCTCCTGCCTCAATCTTCCTAACACTGGGATTACAGATACATGCTGCCACACCCCACTTTTGTATGGGTTCTGTAGAGCAAATGAGCTATCTCTCTAGTGCCTAAAAATACCTTTTAGTTAAACTGACCTACTCTGTCTGCCTTGATAAGACCGACACAAATCACACTACAGGGAGACCTGCTTCCTATGCACCCTCAAACACCTTAGGGACTGCCTGCAAGATGGAATGCTCTGTTCATAGAACCGAATCCTCTTCCTAAAACTGCAACATCAGATTAGATGCCAACATCAGAAAGAAAAGCTAAGGGCTCAACGTGGACAGCCCCGTGGGTACCAAGGATATACAGCGGAGCAGAGGGAGAGATGCTAGCCTCACAACACCCTTCCTGTTGCACACAAGACAGAAAGTCCACGCAGGCGTCACAAAGCACTTCACTGGTAAGAAGAGCCCAGGCTCACCTTGAACACCTTCAGGTACTCAGGAAGCACGGACGCGAACTTGTTAATGGTATAACCTTTGGCCTCTTTGTTGTTTTCCAGGCTTCGGTGGATGGTCTTCCAGAGGATCACAATGACTTCTAGTAAGCCCGCCATGGATGCAGTGTCATTCACTGACAAGGTTTTGTCTAGAACCTAAGACACAAATACTGTTACTGTGACAGAATCCAACAAGTAATAAAAGGCCAATGTATTTTTTCAAAAGCACATCTCAGAATCGCAGGCACAGAACAGAACAATATAAAAATGGTAACGTCAACTTCCACGGCACAGTAAAACTTTCTTCACTACTTTAGAACCCATCTGTATCAGGAAGGTAGATTTGTTTCCAAATTCCACCCAAGAAATAAATGCTAAATTAACTCAATAATCTTTAGTGAGACAGTCTGTATGAGTCAAAATGTTTCTGAAATCAGAAACTAGTGCTTTTTACCATACACCCAAAGGACCTGGGATTATACTATACTACAAGGCTACTACTGATCACAGCTTACAACACTAGCCTGCCCCCGCAGGCGCTACTGAGGAACACTTTTTTTCTGAGACCGGCAGGATAGAACTCACAGACGTCAAGAACCCCTAAAATCATAGCCTTCTATGGAATACTGAAAAATCAAACCTGTTTATATTTTCCTGCTGTGCTGGTAATACACAACCACCCCATACCAGAAAGCTGAGTGCAAACCAGACTTGCATTCCAAAATCCCTGTCTCAGAGCTGGTGACCAGATTTGGTTTTGTGACCTGCAAAACAGTAACTGACCATGGAGACAGACACATGATGGAGGAAGTGACTTCCTAACGCTGAGATGAGGAGGATTGACTCAGCTAAGTTTCAACCACTCACTGTGACTACAAAATTGATGTTCAAAGAATACAAAGACGCAAACATAGCTTCTCCATAGTTAGCTATGTGTCAGCATTAGCTCAACGCTTTGAAATGTGGCAATGCTAACCAGATTCATAATGCAAACTGTCAGTGGTTAGGGTGCTAACAGAGGACTAATGGGACAAACCAATCCAAGTTTTGATTCTGAAGTCAGCCTTACTTTTCCTGTGCTCTAACTCTGTGAACAGAAAAGGAATTTATTGGAGCACATTTACATTTACACCGAGCATTATAGCACGTGATCACTACGTACTGACAGCTTAAGAAACATAAGTAAGTTTATTTGTTTTAAAGTAAACCACAGAAGCTCAATACTTTAGCACAACGGTCTCATTAAAATTTATGAAACCTACATTTCCCCTTTGAGAATAAGGCTTGAATAATGTACTAGGCTCTTAAGTAATGGTCCCTTATTTTATTTTAGCAGGCTAGGCTAAAATACTTCTGCAATACTAGGCTCCTCAGTAATAGTTTCAAAACTTTATTTTAGCAGAGAATATCTTTGGATGTTACTGGACGGCCATGAGAAAATCATTTGTGTGTTCGTTTCTTTGCGTGTGTGTTTGTGACAGGGTCTCTCTATATAGTCCTGGCTGTCCCGGAACTCACTCTGTAGACCAAGCTGGCCTTGAACTCAAAGATTGCCTGCCTCTGCCTCCTGAGTGCTGGGATTAAAACTTGGACATGGTAGTGTGTACTTATAAACCCAGAACTCAGAAAAGGCCAAAAACAAAAGGAAACATTTTAGCTACATATGTGTTCTTAGAATACCTATATGACAAGTTACACATTTTGCCAACATGGGTTACAATGTAACAAAGCTGTGTATTCTGAAGTCCTGTCAACCTAGAATGAGGATTTATATAGCCATCTAGGTATTTTGTGCACAGGGTACAATGGAAATGACTGTCTTTTCTAGTGACACAGAACTTGACCTAAAAGATATCGCAAGTTTTCTCGGGGGTATCTCACCACAAGGGTAGAGAAATTCTCAACTAGCACATTACCGAGTTCATGCTCACTTTTGGCAAGTTATTTTCAATCCCAGCCGTAAGGCTACAGTGGCCCGCAGGAGGAAGCTCACCCACTTCTGTCAATGCCAACTGACTCACGTGCCAGGTTCATCTGTAGATCGCCTGCTGATTGATTAGGGCACAATCTACATGTGGCTCAGCTAAGCCTCCCTGGAAAGCTTCCACAGCCTGTCTACAATGCAGGAAGAGTACAAGGGGCTCGAACTCTGCCGCTCAGACAGCTGTGAGCACAGGAAGAGGCACTGGTCAGCCAAGGTATGAATGCGCAATCGCAATGTTCCGTGTGCTCTTCTCCCCGCTGCACATCTGCTTTCCTGTGTTTCTTCAGCAGGTGCTACTGACCAGTTTCAGACCAGACTAGCCAAACGAGGGACACGGAGAGGCGGACATCTACCCGAGGTGGGGCGAGATGCCTATCAGGATGTAGTGGGGGAGACACTGAGACAACCATGACACTGGCAGAGAAGCCACCCCATAGAAGAGGCAGCCTGAACATAATTGCCCACCCTTTCTACATGGGTCACAGGGTAGCCAGCCCCAGGACCTGGCCATGTATGTAGTAAGCATACCTAGCACAGAACTTTTTAGCAAAGGAAAACTGGTTTTATGATTTTTTTTTCTCTTCTACAGGAAGAATCTATTTGGGTACTACAAAAAAATTTTTTTCCTTCAAATTTTACTTAGATAAATCCAAATCCTAAGTGTCCATGTATAAGCTCAAGATACTGCTTGCAAGCAGTAAGTGTATTTATGTCTTAACTATTATTGGACACTTTAGGTTTAAAGAGAGAGCAGCTAATTAAAGACAAGTCTATCAAAAGCTTGCACCCAAAAGTTCATCCCCAAAATGTTTCTAGAAGATCCTCCTATCAGTGACTCTGACAGACACCAGCTCCATGCCCAGAATCTAGATAAACAGTATTACACCCGCCGGTCGGTGGTGGCGCACGCCTTTAATCCCAGCACTCGGGAGGCAGAGGCAGGCGAATCTCTGTGAGCTCGAGGCTGGGCTGGACCGACAGCCTCCAAAACAATACAGAGAAACCCTGTCTCGTAAAAACAAAAAAAAAAATAAAAATAAAAATAAACAAAAAACAGTATCACACCCAAGAACAGAACACAGGCATGCTCAGAGCAAAGAGATGGGGGACAAGCTGCCCATCGGTAAGAATATTCTTTTCCTAAAATATCCCTCCAGACACTAAAAGTTAAGTATAACAGGTATACAGCAAGTCTTTAAAAATATATATATATAACTTATGACCATTAAAAAAAAAATCAAAACGAACTTAAGTGTCTTTACTGGAGCAAGCAGGGAAGAAAAGCATTCTATGCACTGGTATAGGAGTGATACCGAGACAGTCTGCCATCTTTACTGTGAAGTAAGAGCCACTCACACTGGCGTTCTCCTTCTCGCACTCCTTATGGGCCTCCGGGCACTCTTGCAGGGTCCTCTGGATACAGGCATTCAGGCAGTGGCGGATGACATGGATGAGCTTGGCTAAAGGGGTTAAGACAGTCACTACATGCACCTTGTATAAAGTTAACTTTCTGATTAGAACACGATCATCTCAGACAGTAGAGGGTATGACTTTCAGGAAAACCACTAAGGGATGCAAGAGAGCACAGGGCTCACTCGGGTGACAAACACCGAGTGCCTGTGGCATCATGCGCTATGCTGGGAGAGGAGCAGCAGGACGAGGGGAAGCAGGGGTTCAGACCTATGTTGGTGCTGGCAGTGTGCTCGTGGGCGTACTGATAGAACTTCCTGGCTGCTGCGCGGTTCATCTGGATGAGTGTGACGCAGCGCTCGCACCACACCTCCTCTGGCTGGTTCACGGGGAAGAAAGAGTTGAAGATGAGGCTCACCAGGCGCCGAGACACAGGCCGAGAATCCATTTCCAGGCGAACCAGAATGTCCTCCATGGGGCATATTTTCCAGAACTAGAGGGTGAAAGGGGAGGCATGCAAATGGAGGTGACCAGCGGTTCCTATAATCTTGAGAACTGTTGAAGTTTCCAGGATATAAGCAAAGGACTAATGTTTGTACTCAAGAGAAACCATTTCAAGAAGAACCCGACTTTCCTGTGAACCAAAGTCACAAAAGTCACAGGTCTACATTTTAAAGAGACGTCACATGTAAGGTATAGCAGGAGGGAGGGTCCCCTCTGATTCTTTGGGAGCACAGCTAACGCACAGATGACAGCTGTCATTAATCAAGCTGACCGTCTGCATTTGTAGACCCACTAAGCCATCAACTAGTAACAGAAGAGTTTTTAACCTACTGATAGTTTTGAAACAGCCTACTCATCTCTCTCTGTCAAGAGGCTCGGGGGCCTCCTTCCTCAACACACTAGGACAGCTGACCTGCTCTTTCTACCGGGGGGGGGGTCTCCTCGTCCAACTCTAGAGTTCCCACAGTCCCACACCCCAGAAGACACACAATTAGCACTGTTTTGCTGGTGATGGCTTGTTTTTTGTTTTCAATCGGAGTCTCAAGTATCCTGGCCAGCCCTGAACACACCTTGTGGCTGAAGATGGCCTTAAATGCCTGACCTTCTTGCTTCCACCTCCCGAGAGCCAGAGTTGTGGACATATATCACCTTTGTGTATGCTACACAGGTGCTCTACCAACTAACCAACAACCCCAACTCTAGCACAGGCTTCTGGTACTCGGTTCAGGTAAGTTCTATGTGAGTTCAAGGCACGAGCTGTCACTTGGAGCAGTATACTAGCAGACATGTGGGTGACAATGGATATCTACTGGCACTAAGTGTTATCATTTGCCTGACCTAGCCCTGAACTCCTTTTGAACCTGAAATCCCCTTGTCTCAGTGGTAGAGCACCTGCCTAGCATTCATGAGGTGGAGTTCAACCCCCAGCATCAAGGAAATAAAACTGAAGTGGAAGAGGACAACTTTTATGTCTTCTTTATTGTATCAATAGACTGGCCTGTGCCCAGTGTATTCTTACCAGGTTACAAGCAATTCCTTGGTTCCTCTAACCATTGCAAGTAATAAGTAATACTTAAGTTCTTACCATGTGCTAAATACGTATAGATACATCAACTACTTCCATACTTTTAACACGTAATAAAACAGGTAAAGGGGAGAACCTGCAAGATGGATCAGCAGACAGAGGTGCCTGTCACCAAGCCTGACCACCTGAGTTCAATCCCTGGGACCCACGTGGTGGAAGGAGAGAGCCCACTCCCACAAGTTCTCCTCTGGGCAGACATGCCCCACCACATGAGAGATAATGCTTAGAAAGTATGTAAAGTGATTGCTTACATGAGTGTCTTTCCAAAAAGAAGCACGCAGTGGTATTTCTAGAACCTTCTTTCCATGAGAAACACAAAGCAAAGTCTTATGACAGTCTAGCAAATGCATTGGTTGTCAAGCTGACTGAAATGCAACTGAGAAGGTTCTTAGAATGAAAACTAGTCTTCCTGTTGGGGTCACAAATGTGCTTTGTGCGTCTTCTCCAAGAGCATCCTGCTTACCTTTGCGGCTCTCACGGCTTTGATTTTCAGCAGCAGGTCCACAAAGGCCACCCTCACTTTCTCTGAATTATCGTGGAGACTGTACCTGAGTGGTGGCAGAAGCTGTTCTAACAACGGGTGGCTCAGTTTGTTATCCAAAATAATCGGCAAACACTACAGAGAAAGAGAGAGAAGCATTTCAAAATCAGAACGCAATAATTAAACGTTTGAACAGGAAGCTAAGGAGAGGCTGAGTCCTGCTCTCGCCTGAAAACACCTCCTCCGTGCAAATTCGCTTTGGGGCTGTTGGGATGGCTCAGCACCACATTCCACAGAGGCAAAGGTGAGGACTTCTATGGTTCTAGTGACTGGTACTTTGGAAAGTAGACATTTTATACAGAAAGCACTTCTCTTCTTTGAAACAGGGTCCCCAGGCAACTCAGGCAGACTCCAAACTCAGAATTCTCCTGCCTCGCTCTCCTGAGTATTTCTGGTATCATAGGTCTTGGCTACATGGCTGATGAGAAAAGACTTTAAATTTGGATTTTTAAAAGCTTAATTTGGAGACTGAAAAGATGGCTCAGCAACTAAAATTGTCTACTGCAACTGGCAAAGGACTCCAGTTCAGCTTCTAGCACCCATGGTGGATGGCTAACAATCGCCTTGAAGACCAGCTCCAGGGTGTGGGCGAGCTGGCCCTGAGATCCTGAGTGTGAGAGACTGAGCCCCACCCTCATCTACCATATCCTGGTGTGTGCAAGGGGGAAAGGCACCCCCCCACGCCCCTTGAGGCCTGCAGTAGGTGGGAAAGTCATCCCTGAGGTCACTAGAGCAAGAGAGTTGGCCCTGCCTCTCAGCAGCTGCAGCACTAGGCACAGTGGCCCCTATACCCTGACTAGGGTTAGGGTTAGGGTTAGAGCTGACCCTGGTGGTGCGGGTGTGGGCAAGCTGACATGAGAGCAGGAGAAGCAGCCGTGAGCCTTGCTGCTTACTAGATGGGGTGAACTAGCTGGGGCAGTACTGGAGAGCTCACCCTGGCGTTGAGGACCAAGAAGAGATGGCGGGATGAGCAACCCAGCAACCACCCAGAACCAGAGCCAGAGCCAGAGCCAGAGCCAGAGCCATGAGTTGGCCCATCCCGTCATCAACCCCATCTATGATCTGCTGGAGCATGTGAAGGGTTTGGTCCTGCAGACCCAATATTGCAGGATCTCCATGACCAGGACGACAACAGGATATCCAAGAGGAGCCCCAGTGAGGGCCAGGTATTAATGATATAGAAAAAAACCAGAGACCTTGGGCTGGAGACATGGCTCAGAGGTTAAGAGCACTGGCTGCTCTTCCAGAGGTCCTGAGTTCAATTCCCAGCAACCACATGGTGGCTCACAACCATCTGTAATGAGGTCTGGTGCCCTCTTCCGGTGTGCAGGCAGAACACTGTATACTTAAAGATAAATAAATAAACTTTTAAAGAAACCTCAAACTAGATCAACAACTCATTGCAGTGAACACTCGAAAGTAAGAATGTATGGACTAAAGGACTGTGTGGTTCACTATGTCTCACTGTAGCTTCCACAATGAGATTTTCTCTTTTAAATTCCATCTTTTATCCTGGGGGAGGGAGGTTTACAAAGGTACAGGACGGATAGGAAGGGACAGGGAGATGAGTGGGATCAAGATGCATGACGTGAAATCCACAGAGAATCAATAATAAAAAGTTACATTTTGGAAGAAAAAAAAAGGAGACAAACTCCAGGAGGATCCAATGCCTCTAGCTACTCTAGCAGAGGACCCAAGTTTGATTCCCAGCACTTACATGAAGGCTCACAACCATCTATTACTCTAGTTCCATGCAATCCAACACTCTCTTCTGGCATCATTGGGTACCAGGTACACACACAGCATATAGCCAAAACACCCACACAAAAATTTTTTTTCATTTTAAAAATAAATAAAATTCTACAAAAAAAAATATTTAATGCTTTGGTCTAAAAATACAACCACAGCCGTGCAGTGGTGGTGCATACCTTTAACCTCAGCACTTGGGAGGCAGAAGCAGGCAGGTCTCTGTGAGTTCAAGGCCAGCCTGTCTGCAGAGCGAGTCCCAGGACAGTCAGGGCTACATAGAGAAACCCTGTCTTGAAAAAATAAAGAGGAAAAAGAAAGGAAGAGAGAAAAGGAATACAAATACAACCACAGTTATCAACATTTTCACCACTGAGTAGAACAATATGTGATTTTCTAGCATTTTCCCTTTCTATTTCCTAAAAATCCCTGTAGTTCTACAAAACTATTCTTTGATAAGCTGTTGCCTTTATACCTTTAAAAACTCTACCTTAAAAACAGAACAGCGAACATCAGCTGAGCTTATATCAAACGCCAGCTCCCCGGTGACTTTCTTCAAGAGGTCGACGATAATGGTGGGGGGCATCATCTCCCAGTATTTACACGTTATTTTACAAACACCAAGGATGCCTGTGGAACGGACCCTCGGGTAAGGATCTTCTAAAAGGCTCTAGAAGTAGGAGAGGGAAAAGGGTTACAAGTCATACATTGCTGTTTGTGTTACATATTAGCTCTCTGGGAATTTAAAGCATAAGACACTTATGGCTGCAGAAATACTGGCCATTCAGTCCACGTCCCTAGGTACCCTCAAGGGGACTAGTTCCAGGATGCCAAGTCTGCAGCTGTTCAGTCCCTCATATAAAGTCACACAGCATCAGTCCACGCTTCCCATATAAGGGTTAGATGAGTAGCTGTTGCACTATATTATTTGCAGACTAAAGGCATGAAATGAAATTGCACTTGCTGCACAGGATGTCACACCGAGAAGGTCAATGACCCACCCAAAGTCACAAAGCTATCAGATGGGAGCGGTACAGTCAATCTGAGGAGAAGTCAAAGTGACAGCACTTGACTACTGGGGACAAGGCATGCATACCCATGATCCCGAAAACCACATAAGGACACGTAATGGGACGTTTCAAGGGTGACCTAAAGGGGGAGGAAGGGATACTGTGGATCTGGGCTTCTGGGAACATGGGAAAAACGGGTTCTCTTCTGCAGGGCACACGGGTTAGCAAGCAAGGAATGCACTCCACAGCAATACGTACATACAGTTCTTCAAACTGCTTCTGGATCTCACTGTCCATCTCTGTGGCAATGAAGTTTGGATCTCTAACAGGAAATGCTTCGACAAACAACAGTGCAGCGTTTGATCGAACTTCAGAGTTTCTGGCCTATGAAAACACAGGTCCTTTTAGAAGTCCAGAGAGTCCAGTGTTCCCAAGTTCATACTTCCACAGTTTCAGTAGAGATTGATTTCCAAATTAAAGATGGCTCAGCGTGCAACGCCATGTGTCCCTGAACTTGACAACTTAAGTTCAACCCCAGGAACACACAGTAGAGAGAACTGATTCCTACAGACTGTTCTCTGGCCTCCACATTTGCTCCCTACCACCTACAAATAAATTGTAACCAAAAAAAGGTAATTTTAACCTTTAAATGGACAAAACTAGGCTGTGGGTGCAGCTGAGTGGCAAAGTACACACTTGCTATGTGTGGAGGCCCGGGCTCTACTCTTGGCATCACAAAAGTAAGTGTCAGCCAAACTGTGTAAAGTCACCCTTAAATTCAGCCAGACTCTCAGTTCAGAGTCAACAGACAAACGGTAAAGATCCGCTTCCCCGGTTCAGAGCTGCATGTGACTAAACTTTGCAATCATCGGTCTATTATAAAAAAGAAAGAGAGTACATGTGTCATTGACATTGGTATTTACCACTTCTAGTCACACCAGACTTCTATTTGTGTAGAACGGGGTGTTCATCAAAACACTCACAGAGCGTGTCTGCCCTCACCTCGGGCAGGAGGGATGAGGGGGTAACAGCGGTTACTCCACCCAGCCTCACCCCAGTCACCCTCTGGACTGATTTTTCACACAACTGCTTACTCGGGACCGAACTGACCCACCTTTGTAGTTAAGTGTGTGGAAGAAATGCTCTTGCTAAGGATTGAAAGCCGAGAGGCAGGAATGGAGGTGCACACTCACAACATGAGCCAGGTGGCGAGGGTGGGGACACAAGCGCACACATGGGAGGTAAAGGCACAAAGCACCATCGCCCGTCTTACTTTCACTGCCTCGGTAGGCTTCTCCACCCATACAGTACAGGCTCAACTCCAAGCACAGAGACACCAGAGTTACCTTCAGTCCTCTCCACAGGATGGGCTTATATAACCTATACAGCATCTCCTCCACTCCCTGACGGACTCTCTGTTCATGAAAGTAACTCAGCACCTAAAGGCCAGAGACAAGAGAAAGGACACAAAAGCTATAAAGTTGCTGTAAAGTATCCAAGTCAGACATGGTAGTGTACCCCTCGGAGGCTGATGACATAGTGGGCGTACTCCTCAGGAGGCTGAGGGAGAAGGACAGTGAGCCTGAAGTCAGCCTGGGCTACCAGAGTCTATCTCAAAACAGAAAGGCTCCAGAAAGAGGAAGAAAGGTTACTCTGCCCCATGCCACTATTGCGACACTTGAGTTTGACGTCTAGAGAGATTCGCCTGCCGCTGCCTCTCAAGTGCTGGGACTAAATAAAGGTGTGTGCCCCCGCCGCTGCCACCACCACCCGGCTAAAAACTACGTTCTTGCTAGCCTATTAGTGTCCACATGACCTTCATAGGGCTCCGGTTTAAGGGTAAAATGGAGGAGGGGAGCATGAACAGGATTATTCTTGACTCAAATGCTCATTAACTCACTCCTGACTCTGCTGCCCACCAGGGACAGGCACCAGCTATCTTAAGATGGCAAAACGAACAAGCTCCTATGCAATATTCTTTCTAGCACAAGCTCAACTGAGGTACTCGGCTCCTCTCAAAACTCATAATTAATTAGAAACAGACCATCTTTTTCTCTGATAGTCAGAACTGACTCACAAGTCTGTACAGACCCCTGAACCCAGCAGGAATCAATTCTGCTCTGTTACTGGAATCCACTCCTCCAGAAAATTTATTAGTGAAAACCCTCGATGGGTTACAGCACGAGCATGGTTTCCTTATAGAGGGTTTCGTTATCTTTTTAAATGTTTTAGAATGTCTCATACTATACACCTCAGGTCAGTTTCTAGCTCACGACTGACCAGTTCAGCCTCCAGATCAACGGAATCACAGACAGACACTATCGCACTTGAAAGATCTTATGACTTTCATTGCCAGTGGGGTTTTCTTGTTAAGTACAATTTTCACCATGTTTTGGTATGGATGATGCTCTCACTTCACACATAGTGAACATTAAGCAACTTCAAAGAGAAACACAATCCACTTGACATAAAGTTACTCTTAAAGCACACCATCCCAGTCAGCTTAATGATAGTGGTGCCCATTCTTTCCTCATCATGGAGCTGATAGCAGAAACAAACTGCCAGGATACCAAATATCAGAACCCTGAGAAACTCCTTTGACTGCTAGGGTGAAATTACAAATTTTTAAATTTAGCCAAGACAAACAGAAAGGTTGAAATCGGATCTCAACAACCATTCACTCATAGTTGGATTAGGTAAGGTGCCTCACTCACCTCTCGTACTTTGGAGTGCACGGGAGATCTCCTTGGAAGGTGGATGCCATGGAACATGAAGTCCTGGATGCAGTTGTATTCGATGGTCTGAAACAGTAAGAGCGGTGATGAGCAGACATCCCACAGGCAGCGGGAGCCGAGGCTATTCGGTCAGAGCTGTGTCCATGTGTCCACGCCCCTCATTGTTCCTCGTGTTTCCATGCACAAAGAGCACACTTAGTTGCTTCTAGTTTCTCTATGGAACAGTGAATCTGAGCGATGTAGCAAGGTAAGCCTCCCACAACCATCAGAGGCCAGCTCACAACAGACAGAAGTACAGAGACTAGGAAACAGGAGTGTACACAGGCCAGACAGAGACCTCAGGACAGTCACACTGACCTGGATGAACACCACAAGCTCAAACCTGTTTCAAGAACCTCCCAGAAATGCAGTGGCACTAACTTCACAGCGGAGGTTGGAGCTCCAGAGACCGAAACCTCTGACAGGTGCCAGGAAATAGGTGCGCGAGACACTGCCTGACAAGCCATCATGCTCAAGAGCTTCAGGCTGAGACTACGCGTTACCCTATACTCCAGGGCTCTTGATTCTGTGGCTCTAGGGAAGGTCGTAGCTATCATGCTATTTGACAAATGATGAGACAGGAGCTATCCCACGTGCCCTGTAAGTTACATGTGCCACAAAGACAAACTGGGACTAGCAGAATACGGCATTCCCTTGTACAGGTGCCTCCAACATATCAATGGATGGACTAAGGAGGAGAGCAATGAGCAAAGCCCTGAGGGTGACTTTTCAGACCCTGATAAAAGGCACATGCTGCCAAGCCAGACAACCTAGGTTTAACGTCTAAGACCCATGTGGAGGCAGAACGGACTCCTGAAAGCTGTCCCCTGACCCCCACATATGCTACAGCACACATGCCCTCTCATGCACATGCAAATGTAAAACATGCATACATAATAGTAAGAATGACACATGCAAAAAAATTAAAAATAAAAATGGCTGGTGTTAGTAACACATGCCTTTAACCTCAGCACCACAGGCAGAGGCACGCAGATCTCTGTGAGTTCAAGATCAGCCTGGTCTACAGAGCTCACTCATGACAGTCAGGGCTACACAGAGAATCCCTGTCTTGAAAAACAAAAGAAATATAGATACACACATCTATCACTTATCTATCTATGTATCTATCTATCTGAATTAAAAAGATGAAACAAAATTATTAACTCTAGCATTTAGAAGGCTGAGGCAGGAAGACCATAGATTCAAGACCAGCCTAAACTCAGAAAACAAAAGAGAGGTGGGGGGAGGGGGACTAAGCAATGGCTCAGTGGCTAAGAGTAAGAACTGCTTTTCCAGAGGACTCAAGTTCCGTTCTCAGCACACATGTCAGGTGGCTCACAACTTCCTATAACCCTAGCTCCAGGGAATTCAAAATGACTCTGGTCTCCACAGAACAGAGACTCAATGTATATAAACCCACACAGACCCTCACAGAGATACATAGCTTAAATACCAAAATAAATTGCAAAAAAACTTTTCTTTCAAAATAAGCGAACTAACATAATGCACACTAAAACCCTGCTTCTGCCCTTCTGCCAAAATGACCACACACTTTTAAATGTTTACAAAACGTCCACAGGGGAACACAGTAACTTTTGATCTGTAGATGTAGAAGCAAATGGCAAATACTAGCTGTACAGACCAAGTGTTAGGTGGGCAGAGAGGCAGTATGGACAGGAGCCAAACGACCACCTGCACCGCACCCCACTTGCCCCGAGGAAGCCCACTCCTCCACCAGTCACTGCCAGCTCTCCAGAGAGAGGAGTCAGGAGGGTGACCAGCTCACCAACAACACTTCCAGATTAAAGTAAAGGTGACAGACAGTTCACAGGATTGAGAATGACAAAGCTACATCTTCCTAACGTATACAGTACGGACAGATGGGCTAAGAATAATCAAAGTGGATGTCACAAACTTCTTAACATAACTGAGGGTCCTCAACAGCACACTCCACGGAAACAGAGTTCAGACACAGCTTTACACATAAAAGTAGACAGAGTAAAGACAGAAAAAAGAAGCAGGCCAAATTATTTTAATATTACATTTTGTTTAGCCCAGCACATCCAACTTGCAACACCCTTTGACTAGCAATACCCCAAGAGCCCAATAACCAGAGGAGCTAGACAGTCTAGACCCAGAACAAGGAACACAGGCCCTAGGACTTCCCTGAAACTGCACATCCCAGCAAGGTGACAGCTGGGGCTATGCCTCAACATGCAGGGCAACAAGGAGTCAGCCTGTCACATTGTATCCGTATCACTAATCAGCCTTATTTTCAGGTAGACCAGGCACAACTTTTAGATAGCCCACCCTTGCATACTTATGGAACTAGACTATAGCAGATACTAAATAAAAGGACAATACCTCCAGTGTTTTCCCTGACGCCTTTTTCCAAGCTCTGAAATAAATTTCTGCAATGTGTACCATCAAAGACCTATTTTTAAAAAATAAAGAAAAGATGTTAACACATGTTTAAATAATTACACCTTTACCATGTACCACACTTCAGTCATTCTCCTGCCTTAGGAAGAGGAAACTGATACAGGATATGGCTCAGCAAATCATCTGCAATATTAGCCACCTGCGACGACTGAAAGAGGATGAGGACAAGATTGGGGAAAGGAGGCTGGGATGGACTCCTCACTCAAGGGCTCAGTAACAAAGTTACCACTCCCTTGCAGAGACAGCACAAGCTCAGACCTGGGGAGATAGCTTAGCTGGTAAAGGCACTTGCTTCAAGTCCATGACTGCCAATGCCTAGACACCAATTGGTGGGAAGAGAGAAGAAACACTCACCTCCACGTGTGTGCTATATGGCACACCCACATCCAAATAAATAAACAATTCATTAGAAGCACCAACTCTTTACATACAGGAAAAGTTACAATAGGATTCGACTTTAGAACCATCTAGGCTTAGCAATTAGCTCAGCACAGACACTTTACAAACAGGGAGACATGAGAAAGCAATCCAGAATACAGCAAGAGTTCTGCACTTGGACTAGTGTCAAATTCTGCACTTGGACTAGTGTCAAATCCCAACTCGGTGCTCATACAGCTACCTGACACTACGGAAACTGTAGCCTACCTCAGGTGCAGGAAATGACTCTTTTAAAATGCAGAGGAAGGGGGCTGGAGAGATGGCTCAGAGGTTAAGAGCACTGACTGCTCTTCCAGAGGTCCTGAGTTCAATTCCCAGCAACCACATGGTGGCTCACAACCATCCGTAATGAGATCTGGTGCCCTCTCCTGGCTTGCAGACATACATAGAGGCAGGATGTTGTATTCATAATAAATAAATAAAATCTTTTTAAAAAATGCAGAGGAAGCACTTAGTAAATGCACACAGTTGCATGGCAGCTCTGACTGCTGGCACAGGAAGTACTATACTAGACAGGAGCCTCATAGCTCTGGCTTTCCCTACGTACACCACAGGGCTCCTCACAGCACCCTTCAGCCCAGACTCAGATTGTGCACGGAATACTCCCAACATGGACTTCGATGTGCATGAGACAGAGCTGTCACTGTCAAATATCAGCCTGGAGAGGCACCGAGGCTTTCTGCCCCAGCTTCCCCAGAGACTGGAGATCATTCAACCTGGGCAGCAAACATGCCATCTCAGAGAAGAGGAGAACTGAGAAACTACGAGTTAAAGTCTCATCTCAACATCACTACTGGAAAAACAACTTATTAGAGGAAAATAGCTACCTAGTAATACAGGGTGGTGGGTGGGACACAGCTCAACTGGGAGGCTGAGGCAGCCAGACTGCTCCGCAGTGAGAGGCCAGGCTGGGCTGCACAGCAAGACCTCGTCACAGCACGCACACACGCGCACACTTTTCAAAGTCAGAGCAAAGCCTATCGTACTTACTTCTGCAATCCAGACAACTGATTCTTAATGGTCTCATGGATCATTTTAATAAAGTCTACATTCCAACTGAAGAGAAAACTAAGAAATCTTCTTCCCTGTAAATGAAACAGAGGATAAGCTGGGCATGGTAGCACACACCTGTAACCCCAGCTACGTGGGAGGCTGAGACAGAAAACGACAAGATCAAGGTCAGCCTGGAACACAAACACCACCTCCAGTAACAAGTAAAGGTGCAACTAAATGAAACTCTTCTAATAACAAATATTTAAGTACATCCAGTCAGCTATTCATAAAAAAGAATCCCATGTCATTGTCACTTGACATGTCTGCACAGGGGTGGAACTGGGAAGTCCTACAGGTGGCACTCCTAACAACAGAGACCCGTGGGGCCGCAGACGCTCCTCCCTGGGGTAAACAGAGCTGCACTGAGCATGCGTCTTCAAGGAGCTCAAAGACAGGGCACACAGACCTTCACAGGTCTGTAAACCTTTCAATCTGCCCATCGTGGGTAGTGGACAATGCAAAACCAGAGAGTGCCTGAAATCTTGTTTGACCCCACCCTAAACTTCTTTGCTGTCACCAACTTCCTGACGATCCTGGAGATGGAGGCGCAGCCCCTGTGCCTGTCATCTCCCCAGTAATGATGTTGCCATAACAACAAGCCTATGGACCCTAGGGATGTGGCCCCTCCACACACACCTCATTCCACTTCACTCTAGCCACACCGTGTACTCCCCCCTCAGGTCTGAAAGAACACCTACTGTTGTGGGTTTGGAAGAAACACAGGGGTTTCAGAGTGCCCGCCCTTCACAGTCAGTTTTTAAAAAGGACTGGGAATTGAATCTAGGGCCTCGTGTATGCTGGGTAAGATCTCTATTACTTAGCTGTAGGCCCAGTTCTAAAAGTATTCCATACGTAGGAGTTCTTACAAAATCTCATTTATAGTAAGTATATAATATAAAAAGTTGTTAAGACGTTATACACACTCCTTTTATTTTTTTTCATGCTAAGTTCTCTAGTCTATGTCCATTTGCATGTAAGGCGCATCTCAACTGGAACTGGCCGTGTAAATTGTTCAGTTCACTCATGGGATTGGCCCACGATGGGCAGTAAAACAACAGGCCAGACATCCCTTATTAGATTTCCTGAATGGTGGGAAAAGAAATGGAGACGACTGTGCATTGGCAATTTTTGTGTATATGCCAATTAAACGTGATTATGTGGCCCGGAAGAGGCTCAGTAGTAGAGCACTTACCTAGCATGCATGAGGCTCTGGGTTTAATTCACGGCACACACACACACACTCCTCACTGGGCACTGAATGGTCAACTTGATGCAAGCTAGAGTCATCTGAGAGCAGGGAACCTCTGTTAAGAAAGTACCTCCATAACACTGGCCTGTAGGCAAGCCAGAGGGGCATTTTCTTGATTAATGAATGATGGGAGAGGGCCAACGTGGGTGGTGCTACTCATAGCATGTGGTCCTGGACGGCTTAAGAAAGCAGGCTGAGGGGCAGAGGCAAGTGGATGTCTGTGTTCCAGGTCAGCCTGGTTTACAAGTGAGTGCCAGGACAGCCAGGACTCTCAGAGAAACCCTGTCTCAAAACAAAAAAGTTAATCCCAGCACTTAGGGGGCAGAGGCAGGGGGATCTCTGTGAGTTTGAGAATAGCTTGGTCTACATAGAAGATTCCAAGCTAGCTAGGGCCACGTAGAGATCCTGCCTCTTAAAAAAGAAAGAAGACATTTCAAGCAACAATATTAGAATAACAGTAACTATACGTTTAAGGCCTAGACAGTCAGAGCTACATAACAGTTTAGAAACCCTGTCTCAAAAAAATAAAAACCAAAACAACGACGATGAGAAACCATGGGAAGCAATCCAGTACACAGCACTCCGCCCTGGTCTCCGCTTTAGGTCCTGCCTCTAGATTACTGCTTGGAGTTTCTGCCCTGACTTCCTTCGGCGCTGGAATGTGGTTGGAAAGTTTTAAGATGAAATAAACCCTTCAATCCTCAAGCTGCTTTTGGACACGGTATTTTATCATAGTCATAGAAACTCTAAGACACCCCCCCTACAAAAAACATCAGCTGTGGAAGTATAAAAAGGAGCAGATCTCAGCCATACGGATATGCTTTCCCACACTCACATATGCGTACATCATGTGTACAAAGTCTGGCCCCATGGCAGTCTCCTAGGAGTAACCACCTTCTCACTGTGAAATGTATGTATGCATGTACACACACACACACACACACACTCATGCGCGCACACACTATATATGTGTGTGTATATATATATATATATAATTATAAAATATGTATGTATAAAACACTCACTCCCCCCCCCCCCGAGACACAGGGTCTCCCTGTATGTAGCCTTGGAGCCCATCCTGGAACTAACTCTTGTAGACCAGGCTGGTTTCGAACTCACAGAGATCCGCCTGCCTCTGCCTCCCAAGTGCTGGGATTAAAGGAGTGAACCGCCAAGCCCAGTTTAGTACACAGCTCTTAATGGTTATGCTGGTGTTTCCACAAAACAGCACAGTACAAAGAGCAGCCACAGGAACTTGAGAAAATAACCCATTAATAAATAGACAGCCAACAACAAGCCAAAAAGGAACAAAAATAAAAAGAAAATACTTACCTCTTCCTTCTTGATGTAATTAACATTTATGAAGCACTCGAGTAGCATATCTTTAATGTCTCTGTTTTCCTCCAAGTCACAGGCAAAGCAGTATAGAGCCTGGTGGATGCGCCACAGCCGACACATGTCTGCGCCCTGAGGGTGACAGACAGGGAGAAAAGAACAGGGTGCTCCCTTCAGTGTCTTTCTTTTCTTTTGTGAACAGCAAAGTCACATTTCAAGCTAAGTACGTACTTTATATAATAAATAACGAACACTGTAGGATCATAAAAAAGTAGGACATAGTGACAGTGACAACTGAAAAAAAAAGTAAGATATGCAAATGCTATGTGCAGTTTTACAGAACACTCTGGGCTTTGGTTTTTGGATTTTTTACATTTTTGTTTTCTTTTCCATAGGGCCTCACCTAGCCCAGGCTGGCCACAAACTTCGACATTGTTCTTCTTTGGCCCAGCCGCACCTGGGCCTTCGCAGTGACGTGAAACATTTCCCATAACAACCCTAACTCCTAATGCCTACCTTTCGTCCAGGACACTGATGACCACGGGCTCAGTCCTGCTCTAAGACATGTCTGCTGTCAGAGGACCACAGCCATCTCCTCCCACCCTCCACCCAGCAAGGCAGGAGCACCACTGCACAGCTCAGCCCCTCCTGCACCCCTGCCGTCAGGACGCAGAGGTGGGGTGGCAGAGGACGGCAGCCACATCCTGAGGGGAGGACACGGGAGGAAAAGCCTAACTTTGAATCTCACCATGGGTTGCGCACCCTCTCCTGACCTCCACGCCTCTTTGTAAGAAGAAAGGCCCCTGATGTGGGAAGCTGCAGATCCACCCGCTCCTAGCTAATGCGACCCTCGGCATTTCCTGATGGACAGAAGCAAACAAACACACCGTTTTGGTCTCCAGGCTCCTCCTCAGCAGCATGACAAACGCCGTCTTCCCCATGTCCTCCTTGGCAGGCAGCCCCTTTTCCCACCATTTCACACACAGATCCTGGATAGAGTTCTGGAGCTTTTGTTCGGATTCGGGCAGTGCATATAAAATACCTGAAACGCAGCACCAAGGTTTTCTTCTCTCACTAAGCGAATCATGACTGGTTCAGACTCAATAGTACAGAGTATTATGACCTGGCCCAGGGCCTTGCTACACAAATATTAGTTTAAGTTGCCAAATAAACATCATTTAGGGAATTCCAATAATACTTAGTTTTTAAAAAATATTTATAAGTGTTATTTAAAAAAAAAACAGCCGGGCATGGTGGCACATGCCTTTAGTCCCAGCACTCAGGAGGCAGAGACAGGCAGATATCTGTGAGTTTGGGACCAGCCTGGTCTACAAAAGCTAGTTCCAGGACAGCCTCCAAAACCACAGAGAAACCCTGTCTCGAAAAACCAAAACAAAAAACAAAAAACAAAAAGTACAACAAGCCACCAGGCAGTGGTGGCACATACCTTTAATGCCAGCACTTAGAAGGCAGAGGCAGGTGGATCTCTGTGAGTTTGGGCCCAGCCTGGTCTACAGAGTGAGTTCCAGGACAGCCAGGGTTGTTGCATAGAGAAACCCTGTCTGGGGGGAGGGGCTAAAATAAAATATAAAACATTAAAAAGGGAAAAAAACACGCCAACGTCAGGAAATCAGACTAAAGCAGCACCCTAAGAATGTAAGAATACCCAAGTAATGCTAAGACTAAGAATGTGATAAGAAAATTTGTCCCAGGAAACGATACCCAAGAGAACAAAGTACTCAAAAGATAGTTCTTTGAAATCCTTAAAACAAAATTGTTAATGTTCATAAAATAACTATGTGTAAACATTTTATGAACAGGCTTTTCATTAAGTCAGACTAGTGTACGTGTTTAACAATACAGCTTTACAGGCAGTTAAAAGTAAACAAAAACTAACTGCAAGAATCAATGATGACTCCGGAGATCACGGTTGGTCATCCTCTAAGGAAAAAAAAATTGAGTGGCAGATTCCTGGGCTCTGTGGCAACAGCAGGAACTGAGAAATCCCCTTCAACAGCACTTGCTATCAACAGTCCTGAGCCCAGGCACTGTCCTGCAGAACCTTCAAGTTAACGGTAGTCAGCGACTCAGAACCCCGTCAGCAGAGTTAATTCCTCAGGCGGCCCTGACAGAAGAGAACTTGAGCGCAAAGACATGCCTTTAAGTTTTGTTTCAGACTGTCACACTGCTCATGAAGATTTCTTCTTGAAAGGTGTTGTGTTGGTGTCTGCCACGGAACATGCCACTTACCATTTAATATGACAGCACACTCCAGAAGGGCCCCGTAGTTCTCATGTTCATTTATTACAGATACAGAAGCAAGAATTACAGACGTAATTGCATGTATGATTTCTATGCTCTTTTTCTATAAACAAAACATTAAAACGTAAGTGCCATAAAATAAGGAACTTGGCCCTCAACTTTAAAAAAACTAAATCAAATAGCTACTAAATCTCTAAAATGAAGCCACCTCTAGCTTGTTGCAAAAAGCAGATTAAAATTGAATATAAGTCGAATGTCCCAAAAGAATCATAGCATTGAGTACTGCAGAACAGCGATAGCAGAGCTGGTCAGCAGGTAAAATTACAACTGGCACATGGCACATCTAAAAGCTCAATTGTGCCAGGCAGTGGTGGCGCACGCCTTTAATCCCAGCACTCGGGAGGCAGAGGCAGGCGAATCTCTGTGAGTTCGAGGACAGGCTGAACCGACAGCCTCCAAAACAATAGAGAAACCCTGTCTCGTAAAACCAAAAAAAAAAAAAAAAAAAAAAAAAAAAAGCTCAATTGTTCAAGCCAGGCATGATGAACATACACATGCCTTTAGTGCCAGCCCTGAGGAGGCTGAAGCAGGTGACCTCTGGGGTCAAGGCCAGCAAGACATGCATGCGAGTTCCAGGCTGGCCAGGACTACTAAGGAGACTCTTTCAAAGAGTAAGTTCAATCGTTCAGATATCCATCTTTTCTTAACACAGTAAGGAGGAGCTTTCTTGTCTCTGAAAGACAAGTACCATCTTTGGACTGGGCTCTGACTCCATCCCATCTTCACCCTGGTCTTCCGCTGGGTGCCACCCATCCACGGGGCTTTCTAACAACGTCTCCGTCAGTAAGTCCTTCAGCCTCTGCCATAACTCTTCTTTCTGTTTCCTGGATAGTTCATCTAGTAACTCTCCTAGGCTGAAAGGATCTGAAGAATCTTTCTGCAAAATAAATTTTAAAAAACACAAAATAGGGACAATTAGTTGTATTCTTTTCATACTGGTATTAATGGAAAAGTCTTAGTACTAACTTAGTTATGTGTCTAAGCACTTGGTTAGTTTTCAAATCCTTTCCTAACGGGAAAAAAAGAACAGAATTGCCAAACAGAAATCATCAAATCTCCCCTCCAACTCCCCTTCCTTAGAATCTGATCTTCGAAGTTTACAATTTCGCCCACTTAAACATCCCCAAAGCCAATTACAATGTCCGCACCCCACCCCAGGCCTGTCATCAGGTGCAGAAGTATGCGGAGGCAAACAATGGCAACCGGAGCAGCAGTAACCAAAGGCTCAGATTTCCTTCCTCCGGTTCTTTGTGCCACCACAGGCCATCCACGTCTGCCTCGACCGCCGTCTCTGCCTGAGCACCGCCAGCGTGCTAGCCGCTTTTCTCACTTGGGCCAGCATCTCTCTGACGCAGTAAGAACAGGCCTTGTCAGAAAGGTGGTACGAAGGTACAAAACCCAGTAAAGGCCTGGGCAGCAGCCGCCCTGGGACAATCCAAGTACAAGTACATTAACAATTATATAGCCTAAGAATAAAGTTAGCATCAACGAGGCTCTATGACAAGTTAATAAATAACAAATCATTCGTTAACACCACGGGCATGCTACGGAGCACCAATGAATAAATACTGAAGAAATACAGAGCTCACAAATGACCATTTTATGGCCACTGTAGTAACAGACTCTGGTAAGAGGTATCCCTGGATACTAAAGCAAACAGAAGTGTGCTGAGAAACAGGTCATCTACAGTCATGGGCTTCCTCAGATTGCCCATGGGTACAAAGAGAAAACAGGAAGCTACTGCTATAAACACCCATGTACTCACCCACCCACTGGCCCAATGACCCCCATGTAGCAGGACTGTCCCTAGAGGCCGACACTACTAAGCAGCTCCTGTCAAAGAGGAGACACTAGATCTGACTGGATTGACTAACAGGGAAAAAAAGAATAAAAAACAGTCACCAACACCTTCAAACCATCAGTGCAAACTGCAGAGATACTGCCTAGAATCCTGGATTACAGAACACGTAAGGGATGTGACAGCTACAGGCAGAGTCTGACACAGAGCTGGATCCTGGAGCAGGGAAAGTATGGTTATAAGGGACATTATTGTGACAACTGTTGATACATAAATATGAAAATAATGGCTAAAGTGTCATGTCTCGAGGACCTTAATGCAGTCATACACAATGGAATGTTATTACAGACAAGATGAAGTTTGAAGGGAAACTGACAGGTATGAGAGCACAGCATTGACGAAGGTGGCCCAAACGCATCACGAATTGACTGTTCTTTCTCGTATAAGTGGGCGTCAAAGGGCAGAGCGTGGTGCTGGACTGAGAGAGCACCATGAAAATGCTCACGTGATGTCTAGCAGAGAGGAAGATACTGAGAGTGGAAACGCATGGGGGGACAGAGAGGAAGAGAGAAAAATTAAACATCAATATGAAAAACGCCGTAATGAACTGCAAGTTTAAATAAAAGTTTCAAGAAGGGAACCGGAGAGATGGCTAGAGGTTAAGAGCACTGGATGCTCTTCCAGGGGTCCTGAGTTCAGTTCCCAGCAACCACATGGTGGCTCACAACCATCTGTAATGAGATCTGGTGCCCTCTTGTGGTGTGCAGACAGAACACTGTATATGTAATAAATAATAAATAAATCTTTAAAACTAAAGTTTCAACAAAGTGCGGGGCTGGGGAGACAGCTCGTTGGCTGAATGCCCATAAAGACCCAACTTTAGATCCCATGAAGTCATCTAAAAGCTGGGCATGGCGGCCTGACTGTACTTCCTGATTTCTGAGGTGAGTGACAAGAGGTAAGAAGGTCCCAGGACGCTCGTGGGCTAGCTACAAGCGCTCACATGGCACAGTTCCAGGCTAACGAGGCAGCCTGTCTCAAACAAAAGATGGAAGGCACCTGCAGACTTACACCTGACAGCACCGTGTGGCCTCCACATACACACAAGCACAACCATATACAAGAACCCAAGTGTACTTAATGCTTGCCAAATGCTGCATTCCTTATCTTGAATCACTCTTTGTTTTAGAACAATTCGAAACAGTTACAGACAGGTGACTCTATCCCCAAATATTGGGGTGCATTTTTCTGAAACAAAGACACTCTCTCAACAATGTTCTGTGGAGCACAGCTCCCCCTCCCCCACTCCCCACACTGGTACAAATGCTCCACGTGTCTGAGCCTAGTTTGTCTTTTTCTTCTCTGCTCTGCTCTCTTGCTCTTTTCCCTCCCCACACCAGCATGGCAGGCACCGTCCAACTATGAACTCCCCGTCGTTCTCGGGGGAGGGCGTCACACTTCCACAGCATTGTGCTTCTCAGTGATTTAAAGTGTGCTGCCTTGTCCTATTAAGAGTCCTATCCTTAATGTGTCATGGGCAAAGTAGTTTAGTAGTATTTAGTGTCTCCCCTGTGATCTCTGTGGGTTGAGACCGTCTTTCTCTGTGGCCCAGGCTGACCCTCAAACCACTGCACAGCCCATCAAAGCCTTAATTCACGGGCCTTCTGAGTGCTATAATGGCTGGCATGTACCAACATTTTGGTTTTTGTCACCAACACTGCAAGGTAGTGGCTGTTAGTAACGCATGTGTTAGGAGACAGCGATTGCTCAGATGGCGAGACCCACCCAGGCCTCCCACTGGAGCACATCTCTTCCTTAGCTCCCGTCGGGTTAAACTACTGAAACTGACATGACAAAAAATGGCATTCTGAGCCGGGCGTTGGTGGCGCATGCCTTTAATCCCAGCACTCGGGAGGCAGACGCAGGCAGATCTGTGAGTTCGAGGCCAGCCTGGTCTACAGAGCGAATTCCAGGACAGCCTCCAAAACAATACAGAGAAACCCTGTCTTGAAAAACCAAAAAAACAAAAAAGAAAATGGCATTTCGTAACACTCAATCTGATGAAACCAAGCAAGGCACAATCCTACAGCCACACAAGCCTTTTTGTTTTACAAGTTACATTAAGTTATTAAGGGTAAACAAAGCTTACTAATGCTAAACTAACAAAGACTAGCAAACACTTCACCAAGATATCTGCTAGCTGCCAAGCAACACCACAGAGACTCAACATTAGCAGGCCGCTGGAATGGAGGGACTTCAGAAACACGCATCCTCAACAGGCCACTGGCATGACCCTGAGTTACTACATCCGCCTTCGTGTGTGTGTGTGTGTGTGTGTGTGTGTACACATCTGTGCACTTTTGTGAAGACTGGAAGGTGACTCTGGATATTGGGGTCTCTCATTGAACCAGAGCTCCAGTCAAGATAATAGGCATGCCACGTGGGACCTAGCCTTTTACGAGGGTGCTAGGATACAAACTCAAGGTTCTCATGCTTATATAGCAAGCACTTTATAAACTGACTCATCTCCCGGGCTCTCTGTTTGCCTTTTAATACCATTAACTAACTTCATCATCAACTCAGATCACTGTCATTTTAGTTAAACGGCGGCGAGTGACTCGCAACAACCTTCTAGGCATCAATTATGCATGAATCACACTTCTAACACAAACCAGACACACTTCTACTGAGGCAGGCATTTACACAAGCATAAATAATTATTTTGCTCCTAAAAACACCACTACGATGGTATGACCTGTGAGCCTATGCCATTTTGTAAGATCATCTGTCTTATGAAGAAAAAGTTTCATTAATGTTGCCAGCCGTAAATCTATTATTAGGTATAAGCCGGGCCAGTGGTGGCGCACACACCTTTAGTCCCAGCACTCGGGAGGCAGAGGCAGGTGTATCTCTGTGAGTTAGAGACCAGCCTGATCTATTATAAGAGCTAGTTCCAGGACAGCCTCCAAAGCCACAGAGAAACCCTGTCTCGAACCACCAAAAAAAAAATCTATTAATAGGTTCTTCTCTAACTCTGCGCCTTTTGATTTTCAATGCACCATCTTAATCAAGATAGGCCAGGCAGGTTGACTTGGGGCTTCTGGAATGAAGGGCCTAGCTATCACAGCAAGAGAGCACGGCTGCACTCTGGTCCCCTCACTGCCCCTACACCAACCACCACCCAGCCTCCAAGAACAGAGGTTCCCGCCTACACAGCTAATGGCAACCAGGCTTCTCTGACCGTCAGACAGCCTGGACACGCCCTACAGAAGGTCGACTGTCTTTTCCCCCACACCTAGGCCATTAGCTCACCACTACATCCAGCCAAACTGTGTCGCTAACCTCTGCAGTTGAGGGCTTCCAACTTCCACCGCAAATCCAGCGCCAATGTTAGGCAGTGCTACTGCGCCACGGTCCCTCAACCTGCTCTGCACCTGCAGGCGGATGAGCATCGCCAAGCCAACGCTTTCTTCCCCTCTTCCTACTGTCTTCTGCCCTGGTTTCCCCTCCACTCTGTCTCCTCTCCTGTCTGCGTGCTGGCTGCTCTCTGCCTACCTTTGGACTTCCTAAAAGAGCAACGAGGGTCTCCGCAGTCATTTGCATGAGGAAGTGTCCCCCATGGGTTTGGGTATTTGAACATTTGGTTCCCAGCTGGTGGTACTCTTCTGGGAGGTTTAAGTGACACAGCCTTGATGGAGGAAACGCACCACGGGGTCAGGCTTTGAGGTTATATATTCTGACCCCACTGCTAGTTTGCAAGGCGCAAGCCTGCAGCTGAGGATGTGAGCTCTCTGCTTTTTCGGCTCCTGCTGGCCAGCACACTCCACATCATGAGACTCTTATCCCTCTGGAACCATACGCCAATAGTGCGCTCTTTTATCTGCTGCTTTTGGTCATAGCAACAGGAAAGTAACACAGTCTCCCATCTTCGCTGGTTTTTCCCCCTTGCACCTATCGCTGTACAAGAGCCCTGCACACCCTCTTCCAGGTAAAACACAACCTGCCCCCTCCAGTGCTTCCCCCACCCACTCAGTTCAATAAGCTTTGGTTAACTCCTGTTTATCTTCTATTTTTACCTCAGCCCCAAAGTGGGCCCACCTAATTCTAAACAATTTACTTATCTTTTTAAAAATCAGCATTCGCGCCCCCCCAAGAACTCACTGAGAGAACTGTACTTCACTTGTGCACGTGATTTTTAGAATATTATTTATACCCAGAGTCAAAATGACGGTAGGTAAAAGGTAAAACACACAACTTACATCAAGTTGAACAAACTGCAGAAACTCTTCAACCAGGTCCTTAGAAACCGCTTGGACAAATGTCTCCCGCTTTTCCATGACAGATGAAAAAAGTGTTCTAAGGGAGTCCGTGTCACGACCCTGGTGGGAAATACAATCAGACCAGAACTTAAATGTGCAAACTCTCCCGTATGATTTGATATGAACATTCAATTGAGAGTGAGAGAGTTTTATGCCACTATAGAAGTCTGTCTCTAACAACATAACATTATAATAATCTGAAAAAAATAATTCACTGACGATGTCACAAACAGATTATCTATGGTGATTACAATTGTGAAAGAAGCTACCAGCTAAGGAACAAGAAATTCCAACTGTCCCGGGAATCTTACTTTCTCTTTTAAAGGCTGGACTGGGAAGGACTGACTTATGCAACAGGTTCAGGCTGAATGCTTCAGACAAGTCTTCGAAGACCCCACCCATCATATCCTCCCTTGTTTTTCAAGTAAGAGAGGGATGAAAACCACAACAACAGCCAGGTCACCAGGGAGCTTGTTACACAGGGCAATTTGCACCTGGCTTCAGCATGAGTCCTCTCCACTCCGACAGGATAACGAGGGCTCGGGGGAACTTGCTCAGTCTCCCTCCCGCATGAGATCTCCCAGGAAACCCTATTTTACCTTTAGGGTGCCAAGGAGGCCTGCTCAAAACACAGCAAGGGCGACAGCACATATATTTGCAAGAGGACCAATGCTCATCTTACTTAAATAACAATAATAATAAACCTCCTATGGCTTTACAAATTCAGGGAATGCGCAAAATTTACTGGCAGAGTAATCACGGAGAATCGCCAATAAACACGGGCTCCCGCTTTAAACTGAATAAAGGTGGTAGAAAACAGCGCCAGCTTGACAACTCCTCACATTGGCACACCTTAAGCACGGCCACACGGGTTCCGCAACTAAAACGGGTGAGTTGCAAACCATAACTTTTTTTTTCCTTTTTCCTCCCCTCTTTTCTTTTCTGATGAACAAAATGGAGCGGGAAAGGCGGCGGACCAGTACCGGACACTTTTTTTTTTCTAATTCCGGCGACTGCCCCTCGCTGACTCGCTGACTCGAGCATACGCACGCCTCTCTGGCAACTCACCCAAGACCAGCGACGTCTACGGATGCCAGGCTTGCCAAACCGCTACTCTTTTCTTACTTCAGCGCCGAGAGATCCTCCCTCGATCAGTCCCGGGTGTGTCGGCTCGGGGTCCTCCCGGTGGTCACCCCAAGGGGAAGTGCGGCATCGTCCCTAGTGAGCGAGCAGCACCGAGACGGTCCCGGTGTTGACCGAGGCCGAGGTCCTTCCCCCGGGTGAGCCCAGGTCCTCCCTAGCCACCCTCGAGTCCTGTCTTTCTGGGCGCTCTCCCGCCGTCGTCCCCCAGGCCCTCTTCCCGGGGAGGCTCCCCGTTCCTCGTCAGCCCGGGGTTCGAGGCTCAGGTCCTCCCTGGCGAGCCCCGGGTCCCTGCTCTGCCCTCCCTCCCCGCGGCAGCTACTTCCCCCGTCCGCGACGGACGGCGACGGCTACCGGCAAGGGCCACCCGGGACTGGCTGCGTGTATCCCCCCGCAGCCGCAGCCGCCGGGGTGCTACCGGCCGCCCACGCAGACTCACCGCGCCGCGCCGTCCTCACCGGGGTCCCATCGCTTCCCGCGCTCCCGCCAGATTCAAACACACCCGCGCGCCGCCCAGGACGCACCCGCCCGCCCTCCGGCCGCCGTCACCAGTCGCCGCTCTCACGAGAACTGGCGCGCGCCGGGACACGCCCCCAACGTCATCCCTGCGACCAGGCTCCGCCCCCTCGCCCCCCCGTCGCCCCTCCCCGTCTCGCCGGCCAAGCCCCGCCTCCTGGGCGAGCCTCCCAGCCCGCCAGCGGCGCTCCCGCGCGCGCCAAAGCCAGGCCGTGGTCTTCCTCCCCGCCCGCCTTCCGCGGGCGAACGATCGGCGGGCGGAGCCGAAGGGGAGACGAGGGATCGAGCCTCAGGAGAGGAGGGCGGGGAGAGAAGGCTGGAAGGAGGAGGAGGACAGGGAGGAGGAGGACGAAGGAGGAGGGGAGAGAAGCCGAAGAGGCGGGGGAGGGAGGGAGAGTCTGGGGCGTGGTTTAGACCGAGGGAGGCAGAAGAGGGTGGGATGGCTAAGCACCCCCGAGGGAGCGGCTCCAGAAGCGGGGGAAGAAATAATTCGTGTTTTGTACAAAGTCACCCGTCTTTCTTAACCGCCTAAAACGGATGAGGGCATGGGGAGGAGCCCACTGAGGCCCGTGGGAGCCCCAGCCTGCCCTTTGCCAGGATTCGACTGCAGGTGGTGCTCGGGCCCCGGGCCCGGACTGGGCAGCACTCGACAGCCTGGAAAAAGATTGGTCCGAGGTGTATCCGTGCCCTTTCCTCTGTGGTCTCCTACACCTGGAAACCAGAGCTGACACCCCCATCCCCAACCCTCATGCCTCTCCTTGACTCCCTCTGCCAGCCTGCAGGGCACACTCTCCCTCAGCCAATCCCCCTTGCAGATCCAGCTCTCCTCCCCCGAATGAAGTCTCTGTAAGACCAGTTTCTGGAAAAGCCTTTCAGAAATATCCCCTGCACCGGTTTTCTTGCTCAAAATGTCCTGAGTGAGTTTCTATTGCCTGGGTTGAGCTTAAAGAACTTGGGTGTTACCCGGAGACAGCTTGCCTACCCAATAGGACCAGATGCCTGTTGACCGAGGAGGTCAAAATGAGTTGTGGTTAACTTGATCTAACCAAAGTATAGTCCGAACGGTATAAACTGACGGTGGGGAGAGGAACCGGTTACTTAGGAAATCTGAGGTGTTTGGGGTCGACCCACCCACAGCAAGCCATCATCTGTAACCTCTCACCTGCTTCCTTAATTTCTGGCCACCTCCCTCTTCACAATTCCTGGGTTCCTACAGCCCCTTGAAACACTCTCACAGTGTTTCGCCTACAGAAGTTTGGACCATCGGCCTGAGGCTGGACTCCCGCATTGAGGTTTGCCATGCACTGTCCAGAGCAACCTGCGCGTTCCCACTGAGGTCTGAGGCCCCTCGGAACGGAATCCCAGTTTCCACCGCCTTTCTCCCCTCTTTCACTCAATTTCAGATCCTGACCGGTACGCTTCCTGCTAAGACATGGATGGTGAGTTTAGCAGTGAGTTCTGTGCTTCCTTGGTTTGCCATGTATTAAACATAACAAAGCAAAAAAAAAAAAAAAAAAAGAGCAGGCCTCTTGATGTAGCTGGGTGACAGGGGTGCTGTCCTACCTTGTACAAGGCCCTCGGTTCGAGGATTAGCACTGGGTAGGCAGATGGGAGTGCAGCTGCAATCCCAATACTCCAGGGAGGGAAGCAGGAGGAACTGAAAAGTGAGGCTAGTATTGGCTACTGAGGTGCAAAGCCTGCCTGAGATGAAGATCTTTTTCTCAAAGAGTTAAGTGAGATACATCAGAGCAATCATCCTTTCTACTGGGCGTGGATTTAAGCCAATGGAAAAGTCTTCCTTGGCCGGCCAGTGACTATACCGGGTGTTCAGAATCCCGGTACATCCCCAGACCTCCCTCAGGGTTGGCAAACATCAGTTAACAAGAACAGTTAGCCAGAAGCGGAACCACAGAAGCCGAAAAGCAGGGTTAGTACATTTGGAGAACTTTCCCAGAGCTATGGACTTCAATGGGTTGGGTCTTTGTCTTAGTTTTGGCAGGTGGTGTTAAGTGCTGAGTTTTACAGCCTGAATGGTGCTCCATCATGGAGTCAGTTGGGACCTGCGAAGTTCGGGGACCCTGTTACATTTACAAGGACCATACCTCTACATCTGTGAAGAATTGAGAGCATGGCCGGGAGAAAGGCAGCACGAAACTGAGTGTGACCATTCACGTGTGTACCCTGCACCCACTCACTGGGAGGGTGCCTCTCCCCCTGCATAACCTACCGCCAAGACTAAGCTCAAGCCATTGCTTCCAAGAGAAGCCATGCATAATACCCAACTTGTACTCTTCCACCTATGAGATATTTTGCCCTCCCCCCAGCCCCCTGCCACACACACACACACACACACACACACACACACACACACACACACGATTTTAGAAGACAGACACTGTGTCGTTCTCTCCCCCACAGCCACAACTCAAGGCCCAACACACTCCAGGTTGTAGACCAGTCTTCTGAAGGAATGTTTGAAGTCGCCTCCATTCTTAAAACCTCACAACGCGGCTGATGGGGAAGGGCAGAGTTAAAATTGGACCTCGTAGCAAATAATTATAAAACAGACTGAAATAGTTTTTAAAAAATGACTAACAACAATGGCGATATCTTTAATAATGGATCGATGTGAAGTGCACAGCCTGGAGATTTGTTTATTTTTAATTGCATAGGTTAGACAGTTACCTAACTCAGATTCAAATGGTGTGAGCCTTACAACAGATCTGCACTTGGACTCCCAGGGCTCACAGCAGTCCTCTCCAGAGAACACCAATGCTATCAGTTCCTTGAAGAATACACCCAGAAGTATTTTCTACCATACAAAATTTGGAAGCGCGTGTGGTAGCTTAAGCCTGTAACCCCAGCACTCAGGAAGCTGAGGCAGGATGGTGGCTAGTTCCAAGCCAGCCTTGGATACATATGGAGGACTTATCTTCTTCAAAAATCAGCTTTTTAGAGAGAGAGGTATATAAAATTTGCAATTTCATCGTAATTGTGTCTAGGACATGAATTAAAACAATAAACTCTTATTAGCTAGGGGTTAATAGAGTCCTAATCAAAGTGAGTTCTTCAAAGCCATTCTGGCCAGTGTGTGGTTGCTCTGAAGGGTTCCTGCCCTCTATGAGAATCCAGAGCTGAACTGGACCCTGCCCACGATGAGTCATTGATTCTGAGAAAGGCTCACAATTTGTGGCTAATCAGGAAGTGGTCACAGAGAAACACTTCTTTCCCTTTGGTGGCTTCGTGCTACACTATTCTGAGAGTAAATTTGATACAGAAAAACAGATCTTCCGAGTACAGGAATTAAAGAAAAAGGGGAACTGAAAGCTTCAGGCAGGCCCTTCAGCTGGGCTCAACACACCCTGCAGTTCCCTTGCTGGCCTGCGGGATAGAGCATGCCCTGGGAATCCCTCCTGATGGAAGGGCTGGACTGTGGGAAGCCCTCGGAAAAGGGACCAAAGAGAGGAAGACCGAGTCTCCTAGATGTGGCCACACACTTCTCAGCTGAGTGTCGAGGTTCAGATGTGACCTAAGAAATGTAAAAAGTCCCATTCTTCCCTCTCCCAAGTTGTAACCCACCCCGCACCCCCTGTATCCTTTCTAGAACTGAACTCGAAGGGACAAAGTGATGAGGTAGGGGTGAGCCCGCCCACCACTCTCCGAATCTCTTTATGGTGTGGCAGCCACGGGCTTCTGGAGGGGACTGGGTGAGCAATCTTCATCACCGGTGTATTGTCTTGCAGGAAATGCACATTGTGTAGTCTGTGTGGGGAAAACAATTTCCTACCAGCAGGACAACTTTAATCCATTTTGCCTGCACGGCTCTTATCATTTATGCCATCAGGGAACTGTTAGTCCGGGTTTAAAGTCTTCCTGACGCTCACAAACAATCTGTTTGGATGTTCATCATTATCTCCCATGGGAACTCTGGCTTGACACAACTTTTGTGAAATCTGCTTATAAGAGACCTGCGGGGGGGGGTGCCAGAGTTGCAACTCAGTTGGTAGAGTGTTTGCCTAGAATCAATGAAGCCCTGGGGGCAACCCATAGTATCAGACAGGTTGGAAGTGATGGGACACGCCTATAATCCCAGCAGGAGAACCAGAAGCTGGAGGTCAGCTTTATAGTTAGTTCTCTGCCAGATACTTGAGACCCTTATCTTTTGAAAAAGTGACCATTGGTTTTTCATTCCTTCCTAAGTGCTTCAGCAGCTTTAAAACCTTATTTACAAGCCAGGCGGTGGTGGCAAACGCCTTTAATCCCAGCGATTGGGAGGCAGAGGCAGGTGGATCTCAGTGAGTTCAAGACAGGACAGCCAGGATTGGTACACAGAGAAATCTTGTCTTGAAAAACAAACAGTATACATGCCAGTATAAACCATTCAAAGCCACCACAGCCTTTCCTAGCTCACAAGCATTACACTACAGAACCCAAGCAAAGCCACAAAACCACCTGTCTTGGGTCTCTCCTGAATTAACTTCTCTCTTAACTCTTTTATGGGACAGACCTATCTAGCCCGGTGCACCTAACATCAAACACTGTCCCCCTCATGCCTCACTTCCACAACGAAGCCTGTCTTTCCTCTGCTATCTTTCAGTATCTGACATTCAGTACTGAGGACAACCGTCAGCACAACCAAGTTTCTGGAACGGCTTGTATGAATGAACCAGTTCATCGGAGACTGGTTTATCTCATTGTACTTCAGCTGTCAGAACCTTTGTGTCTAGGAGGAACAAATGTTTACATTGCTGGATTTCTCTGCATCCACAGCACTCAGACTGATCCAATAGGAAACATTTGACAGATGCTGACAGCATCTCCAAAGGCGCCCTGCTAGCCCTTGCTAGCAATGAAATATCCCGCATACCACAGCCTCACAAGTCTGGGCTGGGAGAAGCTCTTGTATTTCTTATTTAAATGTCTTCCTCCAAACAGTTCAGAAGCAGGATGCTCTGGTAATCAGTTTCCAAGTCCCTTATCTGCATACCAAATCATGAATTCTTAATTCTGCATTAAAGATAGGATGTGAGTGGGCAGAGATGGAGCACATCTTTAATCCCAGCACTCGGGAGGCAGAGGCAGGTGGATCTCTGTGAGTTCGAGGCCAGCCTGGTCTACAGATCGAGTGCCAGGACAGCCTCCAAAACAATACAGAGAAACCCTGTCTCGAAAAAAAAAAAGATTGGACACGAGAAATATCTGTTAGAGTTCTTCATTTTCTCCCTTCCCCCTGACCAGTTCTCCCCACGGGCAACAAGATTTTGGATCACAGAAGGGCTCTTTAGAGCAGACTCAGTTTCTGCGCTCTTTCCCTTACACCCCAGCAACACTAGGAAACAAGTCCCCCCCTCCCCCGTTTTTACACAAAATCAAGTTAATGTGGCGGATGGTGTCACATGCCTTTTCCCAGCTGTCATCCCTTCCTTACAAGTAGCTTTAGTCGAAAGCAAGTCTCTTTGCCCGCACCACACCCCAGACAGCTACCAGCGCGTGTAAGGAAGGGCGGGGCCCCAGGAGTTGGTACAGGACACACCCAGACACTCAGTACAGGACACACCCAGACCCCAAGTTCTCAGCACACAGGAGGTTCATTACCCTGGAGGGGTAAACAGGAGGCAGGCTACAAAGGCAGACTGCAAACAGCAGCCACAAGCAAGCAGGTGTATTTTGCAGAATTTTTTTTAAGGAGAAAAAGGGGGAGTCTGTGCTGGAGGGGGGGGTTGATAAGCCCCGATTGGACACATCAGCCAAGTAATGAATTTTGATTGTTGGACCTGGGTGTTTAGTCCCAGGAATGAGTCAGTGGCCAAACAGGGAATGGACCTTGGAGGCCAACTTAAGGAATGTAATCTAACGGTTTTTAGCAAGGTGGGGGGGGAGGAGAGACGGGAAAAACCTGTCAGCACTGTTTGTCATGGTCAGGCCTGCTAGAGCCTCTCATTCCTACCTCTTTGTTTTATAATTGGGTTGCTGGGTGTTGGGTGAGCGGGCATCATTCTCCCTGGCTGCTTCCTGTTGATTGGGGGGGGGTCTTCAGTGTTTGTTAGGGACCCAGGGAATCTGGGATGTTGGTCAAGGCTGAGAAGCCCAGGCTGCTTCCCTTGATGTCTAGGACCTTTGGGACCATCTAGGGCTAGGGAAGGGCAGGCAGCATAGGAGTAGTTGTGACCACCCGGGGCAAGTCACTTTAGAGCTGTCTAGGATGCAGTTTCAGAGAGAATATCTGGGGCCATCGAGTTTCAGGAGCAGTCCGAGGTTGATTTGAAATCTGCTGGGACAGACAGACTAAAGACAAAGATAAAGCTAAGGAGTTTCGGTAATTTTTTTTTAAAATCTTAGATGTACATCTGAAACTTTTACAGTTATGTCCCCTATAGCTGGGGAAGGGGAGTCCCAAGACCAGGCGAAGGAGGAGAAGATGGGGAAGGGGGAGAGATCCCACCCTCAGGAATAGACAGGTAGAGAAACTTAGGCTGCTGGTTCACAGGAGGACCTCTCTGGAGCCCACCGGCTTCATGACAGGCGAATTCAACTTGATTCCATCCATACTGAAATCCATATCATAGAACGGGCAGTAGATTTATGTTTTTACATTATATAGTAAATATTCTGGAATCCAAACAATAACATACATGGGGGAAAAGAGACCTGAAATAACTTTTTAATATACCTTTTTTTTTTTTTTTGAGACAGGGTTTCTCTGTAGCTTTGGAGGCTGTCCTGGAACTCACTTCGTAGACCAGGCTGGCCTCAGACTCACAGAGATCCGCTTGCCTCTGCCTCCCGAGTGCTGGGATTAAAGGCGTGCGCCACCAACGCCTGCCTTTCATATACCTTAAATTACTTTCTCAGACCCTCACAACTTTACTTAAACTTTCAAGTCTTCAGACCGTAAAACATTTCAATTTGCATTCACAGATTTCCATAGCTTACTTATGTAGTGATATATGACTTATGACTTACCAGAGCGTGCCTGAAGATCAGAAAAGCAAAGCAAACCAGTCACTAGCTCTTACTCTACCTCAGCTGAAGGGCTGTGATCCTGACTCCATGAGCTCTCACCCAGCTTCTCCTCAGCGTGGCTGGAGAATGAACGCCTGATACTGAGACCTTGCTCCTGTCTTATCTACCTCCCTAATGCTGGGATTAAAGGTGTGTGGTCCCCAGATGCTGAGATCATCTTTGTGTGAGCTGTTTCTCTTTAGGACTGGATCAATCTTGTGTAGATCTGGGTGACCTTGGACTCTGAACTCAGGCAAGCTTTACTAAATCATAAATAATGAATCACCACATACTTAAGTTTCCATATCTTCAGACCTTCATAACTTGTATTTTTACCTCTTTTTAAAGATTTTATTATTTATTATGTATACAGTGTCCGATGTTGTTTGCCTACACACCAGAAGAGGGCACCAGACCTCATTACAGATGGTTGTGAGCCACCATGTAGTTGCTGGGAACTGAACTCAGGACCTCTGGAAGAGCAGTCAGTGCTCTTAACAGCCCAGCCATCAAAGGGGTCAAGACCATGGTGGTGAAACCCACAAAGACAGCTGGCTAGAGAAGGGGGGAGCTCTTGAGTCCCAGACTGATGGCTAAGAGGCCAACAGGGGACTGATCCAGACTCCATGAATGTAGTTTCAGGGAGGAGGCCACAGAAATCACTGGGGCCTTGGGTAGTAGATCAGTGTTTACCATGGTTTATGAATGATCTTTGGGAGCCCATTCCAAATAGAGGAAGGGTCTCTCAGCCTGGACACATGGGGAAGGGCCTAGGTCCTGCCCTAGATGAAATGACAGACTTTAGAGATCCCCCCAAGGAGGGCCTCACCCTTCTTGGGGAATGATGTGGGGATTGGGTGGGGGCTGGGGGGGGCTGGTGGAGGGACAGGGGAGGAGGGGTGGGAGAGGGAGCTGGGATTAACATGTGAAGCATTCATGTTCCTAATTTAAATTTAAAAAATTAAAATAAAGCAGCCCAGCCATCTCTCCAGCCCTGTATCTGCATACCTTAAGACATTTTCTTAGACCCTAACTTGGTAATTGGGAAAGCTAGGGGGTTGTATAGTAGAGGCAGGGTTAGCTCATTGACATACATTGTAGGCTTGGGTTTGGTTGTAAAAAGTCTTACAGGAATTGAGAGATCATGGTGGGAACAGGCTGCTGTTGGGGATCCCAGAGTTCATTTGCTAGATTTAGAGTTGAGCAGAGAGGCTGCGGCAAGAGCACGCATAGACAGGCCAGCCTCAGCTGGTTTTGTCTAGAGTTTTGGAGAGGTGAGTGACAGGTCAAAGGTCAGCCCTGAAAAGGGCTTCAAGATCTCAAGGCAGAACCCTGCTTGTCGGATGTGTAGAGATGGAATGGTCTGCATAGACATGGGGGGGGCAGACGGCTGGGGCGGAGAGGAGAGCATTTCTGAGCCTAAAGAAGCGTTTGACGATGGGAGGAAGACCCACCGGAGACCTAGAAGCAGCTCGGTATAAAGGATGTGTTAGAAGTGAGTATCCAGGGACCGATGAGTGGAGGAAACAACGAAAGCAGTTTGGGTTTTGTTGAGGGCGGAGATGAACAAGACTGTCTAAAGTGAGGTGTTTATGGGAGGGGAGAGTTGAGCTTTGGAAGGTGAACCTCTGGAATGTAACCTCTGGAGCTGGGGAAACTGAGGAGGGAGGTGGTGTCAGACTGGCCATCAGAGTGGGAAGGACCACAGAGGAGGAGGTCATCTACATACCAAAAAGGGGGAAGGCAGGGCAGGTCTGCAGGGCAGGAAGGTGACCTTAAGGAAGGAACCCTAGGATGGAGAGGGACAACAGCAGTGTTAGTGGTGTGAAGGTCTTGGGTTAGGCTGATGGTTTTGCCAGGTTTTTGTTTGTTTGTTTTTTGACCAGTACAGGAGTATGGTAGGGTGAAGAAGTGAGGCATAGAAACTGCTTGGATAAACAGGATTGGACGATGTGTCTGAGGCCTCTGGGACCTGGCAAGGGTAGGGGTTACTGGGGTTTGGAGATTTAGACAGAAGGGTTTTTCACTGTAACAGAGAAGGGTTTGTGATGAGCAGCAAGGGAAGGAGACAGTGTCCCTCCCGGTGTCCCTCCTGTACAGTGGGGTTGACGAAAGACGTGGCCAGAGGAGGGAGGGAGGGAGGGAGGCAGAGAGGGAGGGAGGGAGGGAGGGAGGGAGGGAGGCAGGGAGGGAGGGAGGCTGGGAGAGAGGGAGGGAGGGAGGGAGGGAGGGAGGGAGGGAGGGAGGGGGGAAGAAATGAAACTCCGCAGAAGAGGAGAGAGGAGACTTTGGAGATAGAGCCCTGGGGGCCCCGTGTGCGTGTCAGCTGGGAAGCATAGCGCTGCCGTTCCGTTCCGTGCTGGGAGAGGAAGTAACCCTGAGGGCAGAGGCTGGGGACCTGCAGGTGAGAGCGGAGAGCTAGTGTGGTCTGCAGGCAGGACAGCAGTTCCGGGCCAGGAAAGGGTTGAGAAAGTGGCTGACAGGGGAGGGAGAGGGAGGTGAGAGGTGACCGGGCCACAAAGCGCATTACAGCTCCCGGGGAGAGGTGAGAGAACCCCAGGGAAGCGGGAGGTGGTAAACGTCCCTCCCCTTGGTTCGGAGACAGCCGGTTTGGGCGGATGAGAGAGAAACCTGCCCGTTCCAGTCGGGACTGGCCGTGTAGAGTGGGGTGGGCCCGGCGAGGAACAGGCGGAATCAAAGGTGGGGACCCCGCAGAGGCAGCTGCTGCTGGCAGCCGAGGCCGGGCTGGCACAGGGGTGAGCGCGGGCGGGGACAGCGGTAGGTTTGCAAAGGAAGAGGAGGAGGCAAGGCTGCTGGAGGGGCCAGGCTCCTGGAGAGGGGACTCTTGTAGTCGGAAACACTGGCACAGCCACCAAGGGCTGTCGGAATGGCAGGGGAAGGAGAGCTCCTCGGGCTTTGCCCGAGAGCAGGGAGACTTCAGAGGGGTGGCAGGAGGAGCCGACGGAGCCGGTCCAGAGCTCTGGGCTGTCTCTTTGGAGATGGGGCAGAGTTCTGCATGGCCAATATGGCCAATAGGAGACCGGAAACTGCGAAGGGAAAGCTTCGAGCACGGAGAAGCTTTCGGGGAAAGCAGGCAGGGACGGGCGGAGGTGCTTGGAAGTCTCAGGCAGGAAAGGAGGGAGAGGGGAAGAGGGGGATATCTCCTTCTTCGGGTCCATTCCCATTAGATTGTACAGGTTGTCATCTTGTTTGGTTTTCTAGGGTCTATAAGGGCTATTTTGAGTGTTAACATGTTATAGCAAGCCGGGCGTTGGTGGCGCAGCACGCAGAGGCAGGTGGATCTCTTTGAGTTTGAAGCCAGCCTGGTCTGCAGAACGAGTTCCAAGACAGGCTCGAAAGCTACAGAGAAAGCCTGTTTCGAAAAACCAAAACAACAACAACAAAAAAGATGTATTAGCAATGTGTTAGAGTTGGGGTTTTCAGTCCGGGCCGGAGGGAGCAGATCCCATCACTATTGGTGGCTGTCGGGCAAAGGCCACAGGCATCCCCTGGGCTTCCAGTGCCTGTGAAGGAGGCCTCTGTGACCGAGGGGTCGTCACCCAGTCACCAAGAGGGGCCACCAAAAGTTAAAGAAGAACTTGTCAACCAAGCCGAACTGAACACGGAAGGCTGGGTGGGGTGTGTTCCCATCCCCACAAAACAACAGCCATCACCCCGGGTCTTGGGGAGCGCAAGGGAAAACTCACCAGTTAGCCTCTGTTAGATGCAGTGAATGAGAACTGGGTTGGGGGTCCTGTAGATCCATCCAAGTTATGATTCGATTTCTGAACCAATGTTAAGGGATCCCACACCCTCTGCCCCCAGTTGGTACAGGACACAGCCTGATGCCAAATTCTCAGCACGAAGATTTATTACCCTGGAGGGGCAAGCACTGGGGCGGCTGCAAGCAGAAAACAGGGTTTTTATTGTTTTGTTTTTGCAGGAGTGTGTCTTTTTACATTTTATTTTTTTGTTTCATGTGCATTGGTGTTTTGCCTGCATGTATGTCTCTATGAGGGTGTGGAATCCCCTGGAACTGGAGTTACAGACCGTTGTGAGCTGCCATGTGGGTGCTGGAAATTGAACCTGGGTCCTCTGAAAGAACAGTCACTGCTCCTAACCGCTGAACCATCTCCCCAGCCGGCAGGAGTGTGTCTTTAAGGAGAAAGGGGGAGTCTGTGCTAGGGGGAGTTGGTAAGCCCTGATTGGACATATTAGCCAAATAATGAATTTTGATTGTTGGATCTTGGTGCTTAGTCTCAGGCATGAGTCCGAGGCCAGAGCTTGCAGGGCAGCTCCAGGAATGCAGTCTAACAGTTTTTAACGAGGGAGAGGGAAGGCTGTGTTTGACACAGCCAGGCCTGTTGCTAGAGTCCTGTACCCTGGCCTCCTCAGAGCTCCGCCCCATATGTGCTGCTTTCAGGGAAACAACATATTCTCTAGTTCACCAGCCGTTTGGAGAGTATCCTGTACTCAAACAGCAGGTCCCAGCCATCAAGGAGGTTCATCCCTCCATACCACATAGAAGATGATGGCCACCTTGGGATTCCTTCCACGCCCCCTCCACCTTCCTACAGCGCAGCCTCAGATCACAGCTTATTGCAGGAGCAGACAGTTATTCTGAGACTCATCTTTGGCCCCGTTTCGGTGCCAAGCCTTGTGTAACTTTTCCTGGGTTGCCAATTTCTATTCACCCTAGATACAAAGAGAGCAAGTAAATGGCCCCATTCAAGTCTAGTGTGACAAACCAACACGTTCAGTGACAGGAGCCTGGGTGAGAAGCTACTTACAAGAGCAGATGTGCCTTAGGCAGATGTATCATGGGTGATGGCTTCCCTGAAGCTGCCTTAGTGGAGTCTGGCAAGACCACTAAAGGGTCAGCCTCCTCCTCCTCCTCCTCCTCCAAGAAATTATTTGGATCAAGAAGACTATTGCTTTTGGATCAAGAAGACTATTGCTTTTGGATCAAGTAGAACTCTTAGCGCCTTCTCCAGCACCATGTCTGCCTGTTCACTGCCATGCCCTGCCATGATGGTAATGGACTAAGTTTCTGAAACTATAAGCCAGCCCCAATTAAATGTTTTCCTTTATCAGAGTTGCCATGGTCATGGTGTCTATACGCAGCAATAGAAAACCAAACTAAGAAATGGACCGTCAAGGAAAGTGTCATAGGCTGAGAATACTATAAGGTTATCTACAGCGTAGCAAGGTTTCTGATGGCAGAGTCTGGCTGTGCTTTCAGGAACCAGAGTCCTACTCTGGCAGCAAACAGACACGGCAGCAGTGTAGCCTCCTCGAGGTGTCAAGGAGTGCCCAAAGCAAGTAGTATTTACAAGAGAGTAGAGAGTGATCTGACTTCTCCTCTGGGCAGCCAGGGCACTTAAGGGAGGGTGTAACAGCTGTGAACTAGACAGTCAAGACTACCCTGCCACCAGGATCTTGGATTATTTGGAGGAAGATGAATATCGAAAGGGGTAATGAGAATAAAGGCTTACCACTAACATTAACAGTGATGCAACAGTATTTTAACAGTGTTTGACTCCTATCTTACCCACAGGTTCCAGGGAGAGGTAGGACCCTCTAATCTCAATAACGAAAAATAATTTGAGAAGATGAGGAAGGGAGAAACTTGGAAGTTGATGCTCCTACGCCACCTGAACCTACACGGGGAATGGGACTGTCCAATGCATACTTGATTACCAGCCTTTCAGGTCTATCACGTGACCAAAGAAGGGAAGCAACCCAAATGTCTATCGATAGGCAGATGCACAAACAGAAGTATTCTATCTACTCGGTGGAATGGTACTCAGCCATAACAAATGACATGCTGATAAACGCTTTACCAGGGACAACCTTGAAGCATTATGCTCAGCGGAAGAAACCGGGCACTAATAAGCTATAGGGAGTGAGGTCCTTTATATCAAAGTCCCAACTATTCTCAAAGTCTGCTGAAACAGAAAGATTAGGATTGGCCAGGTGGAAGATGGTAAATGGAGAATGACTGCTAATTCTGGTGAGTTTTGAGGTGATGAACATTATCAGAAGTTAGCAGTGATGGGCACATCACTTGCACACTTTAGAGATTTTTACAGTTGATGCCCGGCATTAGTGGCGCATGCCTTTAATCCCAGCACTCGGGAGGCAGAGGCAGGCCAACCTCTGTGAGTTCGAGGCCAGCCTGGTATACAGAGCCAGTTCCAGGACAGCCTCCAAAAAAATAGAGAAACCCTGTCTAGAAAAAAAAGAGAGATTTTCACAGTTGAAATTATATCTGAGATCTTATAAAGCATGAACATTAACACAGATGCTCAGAGCTGGGCTGGGATAGCAATTTCTCTGAGCTGGCATTAGAAGCTTCTCCTCATAGGTTGGGGAGATTGCTTGATCACAACATCAAGATACTACACCAGGGGAGGCTTGATTCCCCAAAGCCCACCCAGTCAGGAACCAAGGAGTATCGCAAAGTCACACTCATACAAGTTATTGGGGCTGCCTGGGGGGGGGAGAAGCAGCAGGGGGCTGAGCAGGAGGCAGGCTTTATAGAGGGTTCCTTGGGGGAGGAGTTTTCCAGGGTGGAGATTTCCAGTGTGGGGACTGAAGAAATCTTAAACCAAGTCCAAGAATTGGTGAGATTTTTGTGCTTAAGGATTGGTGGGCACTGATAGGTTTGAAACCTGGAAGTGGACTTGGACCTTTAACTCCACTCAATCTTGACTTAAGGTCAGAGAGTTCAAACCTATTCTTGCTCCTCAAGTTTAAATAACAGGGTGTTTGGCCCAAGGTGTGGCTTCGGGATGCTGTGACCCTCAAGACCAAATTATAGGATGTTTGACTTAGGGCGTGGTGACCAGATGTTTTGGGTATTAAGTAGGTAATTAATGCTTGTTTCCTGTATCATAGGGAGTCTTTTGTCCTCCCGTTTTGCTTGGGGTGTATAGAGGGTGATGAGTAATAAACTTAGGTGTCTGCAGTACCGAGTGCCCTCCCAACTCTAACTTCTCTTTTTTCCTCAGTCCTCACTCCTCCTTCCAGGAACGTTTGAGCAGGTTGGCTGAACCAGACACAGCCTCATATTGCTCCTTTAAAAACATTTCAAGAGATGTGCCATGCCTCGTTCACTCTCCATGGGAAGCATTATCCTCTCTGAGGAGTGGATGGGGGTGTGGTGGGGGAGCAGGAGGAGGGGATGGAGTGGGAACTGGGCTGGCATGTAAAATCAGAAAAGATTAAACACCTTAAAATAACATGGTTTACTTATTGCCAGTATGCATGTGGAGTTCAGAGGACAACTTGGAGGAGTGGGTTCTCTCCTAACAATCTGTGTTATGGGTAAGGAACATGGGCACCCAGGCTTAGTGGCAAGTGCCTTCATCTGCCGAGCCATCTCATTGGCCTACAGTGTTTCTTAAAACATCTTCTAGGTGCTCCTCTCCATCCTTCATGGGTCTCTCACTGTGCGTCCATTCATCTCTCTCTATTCTGTGTCGCCTTTGTTCCTGGGGTCGGATAGTCTTTACTGGCCCATCTTCATATGCTGACTTTCTTCTGTCTGCTTGAATCCACTGAACTGCAATGAACCCCGAGTTTCTTGTTCTCCTGTGTTTCCCCATTCTTTAGACATGTAGTCTGTTTCAACACATCACAGTAGCTAATTTAAGGTCACCTGGACTTCCTTAGAGACGGTTTCTACTGACAGTTTTTGCCCCTGCCCCCAGCATATGGCCTAAGTTTTATTTCTTTGGGTACCTCATGATTTTGAGGTTAAAAACCTGTTCTGCAAAGAAGCAACTTCTTCCTCTCCACAGGCTGTGTTGTGGCTTTCCTGGATTGACTCTAATACCTATAGGACATATTCTTTGAAGTCCCTGCCTGGTGAGCTTACGTGATTAGCAGATGAATCAAGTTATTTTATTTTTATTTTTTTAGGAATTTGGTTCAACTAATCCCCTACTCCTTATGGCACCCAGAAACAAAACTAGGACTTTTGTAGATCATTTCTGGGGACACACAAGCACTCCTCATCCATACCTTCCTATGTCCCCCATTCTACAACCTTTGTTTGTTTTTTTTTTTCCTGGATTTTCCTGTTTTGTCAACTTCTGTCTCTAGAGGTGCCACAGATTCAGGCAGCTGCAATAAATATTATGTTTGACAAGCACAGTAAACACAGATTTCCTAGGATCCAGACAAGTCACACAAGGGAATAAGACATTTCCTAAATCCATTCTTCCCCCTTTGGAAGTTGCAGGTTTTCACTGCTGTTGTAGCCCTAAGCTGTTCTATGATTTTTTTAAAAAATAAGTTCATATTTTCTAATTGCTATTACTATTAGAATGTAAGAATGGAGATTTATAGTCTCACAGTTAACCTCATTAAACATCTGCTAACCCTGGTGTTTTCAGCTATGGGAGTTTCCAAGTAGGCAACTATCTCCAAAGATCATTTCCCTCTCAGCATGTACATGACAGACAATTTGTTTCTTTTTTTTATTTTTTGGTTTTTTTGAGACAGAGTTTCTCTCTATTGTTTTGGAGGCTGTCCTGGGACTCGCTCTGTAGACCAGGCTGGCCTTGAACTCACAGAGATCCTCCTGCCTCTGCCTCCCGAGTGCTGGGATTAAAGGCGTGTACCATCAATGTCTGGTAATTTATTTCTTTTCATAGTTGTCTAGGAGTTCCAGAATAACTCCAAATAAAGACTTCCTAATTTCTCTTTTTTTTGTGACCCAACTGTTTTTAAAGTAATTATGTCGGTAGCTTTTTAATCTCTAGGATTCGTTGAGTGGGAACTCCTTACACAAGGGTCTTATATGCCCAATGTTTACAGATCATCTATTCAGCTGACTTGGGTTATCAACTGCATGCTCACGACAGCTGTCAGAAACTAATACACAGACTCTGTTCTTAGTGGTTTATAGTTCAGGTAGAAAAACTGTAAGTAATGCTCAACCAAAATTTCATTAAGATGAACAAAAGAAACATGGTGCCAAGGGTCTGTATGGGGGGCACTTGGTTAGACTGCTGGTAAAGGACCCCGGGGGAACCAACTTCAAATTTCTGTGAAGGAAGTGGACGTTGTCCAGGCCAGTATCCTGGGAAGAACCATGGTCACTAAGCGAGTACAAGCAGACCCGGTAGGAGGTGTGTCTGGCAAGGTCTCAGGGCCTGCGGGCCACAGGCGCTTAGTCTTTAGTGCGAGGGCAGTTTTTAAGAGACCCTCTGCATGTTAGCAAAAAGCAAGGACAGGAGCGGCTGGAAACTGGGAGTTGACAGTAGGGAAGACCAAGATGGGGCCTGAGGTTGTAGCAGAAGTGGGTGTGTCCTCAAGTCAGGATTAAGGCTCCTCCCTGCCTCTCTCCCTCCCCCTTCCCTTCTCTCTGTGCTCCTGTGTGCGCCCCAGTTGGGGGGGGACCAGGGCACGATGCTGTTTAAGTCTCTAGCTAGGTACCTAGACAGAGACAAAGACAGGAGGCAACCCTGCTAGACCTCCCAGAAGACAGATGCTTTAGCAGGAACTAGATGCACTGGCCTTGAACGTTAAAGGAAAGTCTGTGGTATCAATTTGGAAAGCACGGATGGTCAGTGGTTTTAAGAATACACAATAAGAGTGAAACAACAGGAACTGTGTGCTTCAATGTTTAGAGCTCAGGTAAGAGAATAAGGAAAAAGAGGTCTTTTAGGAAGACCAGCAGAGAAGAGTGATGCAGAGAGGGCCAGGGTGTGACTCGGTGGTAGAATGCTTGCCCGGTGTGCAATGGTGTACTATGATTTTTTTCCTTTTAGGTGGAGGCATGCAAAGAAAGACATTATGAAGGACAAAGAAACGAGATTAGGAGCATACAGTTGTGATCTCAATATTTAGGAGGCTGAGGCAGGAGGATTGTTGGTTGAAAGCCACTCTTGGCTACCCTATCAACAAACAAACAAGGCCAAGCAAAGGTGAGCAGAGAAACCAATGATGTTAGCTGTCAAGATGCCTAAGACAGACTACAAGGTGTGTCCTTAGGCCTGCTGAGACACTGGATACCCGAGTGTTTCACCCCTGTTCACACCTATCTCAGCAGCTCGTTTAGGGACTTCTCAGTATTCCAGTCTTATTTAGCCGACTTTTCCTACTAAACCATTACCCTTCAAAGAGCTGCTTTATAAACGCAGAGTCTGTGAGCTAGGTAGAGAACAGTCAAAGCTGGGATGGGAGCAAGAGCAGTAGCAAACCACCTGGACAATGGAGGGAGCACAAACAGGAAACATACATGAGAAAGCACGTGCACTTCCCAAATCATCTGTTCCCACACTAAAGAGAAAAAACAACAACAAAGACACATTACAGGTGAGCTAACAAAAGTTTTATTGAATAAATACATGTGCTGTTATGTAAAATTAATTAAGCGAAAAGCACATTCTATGATTTAAAAAAACCCAAAAACCAATCCTCTGTGGTCCTCCTCTACAGTGGGTAATCCAGATGGGACCAGTCATTGCAGCAACCAGAGAATACATATCCAGGGACTGGGGCTCTCTGCATCTGCCTGGCGTTTCTGAAATAATACCCAACTGTCTGGAGGACTGACCTCTGTCTGCATAAGGACAGAGTCCCTGTAGAGGAACTCTCGGGTGCAGAACATAAGGGGTGGTAACTGCAGTTGCAAGGGTGCTTCCGTTTTCCCTTGGTACTTTAAGGCACAGGATAAGTCGCCACGTAGGTGAGTTAGTGGAGCTGTACTTCAAATCACTAATTTCCCCTCACTGGTTTGGTTCTAAGTAGAAAACTTAAAGTTCTTTTTTCCAAGATAAGTCATTAAAAACTGAAAGTTAGCATTTTGAGAACCCAAAGTATCTTCTATCTTCAGGACACTGGAACGTGCCTTGATGGCAACTCAGCTCTCCACGTGCAGGATACAGGACTACAACCAGGAGGTGGGCTGGTATTACCGGACTTTCTCCTTTCCAAAGAGGACTCAGATGATGCAGGTGGGGAGGCTGTATCTGAGCTCACTGGTGCCAGCGTTTGTGACTGCAGCAGAGGGCGCCAGATTGAGGACTTACTAGGCGATTGTACCCTTAAATATATTCAATTTACCTAATTGTTAAGTAAAGTATTCTGTTAAATAAAACACATACTGAACAGATTAAGCTTGTGGGCACAAAACCAAAATGTTTAGGTTGTTGGTAGAAAACCACTGACATGATAAAATTTCAAAAAGAAAATCTTCTTTATAGATTATGACCGAAATCCTTCAGTGGACCAACTGAAAAGATACTTAAGGAAAAAAAAACCTAATAACATGGTGAAGCAACTAGTTTTAATAAGGTATCACCTATCACCTGTCTTTTTTCCTGTGACTAAACTGCCACCCTTACATGTTTTATGTGCATATATGTTCACATGTGTGACATACACATCAACTTTCTCCTAGAAAAACCAATCCTGCATACTAACAGGAAAAAATTTATAAACAGGGGACTCAAAGGAAGGTGTCAACAGACGGAGAGTGAGGGTACTCTGGCCTTATGACTACCTGGGATGTGCTGTGAAGAGCCACAGACTCCGTTACAAATGCACCCATGCATGGTACATTACAAACTGAGGCACACTCTCATCTGCCAGACAGGAGGAGAGTAGAAACGGAACACTTTGCATTCATCATAGGCACTTTGGTATGTTTAGTCACACAAGCTTCCCATGGGTTGTTTAGTTCTAGGAAGCATATGAAAGGATCTACTCCAATTTTGATTACAAAGCTGCATTTTCCTGCTGTAAGTGTACACAGTTTTAAATGATTTCATGGGGGAGAAGCCCTTTTCTCCTGTAGCTTAAAATGCATACTGAAAATGTCTTCCCACATTTGTGCATATTTTGCTTACAGACATGCATAGCTTATAACACTGCGATGTAGCCTCACCTCACAAGAGGCTCTGGGGGACTCCTACACATGTAAAACATGCTTTTCATAATCTGAAGAGGAAAAGAGGACTCTAAAATAAAAGTCACATAATACTATCCCAATATTATGACCTGACATGGTACAGACTGAGGCTATCCAGAAAGTGCCAAGACTGGCAGCTGATGCTGCTGACAGGGTTCCTCCCTTTGTGTGTGAGGGGAAGCACAGCAGGCTCCATCCACAGGTGTGTGTCCTGTGTGATGGCCGCAGAGCCAGGTCCTCCACCAAGAGCAGTGCAGTGTCAGTCTTTAGCATGCTACTCCGTGTATGCGTCCAGCTTGTTTCACCGCTTTCCATTAACAACAGGCCTGTCTTCACTGGGTTACAAACATGGACAAAACAAACCAGGCTTACATCATCTCCTAATATCAGAGATTAGTTCCTATGCTTTGGGTAAAACATAAAGTATACATTTCTTTTTCCCAAGATAGGGTGTTGCCGCGCAGCCCAGGCAGGCCCTCTGACTCCCATGCATCCTGGGTTACAGGTGTGAGGTGCCCGCCTGGCATGTGTCTGTCTCTGCACTATTTCATCTATCAGTTACAACAAACAATTACAAATGAACAGCACATTTCTTGCTTATGTAATCAACTTCTTAGGAGTACACTGTGTTTATGAGCTTTGACAATACTCTTGGCATTGTCCATTACTCAGTTATACATCTTTTAATCCGTCATTCACTGACTCCTCACTCTATCTTCCTATTTACAATGTTAATAATCTGAACACTTTATCATTCATACTAGACATAAATATCCTAATATTTAATAATCTTTCCATTTTTCCCTTAAAAAGCTATATCACACAACAGATCTCTGAGAACTTTTTTGCTGAAAAGATGAAAATGATTATCTGTCATAGAATTTAATAAGTTTTAGAAGAAAATATGTATTTCCTTGATACATTTTCTTCTTTATCCAAGCCAGCACGTAGACATTACAAAAACCAGAGTCTATTTACATGGTGTAGTGCACCTCCGGACGCAAGGCAAGGCAGCGGTCAGCAAGTACGGGCGCCCTCTCCCGAGCGGGCGTGGCTGACGAGCTGCAAGCAGCACAGGGACGGACGCCTGCACCACCGCACTCTGCAGTGCCTGGAGAAGCACTGGACCCAACAGGGAAACTTAACAATAGTGTTGGCCAAAGTTTCCTACAGTGCCAACAGTTTTATAAAATTACTAAGGTATGTATAACTCAGTACTTAAAATTATAAAAATAGCATTGGTACATTTGCAAGAAAGTGTGTTCCGTGTTGAGGTGGTGCAATACGCTGAGAAACGGGCCTTACGTCCAGCGTGGCTACGTGATCACCTGTGGCCTTGTTCCGTCTTCTGTGAGGTCATACCTGAGGAAGCACAGAGAAGTACAATAGCTTTGGGTCAGGCTGTGTTCGCCGTGGTGCTGCACACACGGTTAGGTTTCTCTGGGAACCGCCTGCTAATTGGGATCGGGGCTCACTCACCACTGGGTCCAGCCCTTGGCGAGTTCTTCAGATGCCAGAGCAACCAGTACCTGTGGGTTAAAGAAGGCGCTCTGAAAATGTGCTGAGTAATTCCTTTCAGAACATCCACCACTCCTTTCCACCTCTCTAGTTACTGAATGTACAATGGGGACTCTCCTGCTCCTCAAAACTCGTTTTCAAACCTCCTTTCAACCTTTACATGGCTATGTCCGAGAGATCCGTCTTGTATCTAACAGCATTAAGATTATCATGAAACACAGGCAGAGGCAATTTCTGGATATTGGCAAGGATGTCACAGAGCAGTCAGTGTGTAGCTTGGATGTTAACTGACTCTGATGGTGATGGAAACTGGTGGGCGGGCAGGGGTCCAGGGGCAGGAAGCAGGGCACTGGGACGTTCTCTGGAAACCTGTAACTGTCTTTTCTCTCTCTGCTTTCTGGCCGCTATGCAGGGCACCTTGGTTCTGCCTCGTGCTCCTCACCATGATGTTCTTTCTGCCTCGTGACGAGCCCGGAAGCTGTGGAGCCAAGTGCCCAGGGACTGAAGCTCCTCAAGCCAGGAGGGAAAAGTAAACCTCCCTCCTTTACTGTCTCTCGTAGCTACCGGCCACAGCCTAGCTCATACAGACTTTTCACTTCTGCTGCTGACAAAGTGGCCAACAACTCAAATCCCCTTTCCCTATCTAAACCTCTGTGCACTGTAGAAGGACACATAAACCTACACCAGGTTAGCTGTGACAGGGTAAAGACAAAAGAAGATTTGGAGGAAGAGACTCAGGGCATGCTTGAGGACGAATGGCAATTAGCTGAGGCGGTGGGCCCTTTGAGAATATGCTCCTCCGTATTTTCTTCCAACGCAGTATTGAGTAGTTTTTAAAGCTTCAAGAAAAAAAATCAACCTTGCTTCAACTGCACTCCAGGGAAGTGCTCAGTTTTACAGTGTGCAGGGTACATGGCGTGGAAAACATTACTTTGCCAAGAAGCCCCTTGTCTTTGGACAGGAAGCCCCCGCTGTTCTTCACCGCCACGTCCAGGGTTCTCCTCTGCACCTCAGGCAATGACACACTGAAATCGAAGCTGCAATGCAAACAGATTCCTTCTGTCAGTTCTCCATGACCCTGCTGCGTTTCCTCTGAACTAAAAATGGCATCTTGTTTCTGAGATTGTTCCAAATGCTGTCTGCTTTTTCATGTAAAACTGACCTTAGTTTAAAACAAAGTTAGGGCATGAAAACAGTGAGGGAGACGTACCTCTAAAGAAGAAACCGCACTGAGCCAACAGATACTGTCCAGCTGTATTATTTCCTCAACACTAGCAGATGCTAACCTGTCAGAACTATGAGGCGGGGGCAGTTTGCACCGAGACTGGTGATCCAAGCAACTCGGCCATTAGACTGGCCACTAACCACACAAAGGCAGCTTCTACTCAGATGGCCACTCGTATCTACTGTAATCTCTGAAATTGTTTTAGAAGAGTAGAGCTTTTCTCAAAAATGTATATTTTATATTATTATCTTATAAAATTTTAAATGTGTCTTTACATTCTGCTTAACTTAAAATTCAGCATCAATATATGCTACCCACCAAATCAAAGTTCTTCAGTCATCAGTAATTTGACCTTCAGCCAGAGGTGGTAGCGCTGGCCTTTAATCCCAACACTCAGGAGGCAGAGGCAGAGGGATCTCTGTGAGCTCAAGGCCAGCCTGGTCTCCAGAGTGAGTTCCAGGACAGCTAGGACTATTACACAGAGAAACCCTGCCTCAAATAAACCAAACCAAAAATTTGACCTTTAATCAGCCACCTCCCTGCGCAACTTTATAACTTGGATATATGTTTAACGGCTCTGCTTGAAGGTCAGGCGCTTTTAACTTAACTTGTTTAATAAGCAACATGTGCTGGAGTCTGCTACAGGACCCGCTTCTCAACAGGTCTCAGGACTGCCCTAACCACCTGCTGTTCCACCCAGCAGCCTCTTAGCTAAATGGAGTATCCACTGTACCTCTGATCAAACACAGGGTTTAGTGTTTTCTTTGACACATGTGTTTTCCTTCTTCCTGATCTTCTCTTGTCTGGCAATAAATACATGCGGACATATGGGTCAGAGCCATCTTCTGAGAAGGCAATGAGGTTTCTTAAAACACAAACCAGAGAAGACTAAATATTAGAATTAAAAAAATAACTCGATCATATTCAAATTACCTTGTCAAGTTTTTATTTCACATTTCTGAACCCCAAGGAGCAATACACACACACACACACACACACACACTGGATTTCTCCTAAGTGTGTTTGTTTCTGTACCATCAGCTTGTGGCATCACTTTTAAATTTCCCTTTCAGCAGCTTTGCCAGAGAAACTTCAGGCTTGACTTATAAACCCAGAGTAAAGGCTGGCATTCACAGCCCTGGCTCTACGCTTCTAACTAACACACCCTGCCAGTAGGACCTTGAGTGGCCATGCTGGTTGCTTCTTTAGGATCTCCAGCCATTGCTTCTGCACAGGGCCAGCTCCTCTAGGGACCTGTCACCTGTCCCGTTCCCTAGGATGACTACTGTGAGCCAACCACGCACGTTCATTTACCCACAGCCGTAGGCAGGAAGGTGAGCAAGCCCACCCTCGTCAGTCACAGCCTCAGCAGCCAGAACACAGAAGGTCCCCAACAGCCCCTCCCCGAACTAAACTCTCCATCTTCAGAATCCAGTTTGTCAGTGTCATCAGTTCTGTCTACCTATGTTTTAAAAAGACTTTTTATAGGCTAAAAATACTTATATTTTTGACTGCTGTTGACACACAAAAGAGAGACAGAAATAGCCAGCAGTGGCAGCAGCAGTCAGCCTCACCTGCACGAGTGCACGACCACAATGAGCTTGTTCCTCTGGGAGCTGTGGCGGATGGTCAGCTGGATCTGCCCCAGGGGAGACTGTCCTAGGGTGGTCCCACTGTGGAGACAGCATAGTCATCAGCTACCATCTATACGGTAACACAAGAGGGACTTAACCACCCACGAGCTTCAACATGATTAACACAGTGTCCATTCATCTAGACAAATGAGCTTCAACATGATTTGAAGCTTCTGAAAGATACCAAGTTGAAATTATTTCACTTGAGGGTTGAGGATTCCTTATATATTCAAAACTGACCGTTTTCCAGTGAGCACTCAAGGTGCACTAAGACACAGAGCTCTCCCGGGGACAAGCACCAATCCTGTGGCCGAAGCGCAGCCTGCTGCTAGCCAAGTGTACTATCACTGTACTGCGCCCCAACCTGAAGCTGACTCCCTTTCCCAAAACAGCACATGCGAGAAAGCATGAAACAGAAGGTGAGCATGGGTCGGGAAGCCTCGGGGACGCAGCACTGCTGCTTTTACTATTCCCCTATAACTGGGCACACCCCTTATGACACAAGCGGAGGAGCACTTTCAAAGACTGACTTTTACAATTACCACAGGAGGGCTTGAGAGATGCCTCAGCCGGTAAAGCCCAGGCTCACAACCATTACCACAGGAAACAGTAATGTCCTATGCTTAGAGTAACCTTTTCCTCCTTATCCAAGGAAACCAGCAGTCCTACCTACAGATCACGACAAACATGCAAAGGAAGCCAGTGGGGACTTGGCGCTGATGAGGGCTGCGTTCTGCAGTGAAGAGAAGACCAGCCTCTGCCATCCTTTGCGGATGACACCATGTTTGGCACATGAGGAACTATCCATGCAGGGGTCAGTCCCTGGAACGCACTGAGTGTATGGTGGATGCACAGCTCTAAGTCTATTGCATTTCCCTCCTGCGAAACATCTTATTCTACTTCTATCCTTCTAACACAGCCAAGGTCCCAAGCAGCAAGCTTTATTTTGAAAGCCAAGGACTCGATGAGCAAACTGGCACAAGTCAGATTTCTCCCAGATATCTTAAGATCCTATATCCCTCCCTGTGACGTGTGTGGGATGGAAAGTGTATGATAAACAACAATGTGAGCATTAGTTACTTTTCAAGTTGACGCAGCCTCTGCCTCAGCTCTTGGGTGGCAATGGGCAGTGATATGTCTGAGGCAATGCTTGGGGTAGGTTCCTTGGCTGAGACGTGGCTTGGAGAGGCCAAGAGGCTGGAGGAGCTCCTGCCTAGGTCACGATGTCCTAGAGGGCTGGCCTCCGGGGGCTGGGGCTTCTCCTCCCTGACGGGCTTATCGTCTCCCGTGCCGGGTGTTGACGGAGCAGTGTTGTTGCCACCGGTGCCTGGAGTCACAGACGTCTGAGACTTGACAGGCACTTTTCGCCCTTCTTTGGAGACAGACGGCCGCTTCACTCGGGCTGAGTGCTGGTAGTCTGGAGGCCTTTCCTGCTTCTCAAGATGGAGGACCTAAGGGAAAGCAGTAACACCGGGGTACAAGTGTGGCTTTAGATGTATTCATCTGCAAGTGCTTAAGATTCAGCTCGTCTGTTCAGCGATGTGGTTATTAAAATAGTGTTTTACAGAGAATTACAAAAGCAAGTTTTATCAGGCACAGTGGCGCACGCCTTTCATCCCAGCACTTGGGGGCAGAGGCAGGTGGATTTCTGAGAGTTTGAAGCCAGCTTGTTCTACATAGAGAATTCAAGGACAACTAGGGCCATGTAGAGAGAACCTGTCTCCAAAATACAAAACAATTTTTAAAAAGGCAAACTTTGAGCAATTAAAACTACTGTAGTTCTGCAACACAAACACCTTTTCTGTGCCTTCTTCAAATCTCCACTTGAATATATTCTAATTAAAGGACAAGGCTATCTCTCGATCACCCAGTGAGTCATGTGTCCTTGGCAAAAGATGAAATGTCACATTCTTCCAGGTGGTTTGCACCAGAAACACCCACAGGAAAAATGTCAAGATACCTTGCTATCCAGAAAGATCTCTCCAAGCAACCAAGTATAATAGAGTAATAAAAGGACAGTCACCTCATCCAGACACTCTGGAGTCCCCAATTTTCTCTGGTTTTCTTAACCAAAGCTATACCTAGCATCTTCATTTCACAGACTCCCCACATCTTACACTGTAACCAAAAGAACTCCTGAACTGGCAGACAGGCAATGTTGCCATTATTTTGGCACTGTAAAGTTGTACTGTGTCTTGATCATGTGCAATACGAGTATTTCCACAGTACGCTGAGCATACTACTCTATTGTAATAGGAAACGGGCTGGCATACAGTTCAGTGGTAAAACACTGGCCTAGCATGGGTGAAACCAGGGGTTCAAAGCCCAGCACGGAGGCAGAACTTTGGCTCTTTATTGTAACATATATGTATGTATGTGTGTGTGTATACATATATATACACACTAGTCCTCTTTCCAAGGGTTTCAGGGAGGCCAGAGGACAAGCCCGTGGACTAGTCCTCTTTCCGAGGGTTTCAGGGACTGCACTCGGGCTGCGCAGCTTTACCTGCTGAGCCATCTCCCTGGCCCTGCTCCAATACGTTAGTGACATTTCCTAAATGTTTAAGTGTTTATTGTCAGTATTTACTCAGGTATCTTTATTTTGGAGAAACCGAGATTTTATTCCTGTAAATTCTACCTCTTACAAGGGTTTCTCAAACTGCCTTCTGAACAACTTTTGAGAATCCAATGCTAAGGAGTCAACTCCATGGGCACAGACATCCTTCCCGGATGACCCTGGCCTACCCATGAATCTGGAAAAAAGGCTTTGTTCAGAATGAAGTCTAGATTGGATTCCCATAACTCCCCGCAAACTATCAGCATGCTATCATATCACCTGACCTATGCCTGTGGTACTACAGACCACACAGGGACTGACCCACTGCTGCAGGCTGGAGCTGCCCCTCCCCCCCCACAGAGTTCTGCAGTACCCGGAGGGCAATCTTCATTTTTAAGGTGCTGTTTGGACCCGAGTTGCTGAGATGGAACCGCTGGTTTATGGTCATGTTGTCACTCATAAGCAGTTGGCTGAGCGGGATCCTCAGGCTCCCCAGAGAACACTGATGCTGCTCGTCTTTGACCTGAAAGATGCAGGGTAGAAAACACAGAGCTCCAAGGAAGATGACAGGAGCCACAGGAGATGTAGCAAGACCCCAAACAACGAAAGTAAACCCACCATGAGAAACTGCGGATAAGCATTAACGGTCTGGGGGCTGAGAGACGGCTCAGCTGTGAAGAGTGCTTGTTCTTGCAAAGGGCGCCCATGTGAGTCCCAGCGCATATCCACCCATAACTCAACCCTGGGAATCCAATGGCCTCTCAGGACCTCCACAGGCACTCACAGAGCATTCATGCAAGCAAAACACTCACATGCATAAGACCAATCTCTTTAAAAAATGTAAAAAGTAATAGTCTATACAAATTTAAAGGTCAGAAGAAAATATCTTTTAAGTCCTTAAACCATGCAGCATACACCGAGGGTGGTGTGTAGCTTGTACTGGAGATACTTATTCATGGAGAAAATGCACTGTGAGTGTCTCTAACACAATCCCTGTTCAAGGTCTACATGGTTGCTTTAAATACATGGTGCTTCTTTCTCATGAGCAATTAATCATCAGCATCTCTTCTGTTATCACAACTGTTCCCATCATGTGCCCATTCAAAATAGTTTGATCATAGTGAGAGCAAACTCTAGGCAAAACGAGCAAACTCCTTGAAAGACATATATACCACAGTTTATAAAGAAGAAATAGCTGACCTACATAGACAGGTAGATAAATAGCTTTTGACAGAATTAAGTTTGTATGTGAACACCTTCTCAAAATGAAAAACGCAAGTGATATAAGGAAAAACCTCAAACAATTATGTACAGATGCTTCCAGAATATTCAAGAGGAACAAATGCCCCCTAACTCATTCAGGAAACTATTATTTTTTTTTGACATCAAAACAGGAAAAAATATAAAAAAAGCAAAATTACAAATCAGTACCCTTCATGACTAAGAAGCAAGAATGTTTTTTTTCCCTACTTATTAACTTAATTTGTATGTGTGTGTACTTGAGAGAGTTATGTGTTATTATGTGTGTGCAGGAGTCCTCAAAGGCCAGAAGGGGGCACCAGATCCCCTGGAACAGAATCCAGGTCTGCTACAAGGGATTCCAGCCAAATCTCTAAACCAAGGAAGCAAGGATTTTAACAAGCTGAATATATGTAAACACAATCATGACTAAGAGGGACTTATTTCTAAATAAAATATTGTGTTCAAGGTATCCCAAGTATTAAATGTGGAAAACCAAATAAAAGTTTGCAATATTTAACATTTAAAAATCAACAATGTATTTCACTGTATTTATGACCCCCTAACCGTGGCTTCCTAAATGCCGGGATTACAGGAATCTACCACAATGTATAGATACTTTTATATGTATTAGTAAAAAAGCCATTTAATAACTGGGAAAAATTGGTAAAGTGATGGGGGATGTCCTTCTGTATCTATGTTTCTCTTACTGGATGATGAATAAAACGCTGTGTGGCCAATGAAGCAGGAAGATAGGCGGGGCTAGGAGACAAGGAGAATGCTGGGAAAGGTGGGCAAAGACAGTCCACAAAGAGACGCCATGTAGCCGCCAAAGGAGTAGCAGCAGGTTCAAGCATTCTCCGGTAAGCCAAGACCACGTAGAAATACTTAGACTAATAGAAATGGGTTAATATTTAAGACACAGCCAGCCAACGAGAAGCCCTATCCACTGGCCATCAGCTTTATAGTTAATATAGAGTCTGTGTGTTTATTTGGGGCTGAAAGGCAGCGGCAGGACCTGGAGGGACAAGACCTTCCGCCTACAGTAAAGTTCTTGTCTTCAATTGCAAGTAGGGAAGTAAGAAAGATCGCTCAGATCATGAAAAATATTAAGTGTTTAGGGACAAGTCTGGCACATGTGAAAGACCTACAATGAACACGGAACGCCACATGACAATGTGATGTTTCTATGGATTGGGATGTCTCCTGTTGTGAAGATGGCAATTCCAAACACTGGTTCTGTGAGGCCATTTAAGTCCTTCCCAAAGTCATAGGTTCTCTGTGTAAATCTGCCACTGGTACTAAAATCATGTGGAACACGGACTTAGAATCAGTGGACACCACTGTGAAAAGTATGTTTGGTGCTAAAACGCTCTCCTCCAATGGCAGTGACTGAGGGCGTGGTGCTGGCACACCGCTAGCGAGGACAGACCCGGGCAGAGAGGGCCCCAGAGGCAGATGCACACCGGGCCCGAGTTGCCATAGTCACCCCCCTCAACACACAGAGAAGAGTGACTTCTACAGCAGCGTGCTGAGCATATGTAGCTGAAGATTAAGAAAAACAGAATCATGACCCTTTCCTGATAGCAATTTCTATCAATCATATTTCAAAATATAGGCACAAAGTGCAATAAAATACCTCAACTTCCAGGTCCTGGCGCTTGGGGTTGTGAATGAAGAAAGTGAAGTTTTCCTCCCACACCGGCTCACTAGTTTTGTACCGGATCTGTAAGAAACAAGTAGTCCAGTATCAGTTCTCCAGTACCTCCTATGGAGGACTACTGACTCAATGTTTGCTTGTTTGGTGCGCATAAAGCACAGGGTGATTAAATCGGTTACTGAGTGATACTCGAGAAGTGAGACATAAGCCTTCCTTCTGCAGTGCACCGGCGAGAAGTGAGACATAAGCCTTCCTTCTGCAGTGCACTGGCGAGAAGTGAGACATAAGCCTTCTGCAGTGCACCGGCGAGAAGTGAGACATAAGCCTTCTGCAGTGCACCGGCGAGAAGTGAGACATAAGCCTTCCTTCTGCAGTGCACCGGCGAGAAGTGAGACATAAGCCTTCTGCAGTGCACCGGCGAAGGAGTTGACACAGAATCCGCGCCTACTTGCCCAGAGACCAAAAGCTCTTCTGTTCTCCTCTCCTCAACTCTCTCATTCTTGGTGCTTGGCACTGAACTGCACATAGCCCTGCTTCTTAAAGAGTTAGCAATTAAAAGTTAACAATGGCCCATGACTGTGAGTAGTTTCTTAATTTTTATTTCCTCATCGGAAAAGTAGAACATACAACACCACCTTCCTTGAATTCTGGAGCCTATGTTTGCTGAAGCTGAAGTAAAGCATGTTAACTTTAAACTAAACAGGAGTTAAGTACTTAAAAGAAGCTTGGCAATAATTCCATATCTCTCCCCATGAAACCAAACAAAAGCATATCTGTAGGTTTCTTTTACACTTAAAAACAAGAAACGTATCTGTTAATAACTTAAGCAGCTAGTACTTAAGAAGCAACTGTTTCATATGGAAGCAATGGTCTTGTTGTCCACACACCACACACCTGGACGCCACCTGCGGGTTAGTGGCAAGGGAGGCTATGTGGAGAGAATCTCAGAAACCACGAACTCTTACCTTACTCTCTTGAGCCTTGTGGCCGACTGACATCTGGACAAGCGGGTTTGGGTTGCTGTTCATTTTCTTCCCTGACTATCCAAAAACAAAAACAGACAAAATAAATAAACATGTTTTGAAATGGGTCCCACTAAAAATAAAATTACAGATGATACCAGGAGTCATTTCTATTTTACCACTGATACTTTAGACACAGGGGACATCGAAGAACAATTAAAGTAGAGAACAACCGCTAAGCAAACGCTGAGCCACCATTATTCATTACGCCCACCATGAAACAAAATGGGAAAACTTCCATTCACACACCTTGTTTGGAGAGACACGGTCTAGCAAAACTGCTTGTCTGGTATGGAACTCTGGCATGAGTGGTCCTCCCGCCTAAGGCTCCAAAGTAGCTGTGACTATAGTGCAAGTCTCTGTGTCAGGCTGCACACAAATTTTAAATCTCCAACTTTTTTATTTTAAAGTAAGCTACTTTGGGAAATATTTAAAAATTTAAAATTTTATTACTAACTACAGTTGTCAAAACTGACTTAATAGGATAACAAAAATGTACCTAAGTGTAATGAATACGAATAAATATATAGAGGAGACAAATGTAAAAGAGTGTTCCCTCAGAACACTTCTCCTGTTAGAGTATAAAGCATTAGTCTCAGATGCACAGCTCCACACCTTGAACCTGCCACCATCCTCTGCTCAAGTAAACACAGTTATCAGATATGGACATTGCTTACCGGCTGCAAAGTAATTATCACCAGAAGAATAAATGTCAGTTTAGAATTGCATGGAATTAAGCAGATATAAAATATGACTTGAATAATTCATGAGCAAGAAAAATGACAAGAAGCATACTTTAGCAGACAGCTGACAGAAGAAAGCATAGTAAAAACACAGCAGATCTGCCGCATGAGGTTTATTTATAACTTAGCCCCACAAGGAGATGTGTTAAATGTGTTAACGTAAAATAATTAGAGGGTCACAAAAAGTATTTTAGTTAAATAATTTTAGAGTCAATAAATACTACAGCAACGACAGAAATAATCATTTGATTATTCAAAAATTATGACTGACCCAAACCTACTGTGATAATCTATTTTCTGGTTCATCTTTCTGATGTGAATGAATTCTGCAAAATGAAATAAATGCCGTTAAAAATTTGTCAAAGCCAATTGATTTTCCCTAAACTCGTTTCCTTTCTTTGCCATTAGGCTTCCTAAACAGGAGCCGAGCATACGTCCTCTGCTCTCCAGCTCTCTCTTCCGGCTAGCTAAGAAACTCTCATTTCCAAGGAGGGTGTGCACTGCCCACTCTTATCTGAGGTCCGAGCTGCGGTTGTAGGTCATGAAATCATACTGATGTGAGCCACATCTGCCTTGGGTCTTTGTTAAGGAATTGAGCCTATTTCTAACTAATATTAAGACAGTATCTGTGAAAATGGGGCCCTTCAGCCTTAAGGATTAAATGCATCTAATATTTTAAAAATAGAATGAAGTTTGTAACTGATAACACTTTAAATCTGCTTCTGAACAATTTTCAGTCGTCACTGCCTTAAACGATTTGTGCATTTATGCAATTATGTGAATGACACACTAAAATATATTTGTTCTAAGTCTAAAATTTCAGTAAATATAAAGTAATTCAAAGCTGGGCACTTTTATAATCTTTTATAGTAGTTTATAGAATAAGGGTATGCCTTAACATAGATGATGTTTTAGATTATATAAATGAGGTTTTTAAATCATTCGTTAAGTTTTCTACTATGAAAGACTTTTAAATTATAGCATCATGCATCAGATGTACAAACTATGATAAAAAAAACATAGTCTTTTAGGTCACACTGTTGAATTTAAATTTCATTCTCCTTAACTCTTGATGACCGTGACCTATGCTTCATCAATCTGAGCCTCAGGTTCCATGTCTACAAAAGAGGCACAAGACCACTCTTTGAACTTGTTAGACTTAAATGAGCTAGTGTGTTAAACCAGATAATTATAGCACACCTATTTACCTACCTACCGTGTATTTTTATATGTAAGATTTTAATCTACCTACTAATCCAGTGGAGAAGATATTACTCCTCCCCCCCCCCCGTAAGCAGGATGGCTGAAATATCATCTTTGAATCACAATGATGAGCAATATGACTTCAGAGCCTTCCTGCCTCACCTCTGTGCCCAGCTGGCCAACAAGACAGAAAAGAATGGTGAGCAAGGAGTATGGTTACCAGTCCCTTCATAAGATGCTATCAGTCCCAATTATACTGAGGGACACAGTTATTTTAGTCTTGTATGATGTCCTACTAAAACTACACCACAGCTCCTCAGTATAGGTCATACTAAGGTTTCCAAATAGGATATTAGTCAAATCATTGACAGTCTCTTCATTTTTTAATTAACTCATTTTGCTAGATGAAACTGATTAAGACATTCCCATTTCTTTGGAATTTTCTTAAGACAATTATATACCTCTCACTACAATTAAGATTAAGAAACAAAACAATTTAGCCAGAGAACAGAAGGTACTGACATGGATGACAAGTGGAGCTTAGTTTTCAATATACCTCATTTGATAAAATTTGAACCTTCTGGAAAGATCTATCACCCAAGCCCACAGCACCAAAGCCATGAGGTTGATTCAGTGAGGCCCTACTCAACATATTGGAAGAGGCAATTCCTTAAGCATGCACTCAACAGTTTGCAAGGTGCATCTTTAAATCACAATGTGAAACTCTGGCCAAGATTTCAAATAGAACATTTAGATTGCCATTCGCAAATTCAAATTCAAACAAAACACAGTATGTCAATGCTTTTAAGAGATAGAATGAAATCTAAAACTTCATATTGGAACTTTTAAATTTAAGTTTGATTGATGCAATTTCTTCTAAATACAACTTTTTGGATAATGAAAGACAGATCTCTTCTACTGGACAATCAATTACATCCACACAGGTAGGAAAGCCAGAGTACCATCTCTTTCAATATGTCTTGATGAGCACCGTGGCCTCAAGGGAACACTTCGTTTACCTTCAAAGCTCTCTGAACTGCAGACTTCTTCAAGACACCAGGGTTAAAGTCTAATGGGTTACTCTTTCAGGTCAGAAGAAAATGAATACACCAAGGGTTAATAAATCATGCAATGAGGAGTTTATGTAAGGTTAATGACACAAAAATTCATGAGAATAAATGAATACTTAAACCAGACCAAAAATCATACAAGCTGCCAAATTTGCCTTTATGCCCAAGAGTTTACATTAGAGTGACTGATAATCTAAACTATCATGACACGTTACCTCACCTTCAGTAACCCTTCCCTTCTCCACCTCTGACTTTTAGTGTTTGTGTGACTTAGAGAAGGCTCTTCTCACTGTCCTTTGCTGAAACCCTAGTGTCACCACAATTAGAGCTTCAATCTGACCACCTTTTCTCCAATCTGCAGGTGCTCCCACTTACAGCAGCCCACACCACTTCCATGCCTTCTGAGACCTGCGTTCTTGGTACAGCATCATCCAGAGATGGAGCCTAGCTCTCTGTGAACTCTCTGGACTCTCCCTGCTTCCCAGGTATGGAAGCACAGGCCAATGAGGTCACCTTAAGACTTTCACCTGGACTTAAATACATCCTACTGTTTTAGGGTGTGTGTCTCCCTAACTGAATTTTTTTAGTTAGTTGTTTGCTCAGTCTCAAGTGGACAATCTGTTTTGGAAGCTTCCATGATTAACATTTGAAGTTAAAGGTTTTTGTCATTTTAGTTTTAATGAATTTAAAATGGTATACTGGATTTGATTCTTAATTAAAATTTTTCTTACTGTTTTATTAAACAGAAGATGTATGGAGGAATATGGAGAAATGGCTCCCCAGTCAGTCTCCTGAGGTAGGAGACAGGCGAGAATGTAAAGCACCTATCCGGTTCCTGCCACACTAAATGGGTCTAAACCTAGACTATTCAAACAGCCTACAGGGCTCTCCAAAGACCTGGAACATATTGCCTGTATCTCTGGATGAAGTCCAGACAAGGATCCCCTAAGGAGTCCCAACATTGCGTTTTGGTTCTGAGGGAGCCTCAGTGATGCTCTCCTGATGTAACAAGGGCCTTTCCGGAAGTGCACACGGATACAAACAGCTGAGCCCAAGGCACTTCTTACTCTAGCATGCATCAGTTACTGAGAAACAAAGAGAACAGTGGAGTGTGAGCCAGGACGCAAGAGCAGCTCCGAGGTCACAGACACTGCGTGGCATGCAGGTGAGAAGACTAGTACTGAAACACTTGGGGCAGGCGTCCAGGGGTGAGGTTCAGCAGTCAGGCACTGTGCCTTGCACTCCTGGGCCTCTCCATCACTAGAGACAGCGGCACCTGTTCTTTTCCCCCATCAAAAACCATGCCCTAGGGATATAGGTCCCTCGAGAGCATTTGCCTAGCATGCAGCAAGTTCTGGGTTCAGATCCCAGCACCTCATAAACTTGGAATTGTGGTAGGGGCTGGAGGATCTGAAGTTACAGCGGTTGCCCTCAGCTACATAAAGTGTTTCAGAACAGACTGGGATATATGAGACTCTGTCCCAAACAAACAAAACCTAGTTACTGTAAAAATATCTTTGTTGCTAAGCATCTGCTCAGAGGTAGCTATTACGTGGTTATGTTCAAACATGTAAGGCAAGCACCAGGAAAATACCACTCATCTCAGGTCATCTCCAGTTACAGGATTAAGAATCTGAGCGGTGAACATTCTACAGCAACCATGTCTCAGGTCTCTTGTCTTAGTCACTTATGTCCTTTGTGTTAACTTTATTTTATAATCTGTGAGATGCCTATGAATGCTGGGGATAAATGAGGCTCGAGTAGATCCCTTACAGCCTACGTGGCTACTGCAAAGCGAACACAGTCAGGCTGAAGCTAGAGGGGGTAGAATTCCAAGAGTCCACTTTAAAAAGAAATCATTTCCAATACAGAAGAAAGTAAGAGGAGTGGAGACTTACGGTGCTTGTCAACTGGGAAGTAAAAAAGCTTTGGACTGCAGCCATTTATAAAAAAGGGTTTCCTGTAGGAAAAGACTGAGAAAGCTGATCTGGTTTTACACTGGAAACCAGCAAGTAAAAAGTAAGTGTATACAGCTACTGCACAGAACATTTCATGTTCTGTGTCACAAAGCTCAATATGACTCCAACAGTAAAGAGAATGAATTCTGAGTCTGACACTGATGTCACAACTATAAAGCAACTCAAGAATCCGGGTCAAAAATATTTTCTTTCTGCAAAAGGAAGCAGTTGTAGATTGAGAAAAGAGACCTAGAAAAGTTACTGGAGACAGACTGACAGAATTACCCAGAAGAGTGGTCTTGCGATGACATTTTACTTAAGAAACAAAAGCATAAGGCATTTTCTAAAGTGATGGCGTATGATGGCATTGTCATTCTGACTGCCTTCCTTTTGACTTTTGTTTTTGAAACAGGGTCACAATAGTGAAACACGAAACGTTCCTGCCTTAACCTCTACAAAGCAAGGGTTAGAGGGGGACACCCCTCCAGCCAGCTTTCTTCTGACTTCAACAGGTACAAGTGCAGAGTTAGGGACACCAAGGTGCTGCTTACTTACTACTCTAACTTCCCTACCCTTCAGGGTACTCCAAAGCTACTTCTTAGTGGTCAGAATAAACTGGGGACACACTTGGAAAGCCTTTGTAAGCACAGCTGGAAACTGCAAAAGCAAAGCCCTGTCCCTAGCAGATTCAAGGGTTAAGTGGTCTTTAGAAACCTAACTGACCATAGTGCGAATCTGAAAGGTGATTTCTACACTAACTAGTAGACTAGTAGGCCTTACATGTAGTTTTCTATGACTCCAGAGTAAATGAGCCCCGCAGTCACCAAAGTAACCCTGGATAGCACCAGGAGTGGATGCACCAGACAGGCTATGGGAGCAAATGTGAGGAGATCAAAACAAAGTCCCCAACTATTTACTTCAGGGAACTCTTAAGTTCCTAGAAAGAAATAAACCGTGAACCCCACTGTAGTTTTCCTCTCCTCCAAGGCTCTGGCTAGGCCATGTGGCAGAAGCAGGCTCTCACAGACATGGGTGGACTCCTGACTTCATGTGACCATGACTAGTGACAGAGAGGACAGGGTGGCACTGACTGTAAGACAGCCCAAGTTCTAATGCTGCTATCCTTGGTGAGGAGGGAAAAAGTAGATTAGGAAAGTTCTGTGAAAGTTAGAGCAGCGTTTATAATCTTTCCAAGGTGAATCCCAAAATCAAGTTTAACTTAACGAGTCTGTTTTCCCTCAGAGGACTCACTGGGACACTTTACGGACCAGCAGCAGTAGAGTTAGTTCAGGTTAGTTCATCTCATGTCAGATGTACTCCCAGCATCATGGCAGAGTCACATTTGACAAAACCAACATAAAATGAAGACGTGGTGACTGAATTCATGCAAGAAAATGACAATAGCATGCACATCATTCCCATGAGCAGACTGCACAGAGGCTCCAGGCCACACCTGCGTAGTCTCCACTGAACACAGAAGAAGGAGCTGGAGGACTCACAAATAGTGCTCTATAGACTGAGGTAGTATTCTCACAAAACACTAGTCCCGACGCTCGCCTCTCTTTTAAGTAGCCACACCCAAAGTTTCCCTCGAAGATACTCTTAGGAAAGTGAGGCAGGAAGAGAAAGCAAAGAATGGTGGGTTGTGGTCAGTGGGCACACACTAGAAGCACAGATACACAGGGTGCAGAGAGTCAAAGGGTCCACACACACAGGGACTGGCCAGCAAAGCCTCCCGGGAACACTGCAAACACGGGGATGGCTCTGTGGACCCTTCGCCTCTGATGAGCCACGGCACACTGTGACAAGTGCCCTTGGGATACAAGAGCAGTGCATTCCCTGCCTCTTGAGCTCACGTTCCAGTATCTCAATTTCAAATCGTTGACACAAAACACAGAAAGGCCCAAGCCCTTCTCCCATTTAAGCCATCACTGTTTCTGTATCTAAGCTATGCAACAAATTTGCTTCTATCAAGTCACTGTTTACAGTACTTGGGGCACGGGGCTGCCGGGGCGTGCATGTGGAGGTCAGAGGGCAACCCAAAGCAGTCAGTTCTTGTGCCCCATTATGTGTGCTTTGGGGATTGAACTCAGGTGGCCAGGCTTGGCAGCAAGGCCTTTTACACACTGAGCCATCTTGCCAGCCTGACAAATGTCTATCAGGTATTCTATAACAAACTTTACTGAGGTCAAAAACAGAAAGCCCTACTGTGTGAGGAATTCTATTGAAAAGCTAAATAATAATGAAGCAGATATTCCCAAATTGAAATAAAAATAAGTAAAGTCACAGACTTTAGGTAGAAAGACTGGCCAAAAGATTAAGCTCTTCAAGAAAAATGTAAGAACTTAAGTAGTCAACAATTAGATAAGGAACTTTCATTAAAAGAAAGGCTATGGTATGGGCAAAATGCTCAAACATACTTCAGTTGTTAAGTTGAAATAAAATGTATTAATGCACAAGGAACACGTATTTCATTTTAGTTCACAAAGTTCAAGTAAATATCCAATTTTCAAAAACTAAAAGGTGCTAAATGATACAATTTTACAAGCCATCAGGCTAAGTCCCAGAGAGACTGTGGGAAAGGCCATCGAGGTACGTCCTTGCTTTTGTTTGGAGTCTGTTCACAAACGCACTCATGTGGCTGAGTGTTCCCTAGGAAGGGGTAATTATGCAATGGACAATCTTGGTGGGTGAAAGCCCTGTCACTGATGACAGTGATCTTTCTTTCAACAAAACTGGCTGTTGACACAATGACATAGAGAACGTCCTGGTATGCAGTACATTGGCACCCCCAAAGTTACCCAACAATGTAACATTTATTTTACATTTATTAACTACTTTAACTAGTGGGGTTTACAGTAAGACAGTGGAAGATTGACTATCCTGAAAAAGATTAGATTATACTTTATTATACTTTATACCTTCCCCCCATAAAACCAAAAGCATCTAATGAAAGCAGGCTTTTATGCTAAACAATAGGATTTGGCACTGTTTGTGTCTGTGTTCGGCTGGCAGTATCCTGGGTGCCTGAAGGTCAGCATACCTACCTGGTGGCATCGATCATGCTCTACCTTAAACCCTGAGGAAAGTCACAGCTCAGCAGCTCTCAGCAGCTCACGGCTGCTGTGATCAAGCTAAGTACACTTAGGTTTGTGACCAGAGCTGCTTCACTTACCCCCTTTTCTAAGAGAGACAATTTTCACACTGAGGCAAGAAGGCTACCATAATTAGATATAAATACACAGGAGCAAGGCAAATGCTACCTGTGCCTCTCTGTTCCTGCCACACAAGACTAGGTGATACACTGTGGCTGAACAAAGTAGTAGTTTCCAAGTCAGGCAAGCACTGGCAGGAGTGAGCTCTGTACTACCTACCGGAAGGTTCCTTGCAGAGTCCAAATACAAGATCAACAGTGCGGATGAAAGACCATCATTGGCTTGATCCTTATCAGCTCTGATGTCTGCCAGCACCTGCGAGGTGAGAAAAGTATCCGTGGGTGTGCGTCCACAGGACAGTGTGCACACTGATTCTAAGTGTGCTCAAGAAGGTAAAAGTAGGAAATACTCTAGTGTACTCGGCAGAACAGGAACTGCTGTCTTCCAGATGACAAGACCATGACTCTGCACAAATGAATTAAAATGGAGCACTGGGAAGACATGTAGTCACCCCATCCCCGTGCTACAGCAAGCACAGAATTTAAAGGTCTCAGAACAGGGATAATGACCTACACATTGTACTCTCTGAACTTTATTCCTGCTCACTACGGTGGCAACTTGTAGCATGATGATCAGAATACTGGTGTACTCTCAAAGCAAGCACCAACATGATCAGAGACGGGCCTAGCAATCAGGAGAGGGTGGCAGGAGGAGAGGACACTGTACAGCACCTTGTCCAGGTTTGCCGCGTCTGGCATCAGTGTGAGCCACTCTAACTTCAAATGCAGCTTTCCTTTGGGCACCTCGTCCAGAGTGAACCACTGAAGAGAAAATGTTTAAGGTCAGCAAAAGTGTTCCTGAATAAAAAGTTCTAATTAAACCCAGTCTAAAAATGTTTCAAGGTGTTCACTGACACCGTGGCACCAACAGTCCTTAACTGGCTCTGAAATTTATGCCTCGTGCTCCAAGCACCAGGGCTGGCCAGAGACCATGCTCAAAGACACGTCTGCCCTAACCAAGCCTTGTGACGTAGTATCATCACACACGAGTTCAAGCATTCCAGTGCCATCCAGCACTGATAAGGCTTCTATAGGTGGACTTCACATAGAATTTAGAGGCCAGCAGAGAGTAACGCTAACTCACAAATACTGAATAGCAGAATCAAGCAAGGCACTTGTTTTTATTCACTGCTATACATCAATTAATAAAAAAAGTGCATAGTTTTTTCAGCATAAAAGTCACAGAACAAAGACCACCAAACACTCAGTGTTAAAAAGGAGCTGCCGCACGGCAAGGGAGGACTCTGTCTGTCCTGCTCACTGCTGTGCTGAGTGACTGGTACCCACAGATGCTCAGGAATCGTTCTGAGAGGGAGGGCAAACACCCCTGGAGGGAAAGAGCGTGGCTAGGAAAACAGCGGAGCCCCAACACTGACTTGGCTAATTAGGCTTCTCTTACCCAAGTCTCACCCATCTTTCCACCTTTTGGAAGCTACTGTACCATCTTCCTTTATATTTTATTTTACTTTTATGGCCTTTTGATCACTCTCCCTGCTTGAAGTAATGCTATCTTACTGCAAATTATTAGTTCATTCACAGGCATCTCTTACATTCCGACAGCACCGTGTGTCTCTGCTATTCACTCCAACTGTACTGAAAATCTCCATTACTGGGAGCTCCTCACACACCCCTGCCCGTGCCTCACAGTCTGCCTGCAATAAAGCCAGATCCCCATTGTGTGCTCACTCACCACGCCTCCTGGCCCAGCGCGTGCACAGCTAAGCCAGCACCAGTACTCTACTACTGAGCTGCCCTTGCATGTCAGATGTCCGTGAAGCAGACGCTGTCCCTGCATCGGTAGCTAGAACTCTCTCGCTGGGTAGGCAGGCAACAGCAGGGGTCACAGTGACTCTGGCATACAAGAGGCACTTACAGTGTTCCTTAAGGGGCCAAAACCAGAGGAAACTTACTTCGTCTAAAAGGCGCTCCTTCTCAACTTCAATAAGATCAATCATAAGACTGTAAGAAGAGAACAGCAAAAAGATCTTACAACACAGAAACATACTTCTTCTAACTGAAATAACCTGTGCATTGGCTATGGGAAAGAACTCTAGAAATGCAAAATACACTATACAATTTACCAGGAAACAAATGGCTTTCCTCAAGGCTTTCTATAATACAAGCCCAAGAAAACCAAAAGAAGAGCAAATAAGGGAAGGGTTGAATTTCTGTGGTCAAAATATAGAGCACACACAACTAGGCCAGAACTGATGATGGATATGTGTGTGTGTGTGTGCGTGTGTGTGTGTGCGCGCGCGCGTGCAGCAAATGTCTGTGGGCTCGAGGCTAACATCAGGTGTCTTGCTCAGTTACTCTTCAGCTTATGCATCAAGAAAATATCTCTCAATGAACTCAGAGCCTGGGGTGACTAGTCTCACTAGTCAGCTTGTTCTGGGCATGCACAGTCTGTCTTCAAAGTGTTAGAATTACAGATAGCTGCCATGTTCTTCTGGCCTTTTTGTGGGTTCTGGGTCTGAATTCTGATTGTCATGTTTACATGGCAAGTGCTTTGCATGAAAATCCCCAGCCACAGCTGAGTGTTTCTGTTTTCAAGACAGGGTCTCACTATGTAGACCAGGCTGGCTCTGAACTCACCGAGATCGGCCTGCCTTCACTTCCCAAGTACTGGGATTAAAGGTGTGCACCACCATGCCTGGATAGCTAATGGGTTTTACATGCTATCCCTTGGTGCTACCAGTCATCACTGTGGATGACATAGTTATTTGCATAATGAGTTATAAGTCCACACCACAGCAAGCCCATTAGCAGCTCTGAGAGTAGGTTCTATTACCAGCAAACAATCCTCCTCTAATTCAGCCATGGCACCACTTCCACAAGTCTGTGGAAGAAGGCATTATTCTACTAAATATATCTCCTAATCACTCTCAGCCCCAGTCAATGACAACACGCTCCTAGTTGCTTTACTGCTCCCATCTGCACGCTTGCATGGAATGTCTGATCATGTCTCTGTCCTACTGAAGCTGTGCACAGTCAAAGATTCTGAAGCTACAGCACAACACATGGGTCTTGGAGATTCCAAAGTCAGAGCATGGCGGGCAAGGTTATGCTTGATGAGGCATAAACTTCTCCCGTGTAATCCTCCACCAGTCCCCCACAATAAACTCACTTAAATAACCTCAACTAGACAGACATGTACAGATGTGTATACGCATCTCCGTTCACTATGTGGGCAGATGCAAATGCACAGGTGTGGAGGCCAGAGGACAACCTCATTTATTTTTTTCCAAAACGGCATTATTTTCTTGAGACCAGGTGTCTCACTAACCTGGAATGGATCGCCAAGTAATTTTAGGCCGGCCCTCATAAGCCCCAGTGCTAGGATTATAAGCATGTATCAAGGCCCCTGGAGCTGGAGTTTCAGGCAGACGTTAGCCATCTGACATGGGTGCCAAGAACTGAGCTTGGGTCAGTTCTTAACCACTGAGTCATCTCTCAGCCTCAGAAGCCTATTTTAAAGCCCACTTTCCACAGCTATGTGAATTCTTCAATTAAAGTAAATAAATCAGTATTTACTGTCCCAATATGCGTGTACAATGTAAATGACTGTACCCTAGCAAACTGAGAAAGCTTAAATTAAACCTACAATTACAGCTCAGAAGGAAGTATTTCTAGACCTCCCTGCACAAGGAGGGGGCTCTGCACAGTGTCCTCTAGCTTGCATGGTCTAAGTGGCTGGGGAAATTGGTCCTAGTGCTAATGCTGCTATAAGGGACAATGGAGTCTTTTTAGAATTAAAACATTTTTTAAAGATATCTGGCAAAATAAATGTCACACATAACAGCCATTTAAAATGAATACACGTAAATAAATGAACTTTAAAGCCGGCATCAGTGAGAGTGGCTGGAAGGGTGTTCCCAAGGTTCACCTTCCTAAGAAGTCATCCTTGTCTGGATCTTCATCAAACAGTTCAATCTCCAATTCTTGTCCAGGGTGTTCATAGACCAAAGCCTGAAAATGAACGGTTAGGAGTTACTGCAGGTAACTACCACAGTCAAGCTAAGCTAAGTATGGGGATTGCAGCAAATATTACCAGGCACGTTTCTCGGGCAGTCAGCGCTTGCAAAGGTGTACTTTCTTACTGTTAGACCACACACGCGTCTTGAGGACTGGGCCGTTCTAAAAAACTTGCCCAGAGAGCAAGTCTGCTGGGCATGTTTCTTGGCTATCTGAATTCCATTATCAGAGGGCCGAGCACAAGGCTCTGACACAAGGTGGCAGTGTGAGGTCACCCACAGGCCTGTCTCAGGCCTAAGGCCAAGTGAAGAGGCACAGGAAGCTGCCCTAAGATCGGAAGGGGCTCCATCCAGATGCCAACCTTGAAAAACGGACAGAGGACAGAGGGCGACAGGAAAGGGGCACGGTGACCGCTACTCTCAGCAACTGCTCTGTCCTTCTGGATGGAGCAGGTCAAGGCTACATGTGACACGGGATGCACTCGGCAGCCCGGGCCTCTGCGGGTGAGGACACTCAGAGGAGCGGCCATGAACAGCCAGGCAGAGCCCGGCTGGGGGCGGAGGTGCACACCTGCAGCCAGAGCACGTGGGAGGCCAAGCAGGAGTTGCAGGCCAGGAAATAAAACGCACAGAGAAAAATGAAACGAAGCAAAAGGAAGCAAATACAACAACAACAAAGCCAATAACCATGCCATTATCTACCCATTGGGATGTAAAGATGGCCAGACATATTAAATGAAAAATGCATAAAACAGGATATTTTTACGTTTGTGTTTTAATCACATGTATTATTTTATATCAGAAACTTGTCTATGTCAAGGAAATATATTGCCATTAACCACTGTAGTAGCCTTACATAAGTAATGCTCAAAAATCCCATGTTTTTACATTACAAGAATGTTTATGTTAGAAGAGAAATGCAAAATTCCCCCAAAATGAAAAATTAAAAAGAACTTAAACAATGATCCAAGTTAGCCACACTCTTGTGTGAGACTTGGAATCAGACTTTTCGTGCCTTCACTCAGCTACGATGTTTGGGCCCCATTACTTACCTCATATACCTCGTTCCACTTTGGACTAAGGTTCTCCTTGATAATCTTACTCTGGAAGATCTGGTTGCCCACTCGGATGATTCCATAGGGGTCTGATTTTCCCTTGACAAGGCCTTTAAGGTAGGTGTCTTTCCCCTGAAGATCCTGAGCTTCAATGAAATGGATCCTTAGCACACCCTGAGAAGAGCAGCAAACCACTTAGACTGTTTGCCATGGAGAATGAAAGACACACAGCGTAGTCCCCAGCGGGGACCAGGAGGACACTATGTCACCCCACTAGACAGTAGGACTGCAGATGGGCGAGGAGGCCACAGCTGCCTGCAGCATCCTTGGTAGAGGGGACACTGACTACAGAGGTCCCGGTGCAGCAAAGCACTTACTCCCAGCAAGTCGGTAACACAGGGCCACAAGAGTCACCAAAACTCCTCACATTCTGGGACTAAGCAGGCAGTAACTAACATGTAGGGTACATCAGACCTGCTGCTAAGCATTTTTTATTCAGCAACCATGTCATTCAATTTTTAGACAAATCCTGTGAAATACTGTCATTAAGCCCATTTTATAGAGGAAACTCAAACTTTGAAATACACAGTGCTCATCAAAAAGAAAAAGTTCTTCTCAAAAGCTGTCTTATTTGTGGAAGAAAAACATTTACTCCTTTCATTCATGGCAAACAAAAGCTCGGTAGGGTAAGAATACTCTTCCTCCAAATGCTACAAAAGTTCCAGGCTACTAGTCTCGGCTTGTCAGGACAAGGCAGGCTTCTCTAAAGAGGAATACGTGTTAGGAAGCCCTGGGAGATTCTTGTCTGCAGGTTCATGTGGCTGCAACTGAGGTGCTGTGGCCACCTCCTTCTCCAACACTGGTTTAAGTTCAGAGAACAAGGGCAGTTGGACCCAGGCCAGCTCAGGGCTTACTTGACTTAACACACAAAAGATGCCTGCATCTTAGAGAAAGAGCTCCTTTTCCTATATGTAAAGTATCCAGTCTGTTGAATGTGAACAATACAATTTTATCGCCAAATTAAATGGAGTGTGCTTTCTTAAAAACAAATAAGGAGTGGGCTGAGGACACTGGTCCTGGGTCTAAGCCTCAGCATCAAAGACAGATAAAGAAGGATGGATATATATGCACTGTGTGTAAATGTGGCCACGCATGCTTGCCGATTTTTGTATCTAAGTGACAAAAAGTAAAGGGGATCAAGGCAATGCTATTTCCACTTCAGCAAATAAAACTGAAAACACAGCCATTAAAATGACACCATCTTTCTCCTCCTGTTTTAGTGAAGGTAGAATGCATGTGGAATGCACACGTTCTGGTATAGATGCATAGGTAGAATGCATCAGTACTATTCCTTGTTGCAGACAATCCATGGCACTACTGTGCCCTTGACCTCTGTGGATCCCCAACAAATGGCTGACAGCTAGACCTGCATCTCTACAGAGGAGAGCCAGGCCTCACCTTTGCCTACAATGGTTCTGACACAGTCCTCTGCTCCACATTTTACAGAAGCTGAGACTCGGGCCCCACCATAAATACCTCCAAGTTCAGGAGTTCTGCTGCCACACAGGCGCCTCTTCTGTCACTGTGGTGGTCTGAGCAAGAGCGGCTCCCAAGGGTTCATATATTTAAATGCTTAGGGAGAGGCCTTGTTGAGGAAGCGTGTCACTAGGGGTGGGCTTTGAGGTTCCAGAAGCCCAAACCAGCCCCAGTGTCTCTCTTCCTGCTGCCTGTGGGTCCAGACGCAGAATCTCAGCTTCTTCTCCAGCACCGTGTCTGCCTGCACGCCCCCAAGCTCCCTGCTATGCGGATAATGGACTAAGCTCTGAACTCCAGGGAAATGTTCCCCTCTACAAGAGTTGCCGTGGTCATGGTATCTCTGCACAGCAAGACTAACCTCCCTGACTCAGTCACTGTATCCATTAAGAAACTTCAGAAACAATCACATTCCAATGTCTGAGAAAAACTTAGGTCATGACATCAGAACCTTTGTTGTGTCTCACTTGTTGCTGAGAATGACTGTGTCTCCATAACAACAGATACAGCAGACACCCTCTGAGATAGCTCTGCCTGCTGTCCACTGCTATCCTTACGACTGGTGATTACATCTGTGGGACTGAGCCCGTACACTGACTCACCGAGCACGACTGAAGTCCAAGAACTCCTGAAGTCTCTGGACAGCCTTAGAATCAGAGGCTCCTAGTCCATCTCCGAGGGAGTGGAGCAGCTACCAACGTATTAACACACATGGCAAGGAAAGACAGGGAGCACCCTGTGGTTAAGCCTGGCAGTGGTGGTGCACACCTTTAATCCTACCACTAGGGAGGCTGAGTCAGATGCAGGAGTATCTCTGTAAGTTCTAGGCCAACATGGTCTACAGAGCCAGTTCTAGGATAGCCAGGGTTACACAGAGAAACCCTGTCTCAAATAAAACCAACAAAAACACCCTGTATTTAAACCCTGTGTATCTAAATGCATGCTTACCTTTGGTATGGGAAACCGCAACTGTGCTATTTGAACTTCACTGACAAGAGGAACCGTGATGCGATTAGGAAGCACCAGATAGTTTGATATTATATCCAGGATGATAGTATCAGATAAACCACTGTTAGTTGAGAGACAAAGAACAATCAGATATATACATGCTTGCGGTCACCTTTAACAATAAACATGCACAGCCTTGATCCCACAGCTGTGTATGGGATGGGGGTCCCTAACTTTCCCAGAAGAGTGCTTAAAGTCAATGGTTTGATGATTGAGCAACACTGCTATTGTAACTATGAGGCAGAATTTATTTTTGTAACACAACATAAAATTCTGGCTCCATTTCATAATTTCCTGAATGAACTTTCAAATATTCCTATATGGCTTAATCATACAGATAAGATACCTTTCTTTACATTTTTTAATGTAAACATTTCAAACGTAAATAGAAGTACAGAGAATAATACAGCAAGCATTCACCAACCCATTTCATGTTATGCATATATCGTTTCTCTTTAGTGTTATATATTGCCTCAAATGAAGTAAAATAACTTAGTTGTGTTTTCTCATTCTGAATACTTTAATAATTTTCATTTACTATTACACCACTACATAGCAAACTCAGTAATCTGAATAAAAGACAACAGGAAAGCATTTCCTATCTTTTTAAGACTATTTTCCAAGGCAGACGAGAGAGTTAATATATATATGACAATACTTTTGGAGACATATCCATGAATGCTTCCTATTCTAAAAATTGTTACTAGAACTCCGAGTTTTAAAAAGAACCCTGACTCCTGCCAGTACTTTCCAGTGTTAAGTCATTAGCATATATGTGCAATTACACATGCGGACATGTCCTCTGTCATCACAGCCACTCAAGCAAAAGTGATCCACACATGACAAGACGAGGGCCTCTCTTCACCAGTCTTTCATTTCACCACAGGGAAAGGACTCGATCACACCTGGCTAGCAGTGGTTCTGAGGAGATGTAAAACGCACGAGCTGGCAGGCATTGTGCCCCTGCTCTTCTGAGAGAAGGCAGAGACTCTTACATAGCTTAGCACCAACTCCTTACCTTCAGCAATTCCTGTCAAAGTAACACCCGCTGAAACAGAGAATCTCACTCCTCACGGCTGGGATAGTGCAGCGCATGCCTTCAGCAGGCAGCACTGTGGCCAACCCCCCAGGCAGGCTTACCAGCCGCCATATTGTCAGGAGTGGACACTGTTCCCAGGCCCTGCCTAGCATCCATGGACCGCCACGCCTCGTCCTGCAGACACTGGCTCCCAGTCTGCCCTCAGCACTGCTGCTGCTCATGCCGCTCCCTCATCCACATTCTCTATGTGGCGGCGTGCGTGAGGTCGTCACTGAGACCTCGCCGGGATTTTACAGCATGACCCCAAACGCTCTGTACAGTGAACTGACCCAGACACTGCTCCTCCTTTGTAAGACTCCAGATCCTTTTCATGGCCCATGAGTACAATACACATGCTCATCTTACAAAGCCTGAGTAAGACTTCACTATGCCAGGCTCAGTCACTATCTTTTATGAGTATTTCCAATGTACGGCTTACTGTAACTTGATGTACGTAACAGAGAGTCTTTGTAAGACAGGGCTCTCACAGAGTGCCTGCCAACCTCAAATTCACCGTGCAGCCAAGGGCTGCATTGGACTTCTCATCTTCCTCCTCTCCCTCCCGCACACTAGGATTCTGTGTCCACTGCTCTATCAGGGCTTCACAGAAAATCTATGTGCAAAGAACAGCAGCCCCCAATTTTACATTTTGTCATATAAAATTTCTATCATCTGTATTTTATACAAATTTACATAATTATACACAAATTATATATAGTATATGTAAATACGTCATCTCATGTTAGAGTGATATTCCTATATATTGCTACTATACCATAGGTAGCTTACTTTTAACAATGTATGCATACTTGTCTCTGTATGTGTCATTATTTAAGCATGAGCTTGTGTGTGTGCATCTGTGCAGTGTGTGTGTACAGGAGTGTGTGTGCCTTCATGTGGTGAACAGAGGTCAGCATTTGGTGGGGTTCTTCAGATGCCTTCCATCTTGTTTTCTAAGGTAAAGCCAATCACCGTGACCTAGGGTTTGGAGTTTTAGGCTACGGTAGCGGGCTGGTGAACCCCAGTGATTTGCCTGCATCATATCCCTGTACTAGAGTTAGAGGTACATGAACCACATCTGGCTTTTTAGATAGGTACCAGGGATCAAACTGAGGTCATCGCGCACAGCAAGCACTCTGTCAAGTCAACTGTTTTCCCAAGTCCTTTAAGTGTGTATTTTGTGAAATAATTTTCTATATAATACACTACAACGTAGTTTATACTTCCATATAAGATTTACACATCAATGGAAGACAGTACTGTAAAGAACCTGCTGATGTTAACACGGAGTAAAATGAACCTGGTCGCATGTGCAAATGAAATGTGCACATTCACATGAGTGTGTCTACTGTGATTGTGCATAGACCCTTGGTGAATAAAATGGTTTCAGACTTGTGAGGGGCAGAACAAATCCTTCCAAGCCATGCTGCCATTTACAGAGCTCATACTATGTCATTACAGAGCAGAGAGACAGTCAGCCAGCCTTCTTATTTCAATCCTCCTACTATGCTGATGAAAGACATTAACCTTCGCAGATACCCGTTGCTTATATCTGCCTAACAAAATCCAGCAAGCACTGCTGTTTCCTTTATGTGGGACATGTCTACATCATTCACGGGTGTCTGTGTCCAAGTAAGTGAACATTTCTTGGTTGCTTTATAGGGCATATATGAAACTCAACCCTGGCTGTTAAAATCACAGAAACCTGTCCAAGATAGATAGACACATAAGGTAACCCTGGAGTTTCTTTTAGAACTAGCTGCTGCACACAGCAAGAATCTGCCTGAAGACAGGCTCAAGGACTCATCTGCAGGCTGCATCAACAGCCCACATCATTTGGCGCCAATCCCTGCCTGAGCCTGACATCCCACAATGCTCTGTGAGCTGCAAAGGCCAGTGGCCCCAGGTTAAGCTCTCTGAGAAAGCTGTGAGAATGCTATTCTCCTCTAAGAACAGTGGTCGGCTGAGTGACAGACAGCACTCAATGTTAAAGGTTTTACTTGCACACTGAATTATTATTTTAACAAGTGTCACTTGGGGAGCTGGGTCTCTAGCTCAGAGGTATAATGTAGTTTAGCAAATACCTGAGTTTAATCCCTAGCACTGCAAATTAAAAAAAAATTACCTATGTCAATTTTATTCAGTATTTTGTAATCAAGATTCTAATGAACTTGTCAATAAACCTTTTAAAGTTGCACTTTCTTATCCAAGATCTTTTCAAGACAATAGTCCTCATCTTAACCTGGCAAATCATATTACATTTTATCTATGATGATGTCTCAGATTATTAAAGCTACTGTTTTCTATTGATAATGAAACAAAACTTTGTTTCAGCACTCATTTCAGAGGCATAAAACAAGTAGATAGAAATAGAAAAAATAGTCTGAAATCAAAGTTTTGGAATTGAATTTGTAAGTTAGTTAAGGATAAAAATCCACAGATTAGCAAAATGTCCACTAGGAACAAATGTAACTAATAACATTAAGAAGTCATGCGTTTTAACCTCCGAACAAAACCATAAAAACAGCAAAAAGGAAGCTGTGAAGGACAGACTGCACTCTGTCCCAATCTACCATTTCAGACACACGGACAGTGACTCATCTCGCCCTCCCACAGGGGAGTGTACAGTCCATGACTCAGGTGCCTGTGGCAGGACAGTTTCCTCGTTCATTACTCACTAAATTGTTACTGAGCCATTCTGAAGGTTCCATTCTGACCCACTCTCTCAAGAATAAAACTGCAGCCAGACCCACAAGACTTACTTCAGTCCAGGGATGTCCAGGAGATTAGTCAGTCCTGTCCAGTTAATCTCTAAAAGCTGTGGAGGGAGAATATTAAACATCAAAAATGTTCCCAGATATCACAGCAAATCACTCACAGGTTTGTGTAAATAAAAGCAAGAAAGACACAATACCATCACACCACTTTTCCCAATGTGTAATACCAAGACGGCCTGCCTCAGTTTTCACTTTTTGATATTGCCATGGTTTTCTCTACTAAAAACATAATGTTTGCCCTTCCCGCTATGTGTGAACTCCTGGAACATTTTTCAATTTCTCTTTTAAGTTAACAATGCAGTGAATATGCTTTGCTTTGTTAGTTTGTTGTGGTTATGTGTTTATTTGTTTGAGACGGAATTCACTATGCAGCCTTGGCTGACCTAGAGTCTATTATGAAACCAGGCTGGCCTTAGTCTCATAGAGATCCGCCTGTCTCTGCCTCCCAAGCGTTGGGATTAAAGACGTGCGCCACCATGTCCAGCATGAATACATATGCTCATATCTACACATTCAGACGAACATTAAAAAATGGGGATCGGTCAGTAAGATTATCAGAAGGTAAAAGTGCTTGCCACAGAAGCCTGACGACCTGAATTCAATGCCCAAGATCCACAGTACAAGAAGAAAACACCACATAAGTACCATAAATAAAATTTTAAAGTGGAGCATGGTGCTAGAGATTATGTCCACTTTCAATATCAATACCCAAGATCTCCAAAATTGCTACTTAAATTTGTTACCAAATTTTTGTTTAATTTCTATTACCATCAGAAGTAAGGGACAGAATCATTTCTTCTTTACACTGTCACCAAAAGCAGACATTAAAACTCAGAGCAGTTGGACAATAGTATTTCACTTTGAAGTTTTATTTGCATTTCCTATGGATGGAACATGTTCTGTCTATTCATTGGATAGTTATAGTCATTCCAGAAATTCTTACACATTTAGCTAGGATTCCATTAAGTAGACATAAACAGTTAAAACTAATGGGTATAAACATTGATTTTCTCTACTGAAATGGGTACTGCGCACAATAAAACACCCTGTTAAGTGAAACTGTACTGTCCATTACACAGAGTTAGAGGAGCCACGCCACTCCAGAGCCTTCTGACCATACAAATAGTTAGTGGGCAGTTACACAGGGCAAAGCTAAAGGAAGAAGTAACACATTTCAAAGCATCCTTCAAGACTCTTCCAGCATGAGAAAATGAGACAGAACACGGAAGGGACAGGGGGCTTGTCCTGAGTGTGGCTTATAGACCCAGTGTCACTCCTCGAAGAAAACTCGTTTTCCCTCTTCCAGCAGGCATAGCTTCTTGACTGGGGGTGGGGCTGCATGCCCACTTCTCTGTGCTGGGATTTTGTCTTGAATTTACAAGACTTGTCCATGCTGTCATAGTCTGTGCCTCAGCCCTGTTGTGTCTGAAGATGCTGTCTCCTTAGAGTCATCCGCCGCTCCTGTCTCTTATAGCCTCCTCTTCACCATACATGCCTGGTCCTTGAGGGGGGGGGGTTGATAAAACACCCCATTTGGGGCTAGGGCCTCACTGTCTCCACACTGTCCAGTTATGGGTCCTGTGTTAATTAGCATCTACTGCAGGAAGCTTCTCTGATGAGGGATGAGAGAGGCACTGCCTATGTGTGTAGCAGTGTGTCATTAGGAGTCACTTATTGCTATGTTCCTTTAGTGGAATGATAGGTTTGCCCCTGGTTCCCATGACTTGTCTAGTTTCCAGTTTCCAGTTATCAGGTGAGTTGTATCTCAGGGAGTGGGCCTTAAATCCAACCCCTACAAATCTGTGCATCCGTACGTGGCAGTGTTTGTAGCTGGGTGAGATTGATAATTGCTTCTCTCCCCTGGTAGCATTTATAGAACCTCCCAGTTGTGGTAAAGTCTCTAGTCAGGTGCTGGTTCAATTTCCACTTTTCATTTTGGTTTTTGAAACAGGGTTTCTCTGTTTAACAACCCTGGCTGTTCTGGAACTCGCTAGTAGCCCAGACTGGCCTTGAACTCGCTGAGATCTGCCTGTCTCTGCCTCCCAAGTGCTAGGATTACAGGTGCAGGCCACCACTGCCCAGCTGTTTCTTCCTTTTCAGTGATGTGATTCTTCAGCAATAAGGTCTTGCCTTCTGGTAACCAGTAGCACATAATGTCCTTTTAAATCTTGTTCCCTGTAGTTGTCCAGGGGTTTTCTTTATCTGTCTATCTATGTTATGTATCTATCTATGTATGTATCTATGTATCTATCTATGTATCTACCTATGTATGTATCTATGTATCTATCTACCTATGTATCTATGTATCTATCTAATGAGCACTGGTGTGAGGGTGTCAGGTCCTCGGGAACTGGAATTACAGATAGTTGTGAGCTGCCTTGTGGGTGCTAGGAATTGAACCTAGGTCTTCTGGAAGAGCAGCCAGTGCTCTTAACACCTGAGCCATCTCTCCAGCCCTGTTTCTTTGTTTTTGAGACAGGATTTCTCTGGGTTGGAAGGATACCTTCGTGGCCAGCAGTATAAAGCTGGGAAAGACACGGATTCCAAGGCACCTGGTTCTGTATCAGCATCTGAAGGCACTCAAGGCACTGGTGAGTGCCGTGACCAACAAGCTCGCTTTCCCTTCTTTGTCCTCTAGCATTATTAGGTCAAGGAATCCCTTTAGCACTTAATGGGAGAAGGCTCTCCCTGCCCCAACCTAGAATGCTTGGCATGGTAGCACACACCTCATGAAGACTGGCAGGGTATAAGACATGCCCACGGTTTGTTCAAGAAGTCTATTACAACATACATCAATGTGCTACATAAAAACCATGGCCAGTGCAATGTGCTTTGAATCTCAGTCACCTGTGAGGCTGAAGCAGGAGAATTGCCTGAGTCCAAAAGTTCAGAGCCAGTCCAGGCAACAAAGCTGTCTCTCTCTCTTACTAACTTTGTAAATAATAAAACATCACTATAAGTACCTAATGGCTGACTTGTTTCACTTGCGAAAGTAAGACTCCAAGCATGGAGTGACGCTCAGAGGTAGAGAGTGAATGAGGACCTGGGCTGGACCCCAGCACCTGGGAAGCTGGCTGAGGATGGCTTCAGCTTAAGGCAAGCCTGGGCTACACAGTGAGTTTCATGCCAGTCTGAACTACACAGAGACTCTGTCTTCCCCCTTCTCCACCTCCAAAAAAGCATGCTTCTATTTGAATGGACATATGTGATGGTTACCAGCTTATACTTAGCTAGCTATGACTTAAGACTACAAAGGCCTGACACTGCACTGAAACATCAACATGTTGTTAGTACTTAAGTGATACAAAGACACTGGGCACATACAAGCTCCATGAAAGAACATTTAAAATGCTTTGCTTATGGGTACCTAGAGAAAAAAAAACCTCTCTGAAGATTAATAATAGTCTTAAAGAAGTCTTTCTACCACTAAAACAACAAATTAAATGGCACCAAAAGCAGAAAAAAAGGTTCCATGTTTGCACAGCGTGAAAGCTTTGTGCACAAACATAAAAGCCTTCCGGTATAATCTCAAAAAAGGAAGCTAAAGAAACAGACATTTAAAAATTATGTATAAAACTAGTCTTAAGTAGGTATTCAAATTTATAGCTAATTACAGAATTGAGAAAAACTGCCTTTGAGTTTTGCAGATAATTCAGCCCTAGATGGAGTGACTTCATCTGTAGCCTTTAAACTTCCCAGCTAGATTACAGAAGGACAGAGAGAAATAATCTTCCCACCCGGCTCACAGGAAGAAGTGTTGGTTTCTAAGAACAGCCTCTGTTCTAAGCTGCTCCTGCTCTCCTGCCTTTGGTACGGTTCATCCCCCTTTCTCCTCAGTCTCTCTCTGTAAGATGTTACCAACCTGCGGCTCAGGGGTAAAGGCACTTGCTGGTAAGCATGACAGCCTGAGACCCATGTAGGAGGAGAGAATTGACTCCTATAAGTTGCCCTCTGACTTTGACATGTATACCACTGTGAACTCTGGTGTACAGACACACACACACACACACACACACACACACACACACACACGCAGGCATGCACGCACACACAGACGCACACACACACACACCCCATGGGGTTGTTTGTGGGATGTAGTAAAGCTGATAAGGTTGATAGCAGCAGCAGGCTCTGAGTGCTAACTGCATGGCAGATGTCTCAGGCAGGTCATCTGGAAAGTCTGTTGAAAATGCAAGCTGACAGCGCCACTAGTCTTCAGGGGGTTTTACCCTAATGCTATCATTTGGCAGTTTGGGGCTGGCAGTAAGACTAAAGAACGTCTTCCTTACATTTTGAAGCCTCCTGACTTAGGAAGGAAAACCTGGGAAGAGGACTACTGTGACAGCATAGGGAAACTGAGTTCTCAGGGCCCAACCAGACTGATATGCCTCCTCTGAGGGAGGAGAGGCAGCGGGGTCTGAGTGAAGGATAAGCCCTCACAGGGGCGTGCATACTGATGTGGCCACGTGTACATTTGCACTGTGTACAGATCAGGCTAGGGAGAATACTTCTTGCAGGGGTGTGGTCAGGAAGGAGAGCAGCTGTCACTATAGAAGAGCACTAAGAAAGCCTTGTCATCTATCCTTCTTAAGGGATGGGGCCATGTGTGGAAAGAAGCAAAGGTAGGTACCCACCGCGGCTATACGTGAGGTCCTTTGCGGGTTGTGGCAGAATGCAGGCCTGTGCTTAGTCTACCCTATCACAGACAAGCAGGTAGGAGAAGCAGCAGTGGAGTTCTACCTGGAGACTCAGGATGATACAGGACTATGGAGGGTGTGCAAGACCATCCAAATAATTAAAGGCATCAAACCGCAGGCTCCACAGGATCACAGTAAACTTGGCATAATAAATATACTCTTGGCTACTCCTGGGTGTGGTTGGAATCTACAGGGCGTCTGCAGACTTGTCTGTAAGAAAGGAGGAATGGGCTTCTGCACTGCAACTCTCTTAACCCCAGACCTGGTCTACAGGAACAGAGAGAGTAATCGGGACACAGCACTCGCAGACATGTGGCCTGGAAAACCAGAGCTGTCCTCAGAGGGAGAATGGAGCAAAAGTTACGATCGCTCAGTTACAGCGATCTAACGGTCACACTATCCTGCCTTCCCACTGGCTCCAACAGTCACTTAACCGTTACATTACACTGTCTTCCTCTGGTTTCAAAAACATTCAAACTCCTGGTCCCAATTTGCTTCTGAGATTCAATTGCACAATAAACATAATTTCTAGTTTTAAAAAATTCCTCTCCTTTTAAAAAACGTTTTATTGATTTTTTTGTGAATTTCATATCATGTACCCCAATCCCACTCATCTCCCCATATTTGTCCTCTGCCCTTGTAACCTACCCCCAAAAAGAAAAATGAAACTAAAAATGGTGAAAGTAAACTAAAGACAAAGCCTCATGTGGAGACTGCGGTGGCTCATCGTGTGTCACCCAAACAGCTTTACTTTCAAATGTTCGCTGTAATGAGTCATTGGTCTGGTTCGAGGCTTCTGACTTCTGCCACATTACCAATACTGGATCCTCGTTGGGACTCCACAGATAGCCTGCTGTCGTCCTGTGTCGTGGAGACCCTGCGGCTTTGGTTTTTGTGGGGCCAGCAGTTCTCAAATAGGGTACATGTTGGGGTGGGCCAACTCCAAGACTGGGATCTGGGCCTGTGTGACAGCTGAGTTGGTCAGTCTGGCCACTCTCCTACACACACCCCACCAGGGCCAGCTCTCCAGGACTGCCTTGGTGAGGGAGGGGCGGGACCAGATCACCAGAGTGCCAAAGCTGTCAGGGGTAGAGCCAGCTCTGCTTTGTTGCCCAGGCAAGGTGCAGGGCCCACTCTCCTGCCTGAGCTGGGAAGGGGTGGGGCCAGCTCTCCCATGCTGCTCAAGTGGGGGACAGGCCCAGCTCTCCAGCACTCGTGCCCTCAGGGTAGACTCCCCAGCACCCACTCCTTCAGGGCCAGCTCCACTGTGCTGCCTAGGGACTCTCCCTTTCTTTTAACTTAAATATTTTAATTTCTGTCATCCTAGCCCACTACATAACTCTAACTTTTTCCCATTATAACTCTAACAGGAAGATGCTTCCATTCAACAAAGCTGTCACTAGCACCTATACTACGCTGCTCCCCTTCCCCAAAGCATCCCACCACTGTTCCACGTGGGCTGTTCCCTTAGCTTCAAACTTCATCAAGTCAAGTACCACATTATCAGAACTAATTAGTCAAGTCAACAAGCAGAAAAGCTTGTAAGTGTTTTATACGACTCACTGGCACCAGTCTCTGAATCATCCTGGCAGTAAAAAAAAAAAAACCAAAAAAAACCAGTAAAACAAAAAAGCCCTTCTGGTTATATTTTTCACCAGGCTCAGGAAGAATAATTTGGCAGCTAACAGTAGTAAGTTCTCATATTTTCCAGCTGAAAGTAACTGAAAAAATTCCCTTCCCTCTACAGCATGTTCAGTGGTTTTATTCTCCATATAAGGAAAGGGCGATTACGAACACTTCACTGTGACCCTCTCCTAGCATCCCAACGCCTTTGGGACTTAATACTGTAGGCTATTTGACAAGTGGCTTCGTTTGTGGAAGAGCCAGACCATGGAAGAGCACTGCCAGGTTCTGAGGAAGACTACAGACCTTAGTTTTATTGCTCTGAAAGGGTCTTTATATCAAGAATATTTCCCAAGACAGATAAATTAAAATTTTTAGCAATTTATTAAAGAACTTTTCAAATAGACATTAATAGAGTCAGTTCTTACATAAACTGACTTAGAAACTGGTAGGAGAAAAGAAAGATGTATCTTAAATCTTTTAAGAATTTAAATTTCTCAAAAATTTAACACAGTAAAAATCAACAAATTCTTTATAGCTCTGAATTTTAATGTAAGAGGTCTACTTAAACACATCAAAAACCAGAAAGTGAGAACAATAATGCTGAAGGCAACAGATGAGTTCTCACACAGAAAAAGCGCTGCCCATGCTACACTTGGTTTTCAAAACCAAGTAATAATTTTCATTAAGTCTTTTGATCCAAATTTTGCACACTGACTGACACTTCCATTTAAATTACATGTGACACTAGCAGTACCTTGCCAAGGATCATAAGCAGTGTCCCTCTCAGGAGGCAGCTCCCTGAGCCTCCCTCAGCTCTGGGGACACACGTGCCCTTCACCTTAGCATTAACCGCCCCTGCCATACAACTTTCCATACTACAAGGGTAATTTGTCTTGGAAGACACACAGAAATTTTTTTAGAAATAAATAAAACAGCTGAAGATAGAATTCTGGAGAAAAGGAAACGTAGGAAGAGTAGAAGACACGGTTAGTACTTTCCCTCAGCAGACATCCATCTCTGGGGTTGGGGCTTGGGGTGCAGTCAGGTAGTAGTGAGAACTGTAGTTAGGATGGGAGCGTGGCTGGTGCAGGCCGAGTGCTTACCTAGCTTGCACAAAGCCCTGGGTTCAAGTCCCAGCATTTAGAGACAAGAAAAAGGCCCTGACGATTGCACTGACCACAGGCCGCAGGAGCTCAGTTAAGGAGAAAAAAGCCTGTTGGGTACAGGCAAGAAACAGCTTTCTTTCCGTGTTTTAGAGTGTGTACAATAACAGAAGAAACATGATATCTAAAGCCAAAAACCCCACTTCATTCATAGCTGTAGAACATGCACCAGACAGAAGGATCATTTATCTCAGGAGGGGGTCAGAGGGAGAAGTCTGTATCGGACTAAACTGGGCCTATGAGAGTTCCAGCCCTCAATCCCTGGGTGACTCAGACAGATAGCCCTCTTAAGCGCAGTTCCAGGCCAGTAAAAGGGAGCACTCTCTAGCTTTACAAGTATGAGGATTAAATCAGCAAATGCTATAAAATCATACACAGTGACAGGTCAAAGGTAGCTTCAACTTAGTTAAAAATTAATTTCCTCCATTCTACAACCAAGTATTTTTACAGTCAGGGAAGGCCATTGTTTACAAAGAGACCAAACCCTTACTCAAGACATAAAGAAGTGAAACACTCAGGACTTGGGCATCACAGGGCAAGCGTTAAGGACAGAATTTTGTTCCTCCACCTTATCCTCTGTGGATCCAGGTTACTGCCAGGAGAGGGACCATAAAAATGACATCATGAAATAAACATGTACTTACTGGTTTCCTAAGGAAGAAGATGGACAATGCTCCAACGAGAGGCATGTCTCCTATCAGGGGCTCCAGGATCACTCGCATTGTCCCATGAATCTGCACTCACACAAAAAATCACAAGTCAGAAAACAGGTCTTCAAGGCACTTGCTCACTTTTAAGCACATGCCTTCCAAAACCTTCCCAGCTAATAAAAACTCCATAGCTTTTCTGCCTACATACCAGAAGAGGGCACCAGATTGAATTGTAGACGGTTGTGAGCCACCATGTGGTTGCTAGGAATTGAACTCAGGACCTCTGGAAGAGCAGTCAGTGCTCTTAACCTCTGAGCCATCTCTCCAGCCCCTAGCTTTTCTTTAAAATGAAAATATGAACAACTTACCTGAATACTTTTCACACCAGCTCTACAGAAATATCGTTTGATCTCCAAATCAATCTCACAATTTCCTACAAAACTAGAACGGAAAAATTCTGCATTAGTTACAGTGAGTGGAATTAATTATCCTCTTTGTTATCTACTAGAATTAGGCATTATAAAGTACATAACCAAGCAAAATGACGGTAAAGTACCGATACTCATACTGTAGGCAAAACTACTACAAGACTACTCTGCTATGCCAGGTTGCATGGATACACTGCTGTATCACCTGTGAGGAATACTGTGCATATTCTCTTGGGTTTTTTTTTTCTCTTGTTTTTGCTACACATAAAAATCATTTTCTTTCGGTTTTTTGAGACAGGGTTTCTCTGTATTGTTTTGGAGGCTGTCCTGGAACTCACTCTGTAGACCAGGCTGGCCTCGACCTCACAGAGATCCACCTGCCTCTGCCTCCCGACTGCTGGGATTAAAGGCATGCGCCACCAACACCCGGCCTCAAATGAAAATCTTAATTAAATTTAGATGCCCAACACATGGGAGGCTGAAGCTGGAGGACCTTTAGTTTAAGGCCAGTCTGGACTATATAGTGTAAGACACTGTCTTAAAAAAACAAAACAAAGGGAGGGCATGGTTGGTAGACTGACTGATTGCCTAGCATGCAAGGCATTCTGGGTTTAATGCCCAGCCTTGCATAAATCAGGCATTAAGATTATGTTGGATTCTTAGCACTCTAAGTAGGAGAATGACTTCATCCTTAGTTACACAGAGCGCTCAAATCCTGCCTCAAAAACCAAAAATTTTTAATATAAACATTCACTTTCAAAGGGAAATATAAATAACATTATGCAATTTCTGGAGTACTCCGTCCTCATAATTTTTTTATGGATCCTTTGTGAATGTGCACCAAGCCCATTCATTTCCCAGTCCTTCCATATCCTTGCTCCACCCTAGTAACCTCCTCCCAAAAGATAGAAAAAATTGTCTCGCTGTGGAAGCTGTGATATGTCGAGGGTGTCACACAATACACCCTTCTGTTCAAACAGCTGTACTTGGAAATGCTCGCTGCAATGAGTAAATGGTCCATTTCACATCACACCAGGTCCTCACTGGGACTCTCCCGGGCAGTCTGCCGTTGCAGAGTCATGGAGGTCCTGCAGCTTTGGTTCCGCAGGCCCAGGCCCTTCAGGAGCTCTAGCAGCTCACAAATGGCAGGTGTTGGGGTGGGCAGCTCAAAGCTGTGGATCTGGGCTTGGGTGGTAGCAAACTTGAAGAACCTGCAGCTCTCCCACCCTGCCCAGGTGAGGGGCGGGGCACGTGGAGCACTCCTTTGATGAAAGGTGTTTTTATTTGTATAACAAAAACTTTGCTTAAAACCCAACAAAGGCTAGATTTTATTTTGCCAGCAATAGATCTCAGCACCTTTCTCCTCAGTCACAGAAATCCTCCCTCAGATGCTAAAGGGCTTTATGATGTTAAAGGTTAGAAACAACTTGCTTTGAACCTTCACTTTTTTCATGACTAGTTTCAAACATAAGTATCGAACAAATGGTTCTTTACTATGACAGTGCAAGGCAGGCATTTATTTCCAACATAAACATGAAATGCTGACTGTATTCCTCCATGGGATGGTGTGGGATTTGACCTGTCTTAGCTGGGTTTACTACCGCTAGGATGAAACACCATGACCAGAAGCAAGTTGGGGAGGAAGGGATTTAATTCACTCACAGGCAACAGTTCATCAAAGGCAGAGAGGGCAGGCACTGGGAGGCAGGAGCTAAAGCAGAGGCCATGGAAGATGCTGGCTTACTGGCTTAGAGAACCCAGGACTGCTAGCTGAGGAATGGCCCCACCCATCACGGGCTGGGCCCTCCCAGATCAATCACTAATTAAGAAAATGTCTACAGTCTGATCTTATGTCAGTAGTTTCTCAATTGCAGTCTCCTCCTTACAAATTACTCTAGCCTGTGTCAAGGTGACATAAGCCTACCCTTCATTCTTAGACGTGCAGTTGGTATCAGCTGGGCAATAGTGGTGCACCTTAAATCCCAGCACGCTGGAGGCAGGGGCAGGCAGAGCTCTGTGAGTTCTAGGCCAGCCTGGTCTACAGGGTGGGATCTGGGCCAGCCAGGGCTACATAGACAAACCCTGTCTTAAAACAAAACAAAACAAAACAACAACAAAAAGAAGTATGGTATCATAAACCTGTTTGTGCAAGTCTGGGGAGTTTGATGAGTCAAATTAGGACGGGTCTAAGCCAGTGGTTCTTAACCTTCCTAATGCTGTGACAACACAGTTCCTCATGTTGTAGTGACCTTCAACCACAAAGTTATGTTTTTGCTCTACTTCGTAACTGTGATTTTGCTATGGAGCAGTGTCTCAGTTACTTAGACCATTGGAAACATGTTTTCTAATTGCCAAATCACAGGCTGAGACCACTCACTGGTCTAAGCACATGAACAAAATTCTTCCAGTATATATTATACACAGATTCCTCACACTGAGGATTATTCTCTACCTTGTTGCTATTATACCAGTAACCTGCTATAAAACTATCAACGGGCGGCGCACGCCTTTAATCCCAGCACTCGGGAGGCAGAGGCAGGCGGATCTCTGTAAGTTCGAGACCAGCCTGGTCTACAAAGTGAGTTCCGGGACAGCCTCCAAAGCCACAGAGAAACCCTGTCTCGAAAAAGAAAAAAAGAAAAAAAAAAAAAACGAAACTATCAACGTCCCCCTCTTTGTCATACAAAATTGTAGCATACAAATGCTGTTAAAGCTTCATTTTCAAAATGATATCCATCTCAGGAGTTACTCAAATAGTTTGTTTAACGCTAGAACAATAACTCACAAATGGAGGTTTATTCTTACTTATAAATGGCCAGCCTTAGCTTGGCTTGTTTCTTGTCAGCTTTTCTTAAATTAACCCATCTACCTTTAGTCTCTGGGCTTTTATCTTTCTTACTCCTGTATATCTTAGTTTCACTCTTACTCCATGGCTGGATGGGTGGATGGGGTGGCTGGCCCCTGATATCCTCCCCTCCTTGTTCTCTTGCTGCTCCTCTCTTCCTCATTTCTCCTTCTCTTTATACTCTGCCCGCCAGCCCTGCCTATCCTTGCTCCTACCTTGCTACTGGCCGTTCAGCTCTTTAAAGATCATCAGGTGTTTTAGACAGGCAAAGGACCACAGCTTCACAAAGTTAAACAAAAGCAGCATAAACAAAAGTCACTCACCTTAAGACAATATTCTACCCTAAACAATGAGCTAGTACAAGGTTTCTATCCCCATGGAGCTTGTCATCTGTCCCACAGACAGACCTTGTGAGATACAGCTTAACCAAAGACATAGGCGGTCCACCCAGGTCTGCTGGCAAGCCTTTCACAGAGCCTGGCTAACATAAGACCCATAAAAGTGCCTACTCTTTTATTCCACTGATGACAATGGTATTTGCACAAGCATCAAATATTTATTTATTTATTTATTTGGTTTTACGAGACAGGGTTTCTCTGTATTGTTTTGGAGGCTGTCGGTCCAGCCTGGCCTCGAACTCACAGAGATCTACCTGCCTCTGCCTCCCGAGTGCTGGGATTAAAGGCGTGCACCACCACTGCCCGGCGCATCAAATATTTTAAAGATGAAAGTTTACCCATATCAAAGACATCCAACACTTCTTTCTAAAATAAAGACAATTGATACAAAATCTATATAATTATTATGATAAAAATAAATAAATATTTTCTTTATAAGAGCTGCTGTGGTCATGGTATATCTTCACAGCAAGAGAAACCCTAACTAGGACAGTCTCACCATGTAGCCTGGCTGGCTTAGAACTTGCACGCAGTTCAGTCTGCTTCCAGAGTGCTGGGATCAAACGTGTATGCCACTACAACTGGCTTTAAAACTTTCTGTGGGTCTAGGCTCAAAAAAGCAGACTCAACTGCTAATAGCTCTCTGCCTTGTTTATTTTGAGACTCTTTCACTGACACCCAGGGCTCATCGATTAAGACTAGGCTGGTGGGCCATTGCATAAGAGATCCTTTTGTCTCTGCTTCCTCCATCCTGGGATTGCAAATGAACCACCATGCTTGTTTCCTTAGTGGGTTCTAGGGACTGAACAAAGCAACCATTTTACCAATTGAGGCATCTATTGATCCCATCACAAGTGAAATTGTCCTTATTTCCTTTCAGCATTTTTTTCATTGTTAATGTACAGAAATGCAATTGATTTGACTGCATTTGACTACTTGACTGAATTCATTTTAGTTTTAAGGTTTATTTTATTTTTTTCAGAGAGGGTCTCTGTGGTATTTTGAATGTAATTGGCCTCATAATCTCACAGGAAGTGGCACAGTAAGAGGTGTGGCTTTGTTGGAGGAACAGTGTCACTAACAGGGGTGGGCATTGAGGTTTCCCTTTCCTATGATCAAGATATCACCAATGTCTTGTTTGACTTCCTGTTGCTTGCAAGATGTAGGACTCTTAGCTAATACTCCAACACCGTGTCTGCCTGCATGTTTCCCTGTCATGATGACAATGGACTAAACCTCTGTACTATAAGCAAGCCACCCCAATTAAATATTTTCTTTATAAGAGCTGCTGTGGTCATGGTATGTCTTCACAGCAAGAGAAGCCGTAACTAAGACAGTCTCACCATGTAGCCTGGCTGGCTCAGAACTTGCACGCAGCTCAGTCTGCTTCCAGAGTGCTGGGATCAAACGTGTAAGCCACTACAACTGGCTTTAAAACTTTCTGTGGAATTTTTTTTCTGTAATATCTCATCATTTGTAAATGCTGTTTTTCAATTTGGATTCCCTTTATCCCATTGTATTGTCTAACTTTTCTTGGTTGAACTTTTTTTTTAAATCATGAAAGAGTACCAAATTTGTTAAATTCATCTTCTGAGATAACCATGAAGGACTCCCACCACCCATACCACTTCCATCTTAAAATAACGTGATATGTTTTATAGATTGGTTTTCATATCCTGGATCACATTTGCATTCTGGGAATACACTCTACTTGTTGATGGTATATAATCTCTGCTACTACATTCAATTCGCTAGCATTTTGTTGAGGATTGTTCATAATGCTCATAAGGACTATTCATCAGATTATAGTTTTCTTGTAGATGATATGATTTCTCTTACTCAGGACATTTTTAGAAATTTATTTTATGTGTATGGCATTTTCTATTTGCATGTATGTCTGTGTACCTGGGTGTGTGCCTGGTGCCCATGGAGGCCAGAAGTAGGCATTGGATCTCCTGGAACTGGAGTTACAGATGGCTGTGAGATGCTTTGGGCACTGGGAATCAAACTCAGGCTGTCTGGAAAGTCGCACGTGCTCTTAATTGCTGAGATATCTTTCCAGCCCCATTATACTTAATATATTTAATGAATGACAGTTATCAAGATTATGAGGAACTCAAAAGTTGTTACCATTTAGACCTAGAAGAATTTGGTCAAATCCCAATGAAGAGCAGACAAGAAATTCACTACATCCTCTATCTTACACACACAGCTAAGTGAACACTATGTGTGAGTAGCCATGGCAAGAATATAGCACAAATAAAAACTTACCTAATCTGAAGGTCCAGAATAATTTGTCTTTTGTCTACATTTTCAGTATAAACTTTAACACCATTGACTCTAAGGGGCTGAAACAATAAATAGCTTAATTTAAAACAGAGAAAGGCTTAAAAGCAAACAAACAAATGCAGAACAGATGTGATAAGAACAAGTTTAGTATGAGATTACAAGTATAATTCTAGTTGTCAACACACTGTTTAACTCTGACAATTTATTTAACTTTTATCCTCAGTTTTCTCATCTGTACGATATAAGTTTCAGGGTATCTCTGAGTAGCCCTGGCTGTCCCAGATCCACTCTGTAAATCGGGCTGGCCTAGAACTCAGAGATCCGTCTGCCTCTGCCTCCAGAGTGCGGGGATTAAGGGTGTGTGCGACCCACCTTTAATTTGGGTTGATATTTGTTAAAGCTAGTAATCTGTATTTAAAATTGTCACTATAAAAAAAAGCCAAGAACCAGGCGGGGAATAGCTCAGTGGTTAGGAGCACTTGTTGCTTTACCACAGGGCTTGAGTTTGGTTCCCAGCATCCACATCAGGCAGCCTGTAACCATCTCCAGAGGCTCTGATACCCCTTCTGGCCTCCACAAACATCTGCATGCATGTATGGCATATTGTCACACAGACACACATGTACACATAAACAAAAATAAAAATTAATTTAAAAAGCAAGACAGAAACAACAAAGTATAAAGAACGGCAGAGGGAGGCAACAAGCAGGAGAAGTCAGAACCCGTGGTTGGGGAAAGGAGGGATTCGCAGGCCTTTCCGTCAGTCTTCTGAATGAACGACTCTCTTCAGGGCCTGCAGAGTGGTCACAATGCTGTGCTTTCACAGCAGTCCTACTGTGTGCATGAGGACGGGCACTGAGGAAGGAGGGGCTGACCTGCTGACCCACGTCCACTTTCGTGAAGCTGAAGGTGCTGAGATGCGTATTTGCTCCCCGCACAGCTGGCTCTATGGTTTCACGAAAGAGCTTCTCGATGAACTGACAAATAAAGGGCCACATGTGCTTTACGGTCTAGAAGGAAGAGGAACTCGTGTTAAATGACTACTATGATGCATGATACGTAGTCTAACTGAGTCGTTACGAGACACTGTAATCATGCAGTCTGTCAGAAACTGGCTTTGAAAGCTAAAACAAAAGGAGAGATGGTCTTGTTATTCAAAAGCAGCCTTGTCAAATGGGTTCTAAATGTTAAGCATTTATTTCAACAATAAACTACTGATTGGACAATATGTTACCGGAATGAGTTTCTTTGGTTTGACATTCTATTTAAACATGTCTGCATATCTAATAAGCACTAGAGGTTCCAGGGCTTCAACTGACTGGAGAAACTTAAACTATGGCCAGGCAGTGTGGGGCGCATGCCTTTAATCCCCAGCACTCAGAAGGCAGAGGCAGGTGGGTGTCTGAGTTTGAGGCCAGCCTGGTCTACAGAATGGCTAGGGCTACACAGAGAAACCCTGTCTCAAAAACCAACAAACAACAAAACAAAACAAGAAAATTCAAGCCATAGGTCTCAGGCTGGGAGGGTAGCTCAGTGGCTTACTTGCCTCTTGTGGCCCTTGGTTTGATCTCAATATCACAACAAAACCAAACCCAACAAAAACTGTGTAGACCTCAGTAATCACTCCTGCATTTTATATCCACGTATTAACCTGTGCAGTAATAAACTGATTCCTGTCTAGGTTAGGGCCACTACATTGCCTTAGAGATGCTCAAAACGCCAGCCAAGAGAGATTCAGACTAAAACTTACTGAAACAAAAACATCCATTAAAAGGTATTATAGATGGGTAGTCTCTTTCGAGTTATTTTTCTCTTTATAGTATTTCTGGTGTCTGTTTGTGGTTTCTATAAAGCACACGTGAGCAGCCTCTATTAAAAAATGAAGACAGGAAGCCAGATGGTAATACCATGCAAGCACATGCATAAATATTAGGTCAGTGACACAGCTCTTGTTCTTCCCAAGGGAAAGTCACATACTGCTTGCAACAGTCCTCTGGGGAGCGGGAGCCTGCTCACTGCAATCTCAACTCCAATACTTCCAATGCTGAAATTCCCAAACATGGGAAGACAGTCTCTGGCCCTCTAATTCCCATGAATATTTGGAATATGCTAATCTTACCTTATTTAGCCATTCTGCTCTTTCCGTGTCTGGAAAATGAACCTGAGAGAGAAAAGCACACACATGACTTAATGACTCCCGACAATCATAAACAAAATGATCCACAGGCTGTTTTGTATTCATATTGTCCTGTGTTTATACAATGCCTCTTTAAATCGCTCTGCTGCAATGCTTTCTAACACGGCCGCAGAGAAGGGAAGTTGTTATGTGTGGTACCTTACTTGCCACATTCTGAGAACATGGAGGCAAAGGGTTTGGGGCCCACAAATACCACCAGTGCCTTCTTGGCCTCCCACCACCCAAGTGGATATTCCCTGGCATCTGAAACATCAAAGTACCAAAAATGACTTCTTGCCTTTTAAAAACAGTATTATCACTGTCATCGTTCTGTTAGAGCTCTGCACTCAGACTTCAAAACCCATCTCTTCTTTGCTCTCCCTTTTTAGCCCTTGCCAGCTGACTTCTATACACAAGAGTCATCTCCACCAGTCTCCTGCCCGCTCCCAAAAGCATACTGTGGCCATAGTTCTCCACAGGCAAGGCCTACATATTGGAGAAGCGATTGAAAATGCAGAGAGAAACCTACTTAAAAAGTAGGTGACAAATGTTCTCTCTGTTGTTGCAGTTAAAATAAACCATGTTTGCAAAAGAAGCTACTGCTGTTTTTGGCCACAAGGGAGCTTTCAAAAGAGGCGCACACAGGCCACACAGTTTGGATTTGGTGGTACAGCGGGCACAGGAGACTTGGTAATGGTGACTGAGAAGATCTGATGGCGCACAGAACTTTCCTGAGGTACAAAGAATCCAGTCCAACAATGCTGTCCTCGGGCTGATAGTGTCAAGGAGTGGGACATAGCTTCCAAGGTCCCTAAGGCCCAACTCTCTTCTCAAGTTTGATCATGAGAAGACACAATAGAAAATGGGGCCTAGCAGGAAGCAATCCCTGGACACAGGATAGGTCACCACCAAGCCACTGACCACAGACAGCTTACACTGGGTCTCAGAAGTCCCAAGGGCCTGACTGCTCCTCTAGGTTCTCAGCAAGAGAGAAACGAGCTGGGGTAGCGACACTGGTAGTGTTAAGGGTTCCCTCTTTGTCTACAAACACATAATATGAAGAGTATAATTTGGGTAGAGTCAGTGGAAATAGTGATTTCTAAATTAGGTAAGTATAAATTCATAGGGACGGGGTGAGATGCAAAAAAAAAAAACTTCTAAAATTGAGGAAATGACTTAGAGTTAGGGGAGACAGTGCTCACAAGGCAAGGGGCCGCCAGTGAACTGCTGCATGCGTCCTTTCCTCTAGATGCTCTGCTCTGTCACCAGTGAGGGGCAAATTTTAACCCACATCACACAAGTGTACAAGAAAGGGCTGCACTTGCCCAGGGAACAGGAAGAAATTTGATGGTACAGTGAGGGCAGTGGACAGGCTTGTTAAACTTATCAAATTAGGTCACACGATCAGTTCATTTGCAATCAGTACTTTGCCATTTCTTTACATTACTTTGAAGTAGTTTAGCACTTTAAAAGTCTGATCAGCAATGGGATAGTCAGTGGAAGGCAGGGCGTTAAAACAGGTATTTGGTACTAGATCCTTCTAACTTACTGTGCGGCTCTGCCCGACTTTACCTTTTCCCTCTAAACCAACCAACCACCAGAGGCAACAGAAAGATCAAAAGGCAAATATTGAGTGCCTTCTGTTTGCTGTCACAGGAACCTGTGCAGTATGGGCGCACTCTAACTTCTGTAATTCCAGGTGGATAACGAATTAGCAAATTACAGAATTTAGGAATTACAGAAGTTAGAGTGCGCACATCTCATCACCCTCACTGCTCCCCCCAAGGCCTCTTGCCTGGTCTCCCAACCACTAAATTAGCTAACAGAACAAACAATATTCTAGAAAACAGGAACTTCCTTTTCAGTTCACCTTACTGAAGAGTCTGAATGCCTGCATGCTTATCAAACAGTTCATCTTCCCCAGCCTGAGCTTCAAAGGCAGCACAGGCAGTCACACAGTCTCTGGGCCACAACGCAAAGGCCCCGTTTCCATCCCATCCCAGAGTACAGAGCCGTGGCTGTGGCATGGGATGAAGAGGCAGCTCTCCCCGCCTTCTTTCCTGCATCTCTTCCCCAAGAGCCAGCAGCTCCCTTCAGCTGTGGCTGGCTTCCCACATAACACTTCACCGCTGAAGATCCATAAGCCCTCCCCTCGCAGGGCTGCACTTCTCCATAGGCCAGCCTCTGTCACAGCACGACTTGGACATTCCTCAACAGACTCTCCTTCCTCCAGGACAGATCTTAAAATCACTGGACCATATACACCAGCGGACCTTCCACCGAGCATCAGAGAATTCCCATTCACAGGCACTCAACTCAATTACCAGCTAAGCAAGGAAGTATTAGTCTCTGTATTTTTCAGTCAGTATACCACACTAAATCATATTTGTAAGTATCATCAAATGAAACTTTGGCCTTCCAATAATATCTTCAAAAAGTTTAAGGAAGGACTATGTCCAGTAAAACAAACTACAGCCAGATTTCCAACCAATAAAAAGTGATTAATAGAGGCCATGCAATCTTAAAACAGTTTGCACAGACATATATGGGTATGTATTTATATGTCTATGTTACATATATATTTACATATTAACATACACACATATATATATATACAAAAATACTTTTAAGTTATACACATCTATAAACGCATACAACACAAAAATATATATCAAAACAGTAACAAAGAAAATGAATCTTGATTTTTCTTCTGTGTGGGAGATCCGCCTGCCTCTGCCTCCTGAGTGCTGGGACTAAAGGCGTGCACCACCACCGCCCGGTCAGTTTTGAATTCTTTGTGAGAGCCAAAAATTATTTTGCTAGTTTTACTGTAATTTAAGGTCAAGAAATGCTGTAAGCCAGGTATGTTGGAATACATCTGCAATCCTTGAACTAATGGAGGCAGGGAGAGGTGAGGCTGGATTACTAGGGAGATTCCATCTCAAATCAAAAAGGAAAGAAAGGGAAAAGAAAATGTTTCTAACATAGAAGTACTATTTTAATAAAATAATCAAAATTATGTGAAAATGTAATTCCCACAAGTTAAAACATACTTTATACTAGAAGAGAATAACACTTCAGTGTAGGGTTTGACTAAAATTCCAAATCTAAAGAAAACTCTAATACATCAAATTGACCGAACACCTTACTGACAACACATTACAATGCAATGACTCCTGGAGAGTAGGGGCCTTCCTACTCTCCAACACTGGCTGCTCAGGGGTCTGCTAATGCACCGGTGAATCACTGCTTTGCCATAGAGGACACCCAAACTCAAGCAGAAAAGCGTCTCTGTTCACAGCTGTGCACCATGACGAAAGCCATCACTTCCTCAGGGCTTTCTAATTACTGCACACGCTGAGTGTTCTCACGAAAGAACGCAGGTGCACACATCCCTGAGAGACTTGTTCTGGAGAGGTAGGAAAGAGCACTGGAAGGGATCTGATCCTCCCTGGATGGTTCACTAACATTCTACAATCAGACAATGTGCGTGTATATACAACACACACACACACACACACACACACACACACACACACGGGGGGGCAGGGGAGAGAGAGACAGAGAAAGAGAGAGACAGAGAGAGACCCTGACCCTGTCCTTGACATGTATTCCATTTGTAGACAGGGATGCTACAGTAGAACGGAAAGCAAAGAAAAAAATTAAAAGGATGTGAGAAAGAAAAGAGCCCCTCACTGCAGTCCCAGTCTGGTTTAAATGATTCCTGTGTTTAGAGTCAAGAATTTAGACAGAACTGATCAAAACCCTACATGACCTGCCTGCAAAGCTGACCAAACTACCACAAGAACTGTGTGTGTGTGTGTGTGTGTGTGTGTGTGTGTGTGTGTGTGTGTGTGTGTGTGTGTGTGTGTGCAGCTTTGGAGCCCATCCTGAAACTTGCTCTGTAGACCAGGGTGGCCTTGAACTCACAGACATTAGCCTGCCTCTGCGTTCCACATACTGTGATTAAAGGTGTGTACTACTTTACCCTGTGCCTGAACCTGTTGTTTTAAATTTGGTCTTTGACCCATGTATTTCACATATAAAGCTCCTGTGTGGTAAACAAGAACATCTTTTCTTCCAGTCGCTGGTGGCCTATGACTTAATCAATCACAGCTACTTAATGAAACCTCCCTGTAAACCCAACAGAACAGGGTTGCAAGGAATCCAGGCTGCTGATGTCGGGTTACCTGGAGAGGACAATGAAGTTGTGTCCCTTCCCAGACCATCCCCTATGTATCTCTTTATCTGACTGGTTGTCTATATCCATTGTGCCCTTTGTAATAGCCATTACCCTAAATCAGCAAACATTTTTGAGTTCTGTAAGTCATCCTAGCAAACTAATAGAATTCAAGATAGGAATTGTAGGAACCCAAGGTACAGCAGGTCAAAAGTACACATGACAATTTAGTACTTGGAACTGGCTCCTAAATGGGGAAGAAAGAATTGTGGGGCTGAATTCTTAGCTTGTAAGATCTGACATGTAGACTATGTCAGAAACAAACTGAAATATAGGATACTCAGTCTGTCTGCTGGAGAACTCCCTGGTTATGGGAAATCCCTCCACCCACCACATTCAATGACCTGAAGTAAACTATACTGAATGTGAGAGTAAAAAAGGTGTTTAATTTCCATTTCTACCAGACCAAACAGAGAGGGTAAGTGGAGAGAGGAAAGTGAACAAAAATGAGAATTCTAAGTCACATGCATCTCTCCGTGGCTGGCCTGGAGAAGGAAGGAAGAGCATGGACAAATCTGAAAATACTCTCTGGCCATGATAAGCAGGGCTGCCTTTACTTCACAGGTCACAGGGGGATATCCATGTGCCTGATGGGCAAAAGTGTGAAGTCACTAAGGAAGGAGACTCTCTGTGCTCATCTTCCTGGAAGAGCCTGCAGCAGTGAGCTGACCTGCAGCTGGCATTTACTGGGATTATTGGGAAGGCTCTCAGTCATTCTGAGATTTTAATTTACAAGCCAGTACCT